GTCACGAGGGGAGAACAGAGCGTGTCCCTCAGGCCTCCCCTTCGAGAGTGCTCCCCTCCGAAGCCCCCGTGTTCCCCACCTGGGGCCTGACCGCGGAGGGCGCAATGCCCAGACTCCCGGCCGACCTCCAGCGGGATCGAGCGCAGGCTGAAGTTTCTCCAGGGGCTCGCTGTGTGAGCCTCCCCCCACCCCAGGGAGCGCTGGAGACCTAGCCCACGGGGGGTTATTTCCATATATAGTGTAGAGTATAAAAAGCGGGAACTCTCCAATGACTTTTTAAAATAGAGTGGCTGAACGTTTAGGTACTAGGCCATGACAATGATATTTTTAGTATTAGAACACAAATACCCCAAATACAGTATATTTTCAAAGAGTTTTTTATCCTCTGCTGCATAGTTTTAGGCAAGAGCACAAAACACGTTACACTAGTTGTTTTACAGGGAGGTTTCGCCGAATATTTTTAACTCAGAAGAGTTATGTTTATATCACATTTATACTTTGCTTTGTAAATTGTTTCCTCCTTATTCTTCTAGATGCCAAGAGATATTCTATAAAATGCAGGGAAGGTCTTTAAATTATTTTCTTTTCCCAGACGGCTGGAATGTTGAAGACGTATTTAAGGCACTGCTGCCTTTTTCAGGATTCCTCCTGTAAGATGCGTGAGCTGTTCTGCTCTGGAAGCGGCTGTGTGCAGTCCTCCTCACAGGCGTGTGCGTGCATCGGCGCTGTGCACACGTGTGTGTTTGGCTGCTCCCATCGGAAATGCTCGTGCCCCCCCCCGTCCTGTCAGCAAGCACTGCCCCCCCCATGTGTCACTGCTGGAGAGGGGACATGTGCGGGGGCGGGGCTGTGACTCGCCCACATCCATGGGGAATTTTTAGAGTTCGCACTGCATCGTAGTTTTCCTTCCTGTGATAAGTCTCTGGTAATCTTCAGTGAAAATGAGAAGTTGGAAAAGGGAGGAAGTTCTCATTCTTAACAGCATGCATGCCTTAGACTGACTTTTTCTTTTTTTCAGTGAATAGTACTGATCAATTTACAAAGTTTGTAGAAAGCAGGTGATGAAGTATACCCAATGCACAATACAAAACTCGAACCTGTTTAAATATCTGTAAGAAGGAGCTACTATTTTGGCACCATTCCATGTAATCATTAACTTAATGGAGTCTACCATTTTAAGAATGATACACTTAAAAATATTTTGTTTATTTATTTTTAGACACAGGGGAAGGGAGGGAGAAAGAGAGGGAGGGAAATATCAGTGTGTGGTTGCCTCTCACACGCCCCCTACTGGGCACCTGACCCACAACCCAGGCCTGTGCCCTGACTGAGAATTGAACCTGGGACCCCTTGGTTCGCCTATCAACACTCAATCCACTGAGCCACAGGCCAAGAATGATACGCTTTGTATCTACTTAAAACAATAGCACGCAGGATGTGTGGAATGAAACACAGAGCACTTTATTTCTGCCATGTGTGCAACTTTGATGAACTGAACTTTTTGTTACAACCGTCGTTAAAACATGGCAATCCCCCATCTAAGCTTGCGAGCCCCCAGAATTCCTTTGACATTTATCATTCACAACCGCAGTGACACTTCCCACTGAGCATTGCTGAGGATGCCAAACGCCCGACCCTGGAAGATCACGTCCAACCTTCTCCCTGCGGCAGCTGCTGCGACCCAGCAGCCCGGCCGACTGCGGGAGGAGCTCCTTTAGTGTAATAGGGTGTTCGGCCGCCTAGTGACAGCGCCATGGACTGAGCAGGACTGTCAGTCCCAAAAGAGGCCCCATGGAATCAAAACATCGCTTTCGTGTGGCCAATTTTCATGCCCAGTCGTCACTGGAGGACAAGATGAGCTGCAAGGGTTTCCCCTGAAGCAGTCCCTACTATCCCGAAATAGCCCAACGTTCCCTAAAGCAGGGCAGCGGGACAATGCCCCCCTGAGTCGATTCATCCTTCCAGCAGGTTTGAGATTTAAATTTCAAGTCACGTTTACGGAAACTTATGGCAAGTTTTTGGCTGCTGCCAGGGCCTGTGTGTCCTGCTATGTGATTAATTCCCATCCTCGGTTCTCCTCTTGCTCTGTGTGGAAGAGGGCGCTAAGGGAGGGGCGTGTAGGGGGGTTGGGAAGCACAGGTGAGGTTCACCTGAGGTGAGGTTCACCCGAGAGGGACGCTCCCAGCATTGATTGTGGTACCTTCGGGCTTTCTCCAGTCGTTGTAAGACATATTGTCAAAGTTTAAATAGAAAACGGAACCCGTGTACCCATCTACAAAAGGTGTGTAACGCCTGTCATGTGTGAGGTAAGACGTGTTTTGTGGAGTAAGGTCAGGAAGGCAAGGAGTGGCTGGAGGACAGTAAAGAAGGTCAAGTCCACCTGAGACTGGGAGAGGGAGCCCCCTCCCGGGGGTCCAGGTTCACGGGAGCTTCTGGAGGGAGCGGCAGCCGGGGAAAGGCCCGCCTCCGAGTCACTACCGCCTCCGGGGTCCAACACGTCCCTGGACTGCGCAGCCCTTGCTTTTTTTGCCCCGATGGCTACATTGTAACTTACATAGAGTTACTATGCGACTCTAAAGTGTCAGCTTTGGTCTAGGGCTTCAAGAGGCCACTCAGCCTGTGGTCTTGTACCACCCGGGGGGCGGCCTCTCCCCCTCAAAGCCGGATGAGGAAAGAGCAGCCACTCTGGCCCCCAGGCCCGCCGCAGCGTGGGATAAGCCTGAGGCACAGGGGAGAGCAGCCCCTTGCTCTGGGGAGGGCGCTGGGAGCGCTGGCTCTGAGTTCTCTGATCGGACTCCACCCGGCCCAGGCAAGGGTCCTGCAGGAAGGAGCTCTTTCTCCGACTTCAAAATTTGGGGCCAAGGGACAGAAGGAGCCCAAGTGAGCTGATGGCCCTGCCTGGCCCGTGGCTGGTGTCGGCCGCTGCAGGGGCTCTTTGGTCTCCGTGGCCGATGGCCACAGCTGCCCATTTTCACAACGGAAGCATCAGCTTTGAACTCCCGGGAGGCTGTGGTCGGTCCACCCTCCCGGCGGAGTGGTCTTGTAGCCAGGACTGGAACTGCGTCCTGAGGACCTTCCGGAACACCCATGCGGTCTCCTCAAATTCCCGCCGGCCGGGCGCCGTCAGCGCCGCGCACTTCAGGAAGGCAGGACAGGCGGGACTGGCCCCGTCTCACGCGGGATGGAATTGCAACTCAGAGGGGGGCCGTTGCAACTCAGAGGGGGGCCGTTGCTCGCCACTGGTCACGCGCCCCCTCGGCAGCAAACACACAGACGGGTCAGAAGTCAGGACGCACGGCTGACACCGCCTGTCGGGCTTCATCGGCCCAAGGATTCTCAGCAGTCGAAGGGCCGGTCATTCTCCCCTCCAGAGGCAGATCGCAGTTTGCCTTTTCTCTATTAAATACAGTATGTGGTATGGTTCTGAGAGTAAAATGAAAAGGCTTGATTTAAGGAGGAATGGCTTGCCACCCAGTATTAACCCAAGAGCTTCCAAAGGTTCGGCCATCGCACCCAGGCTGGCAGAGTGAGTGCCCGGTGCCCGGGGTCCGGCTCGCTCTCTGGACGCCGTTCACTCCCGGTGCCCAGCAGCCCCCTCCACGGGAACTCTCCTTGTTCCCCGTGCGCCGACGGGGCTGGGAGAGCAGAACGGGAACCACGGGAGAGGCGGGCGACACACAGGAACTCCCCTGGGCCCTCCTCTGCCACGAGCGTGAGATCTCTGGAGTGAATGGTGGCTGCATCTTAAAACTGTTAGGTACTTACTGCCTGTTTGCCTGACGGAGGGGTGACGCCAGGGTTCACTACGACCGAGAAGATCGGGGAGGGTCTGTCCCTCGACACTCCCCAAAACAGTGCCTCACTGAACGTCTTCGGTCCTGGCCACTTAAACCGTTACCGTGGCATGGAGATGGCGTTGCTCTTATTAAGGGAAAGTTCTTTTAAGTATCTGCAGTGGAAGCAAGTGTTTTTCTTTTGAAAGTAAATTTTAGTTTTGGCAAAAGTCAAGTCCTAGGCATGACATAGATTTTAATTAGCTGTTACTGCTGGTTTCTTTTTGAATTTTGCTGTATTTGTTTCCTTTGTTTTGAGAGGAAGGCTTGGTGAAAAACAAGTTTAACTTTTAGATAAAACTAATATTCTTGAGGAACTCATAAATTTTTTTAGAAGTTAATCTCAAAGGAAGGGTTTTAAAAATGTCTGAAGTAATGGCCCCGTCCAGATAGGTAAGATTGCAGCCTTCCGGGGGAAAGTTCGAACTGACCGGTCTTGGAACAGTGAGACCTGGTACGTTTGTTTATAAACAGACCAGCTACTGCAAAGCTTCTAGCTAAAGTAGGGTTCCTTCACAAGAAAGGGCATTAAAAACAAATCATTTCAATTTTTGGAACTGGATTTTTAAAATTAGGTATTGCCTACGGTAAGATTTCCATCCCTCACACCAGACGAGATTGGTTTGAGCGCTGCTGATCGGGCACCATTGGAGCCCCACCCCAGCCTCCCTGCTCAGGGGGTCGAATCGCTGGTCTTTTCTGTTTTCTCTTCGGATCCGCACGGGGCGATGGAGAGGCAGCTGTCTGAAATCAGGGATGCGAATGAGCCCCATTTGGTGAAGCATTTGTTTTTAATGTTCATATATTTAAGTTTAGAACAGGCTTTGTTGTCGACGGCCAGTTTGCCTCCCTATTTACGTTTTCCCAAGACTCGTCACAGGCAGCGTCTTGCGCTGCAGCACGAACCGACGTTGAGAGAGGTAAACTTGACATTGGACGTGGTATAGGTCAGACGTCTGAAAATCATGGGTGTAGACCTGCTTCCTTACAACGTCCATTGGACCAGTTGTCCTCCATCCGGTTCCGAATCTGCACCGTCCTGAATGAGCCACCTTGTTTCTGTTTCCTGTGACCCCTCGGCCCCCGGCGCCCTGAGCGGACCGGGAGTGGGGGCGCCCTTCACCGCGGCCACAAGTAACACACCACCCTCTGTGTTCCCTTCCGTAGAGAGATGGTCAACGCGTGGTTTGCTGAGCGAGTGCACACCTTCGCCGCCTGCAAGGACGACGCCCGAGGCCGCGCCGAGTCCTGCCCTCGTCCCACCCGTCCCACGCAGCAGCCCTGCGCCCGCGCGGAGAGCAGCACCCCAGCCGCGCCCGCCAGGAAAATCTCCGCCTCCGAGTTCGACCGGCCCCTGAGGCCCATCGTGGTCAAGGACTCCGAGGGGACCCTGCGCTTCCTCTCGGACTCGGGGAAGAAGGAGCAGATGCCACCAACCCCCCCTCGGGTTGATGGGGACGACCAGGACCAGTGCTCACGACTCCTGGAGCTAGTGAAAGACATTTCCAGCCACCTGGATGTCACGGCCCTGTGCCACAAAATATTCCTGCACATCCACCAGCTCATCTCCGCGGACCGCTACTCGCTGTTCCTCGTGTGCGAGGACAGCTCCAACGACAAGTTCCTGGTCAGCCGCCTCTTCGACGTGGCCGAGGGGTCCACCCTGGAGCAGGCGTCCAACAGCTGCATCCGCCTGCAGTGGAACACGGGCATCGTGGGCCACGTGGCCGCGCGCGGGGAGCCCCTGAACATCAAAGACGCCTACGAGGTGAGGGGGGTGAGTTCTCGGCCAGGTTCAGAAGAGGAGTCAGTGGTGGCCACTTTTCCATCTTTAGACGCCGGTTCTGGTGGGTGCATCCGGGAAATGGCCCTGGCGGGGCCCTGTCCCCTTTGTCCCCCTTTCCCCGCTGGTGATACTGCGTCATCGTCCGCTCACAGCTGTGTGCCCACCTTCTTACCGGACCTTCCCACAGCCCCGTCTGTTACCTCTGTGTGAACCTCTGGAGTTTGCGCTGAGATTCCAACGCAGGTGCAAAAACCGTCCAAAAAAAAAAGCCTCTTGGCTTATATATATTCGTCTACCCACCCACCCATCCATCCAAAATCACACTCATTCACTCCAGGTCCCCCTGACACCAAGGACCGAGTCTCTTCCTTTCTATTCTTTCTTTCCTTTTTACTAAGCAAATAAAGTCATGGAGGTCTTTAAAAATGGAAATTTCAACTCTAAAATATTTTAATGCGAAGATTTCCTATTTTTCCCACTTCTGCTATAGTTATATACAGACCTTTCATTATGCTCTTACGGTTTATACTACATGATGTTTCAAATTTCATGCTTGAAGTGATCCTTTTCATCAACAAACCGACAGGCTTTACACCAAGCCCCTGGATTGAGAGACACGTCACCTGCGGGTGACAGGAAGACCCTCCGTTGCCGCCCCCCACCCTCCAGTGCGGAGGGCTGCCCTGTAAAGTGTCCGCGGCCCCCACCTGCAGCTCCTCCGTGGGATCCCGGGGGTCACGGCGCTCATGCACCCCAGAACCCCTGAGACGGTGCCTGGTGCCCAGTCATCTTTATAAACACTGACTCAGCAAAAGTCACAGCAGGTCCGGAGGACAAGCGGACAGGAGGCAGACCTGAGGGGCGGGTGCTGAGGAAAGCGGTGGGTCCGGGGCGGCAGGAGAGCACAGGTGTTTGGGCAGACGGACGGATGGAGGACGGAGGCCGGAGGGAGCGACGCTGGGTGTGGACACGGGACGGCGGACAGGACCTGAGTGGACGGAGGGAGTCGTGTGCGTGGTGGGACCCGCATGTGCAGAGGCAGTTAAAGCAGGGCAGGGAATGGGGGCCACGGCGCATGTCGAAACCGGTGGGTCGTAGTCCAGACACCGCGGAGCTGGAGGGGCGGGGCCTGCACACGGAGGGGACCTGAGTGCCAGGCTGAGGCGAGTGGCTGGGCCCAGGGCCCCGGGAGTAATCACAGCGGGTTTGAGGGGGCACCAGCGCAGCAGGCTGGGCCTGAGAAAGATGGATTTTACGGAGGCTGTAAAATGAAGCCGAGGGAAAAAGACTGGAGCGTGGGAGGGGAGCATTTTCACAGTGTGAGGAAGTGAGGTCTCCGAAGCAGGGCCCTGGCCTCCAAGGCCGAGAGGGGGTGCGTTCCAGACGGGGAGGTGGGGTCCGCTGGACTGGGCAGCAGGGGGGCGGAGTCGGCGAGAGAAGAGTCCAGGACTCGGGTTTGAAGGTGGGTGAACAGTAACTGGCGAGAAATACTGAGGGTAGGAACTTGGTAGATGTGACAGTTTAAGTGGGTTAAATCCTGAACTGTTTTTCAGAATCCATTCTGTACACGTGACCTATTCAAATCTGACTCTTCGCGGCGCTGTCTCGGTGCCCCCTTCCACCTCTGTAGTAACATCCCACCACAGCTGACCCCAGAAGGGCACTTGGGCACAGCTGAAGAATTCCCTTCTCATGACAGGTGACAGCTGCGTTTCCGCCCTTTGGTGGCGGTAGAGTCCCAGGGGTCCCCCGCCCGGAGAATTTCCCCACTGACCTGCATTTCCTCTAATCTGCTTACGCTCCTTGAATTTGGGCAATGCCATTTTTGTTCAGCGTCGGTGAGGATTTGACTTGTGCACGGCCATCTGGAAGAGCCTGTGTCCCCCCTGTCCTCTGCCAGGGCGAAGGCTCTCAGCCGAGATTCCTGCATTGTCACTTGACCCCCTGGGTCCTGGCCTGGGTGTAGAGCGGCCCCGCAGAAGTGACTTGTGTCCCAGGAATTTCATTTGAGGTGTGGGCTGATCGTTGACAGGCAACCGAGGTTGGTATGAACCTGGAAGTCAGCCCTGCCAGTAACGTGAATAATGAAGTGCCTGCCTCGCAGCCCTTTGTGAAAGGAGTCGGGACATGAAAGTGCATCAAGTGTTTTCCGAGCCTTGAAACTCGCGTCTGTGAAAGCAGCACTCTGCCGTAGGGTTTCTCAGGCACTCTGGACCACACGACACTTGGAAGGAGGGTGACATCACCCTGGGAAACCTCGAGGTGGCCGTGAAGTGTAAGCATGCGGGGGTTGGAGCTCAGAATAAAAAAATACCTCACGGATAAATGAGTAGTGAGAAAAATCAACATTTTACTCACTATTTGAAACTTTGTAAGAGAATGACGTAAATTGGAGGACTCAGATATTTAATTACTAATAAAAGGAACACACGCATACACTCAGGACGTGAGACCCAGCCCTCGGACAGCAATCCTTGGTCGGACCTCTGGAGCCAGGCGCTGCCCACCTGTCCATGGCCAGACACCGTCACCTTCTGCATCAGCCCATCGGCATCACGCAGGTTCTGGAATGTGGCACCGAGTGGTTGATAATAAGACATTAACACGGAGAATGCAACGTGGCAGTAGAAATCTGTTGGGCGCTTCTCTTACCTATAAAAACTAGGTGTCGCCCAATGTCTGGGTTGGACCGGGATCTAGTCAGGGCTCCATGGAGGAACAGGGCCCAGGGCCCAGGGGCCGACGTGCCCTCCCGCCTGTCTGCTGTGGTCGGGCCCCAGCGGGCTGGCCAGCACACCGCGTCGCCGAATTCTCTGCACCCGGCCCTGGGACGCGAACGCCCACTCTTCCGGAGACCCCCAGAAACCACGTTCCACCGGCTGTCAGATGTCCCTGAGCCGGGTCAGGGTGACGCGGGGAGTGGCCAGCACAGACGGCCTCCAGCCCTGGTTCCGCATCCTGTGGGAGCCTAAGCCTCCGAGACCCCCGTGTCCGAGGATCCACAGTGCGGAGCACCCCTCCTTCCCCCGAGTCCACTGGAAGGCCGACCCACAGGACGGCCACCCCGCACGCGCCCTGACTTCTGAGGACACGACTCGGGGTCCGAGGGAAGGGTGCTCACCGCCCAGCTTCCGTTCCTCCCACCCCACTTCGTTCCCCCCTTTCCACGCTTCCTCCAGAAAACTCGTCACCGTCTCACACCCTGCGGGTCTCACTTTCCACTTTTATTGAGACACACGGGCTCTCAAACGAGTGTCTGATGAACAGTTATTTCCAAGACGAGTCCCGGGAGGAAGAAATAGCTGCAGCCACTGTTTTGGTTTTGACGAATCCAGCCACCTGTCACCGCCCAGTCACACCCCAGGGAACGCAGTTTGGGAAATGCCGTGTCTGCTGCGGCTCGGCGCGCTCATCGCCTTCAGGCTTTGTCTGGAAACGCCACTTTGCAGAAGAAAACCAGCCGATACTTTGCCGAGTCTATTGTGTGACTTCCTTTTTGGTTTTCTGTTCTTTTTCGTCTCATTCCAACTCACGGGAAAGCTGCGAGACCCGGGTAAGAAGCTTCCACGTACCCAGCCCCAGTTAGGTTTTGCCCTATGTGCTGTAGCATTGTTCTCTTCCTCTCCATATAATGCATTTAAGTAATGAATGCGGGTTATGTCTTCTGAACCACTTAAGAAGTTGGAGACATTTTCACTAAGCATTCCAGTAAATTTTCAGTGTGTTTTTCAATGAGAACATTCTCTTCCGTCATTGCAATGTACCAAAATCAGGAAATTTTATGGTACAATGCTATTATCTACGCGGTTAAAGTCACGTTTGGCGAAGTGTCCCACTAATGCCCTTCACAGCTACTTTTTTCCTCCGACAAGGACCTCGTCCAGGGCGGCATGTGCACACCCTTGCCCCGTCGCTTTGGTCTCCTGCACATCTGGAGCCATTCCTCACTGTTTCTTTGTCTTCCTGGACACATATTTGAGAGGAACACAGGCCAGCTCTTCTGCGGAACAGATGCAGCCCAGGGCGCGGGCCTTGCTCCTGAGGACCCGGCTTCCCCTGCAGGGAACGTGAGGCACGCCCTGCCGCCCGCCCACCTACGCGGAGTGAGACCCGGGCTGCTGTCGGCTTTAACTCCCAGTCTGCCCCGGGCGCACCTGTCACAGGGCTGCTAACTTCTGAACTCCCCTCTGCCTACCTCTGTGGCCTGAATTAGGCGCTTGGGGCCAGCGCTGGTCTTTATAAAGTGGCCTTGTGACTGAAGTATTCATTAGCAGCATAAGTGCCGGCGGTGCCTTCTTCTTCCTGTGTTGACATTAGATTCACTGTGAGCCCATCGTTTGCTTCTTCCTGCGCGTCCACGTCGGTGTGCTGTCTGCTCTCTTCAGACGCGTGGCAGAGAGAGTGTTACTCGAGAACCACTTCTTAGAGACACTCAGCCACGCCTCCCTGTGTCTCGACAGAACTGTGAGCATGTGGCAGACAAAGCAACCACACAGCAACATTTACGCAGACCATACGAACTACTCACACTGATCCCCCACCACTGTGTAACTTTTCTTTCGAAAGAGCCTTTAATGCCACGTTTGGGTCCCCGAGGGGAGGACTGGCCTCGTTTCTGACCCCAATTGAGTGAATCCATGTAACCATTTAATCCATTTACAGCTTGGGCTTTGCATGACTTTTGACTAATTAAAAAAATAGAAATGACCTTCAAAGATGAGGATTTTCCAGTGTGGCTATTCCATACCCTCTGAAGGGAATTCCCAAAGCAGACTCGTGCAAGCAGAGGTGCTATTATTAGGCCGAGCCTGTATCTTCCCAGGCCTGCTGCTCCGAACGCTCATTCCAGGGCTTCTGCTCCGCTGTGCGGTTTCCGTTCTAGTCGCCCCCACAGGGCGCCCCCCACCCACCGACGAGATCGGCTCTGAACAATAATAAGCTGAAGATGATCCCCTTTGATGATGGCAATGCCTGTTACTAATGAGTCCCTTCATTAATGTAGCAAATGCGTGGGATTCCTGTGTGAAATACCGGAGATGCACCGATGGGCCAAACGCAGCCCGTGCCTGAGCCGACAGCCCACCTTTCACCTCCCGGGTCTGCAAGGACATGGGGCCCCCCTCTCCCTGTGCCCACCCTCCGGACGGCACGGCCCCCAGTCCCTCCTGACCGCTGGGTGTGCATGGTGTGCCTCCTTAAAGGGGGCGGCACCCAGAGGGCGAAGTTGTATGTGGTCTGAGGCCATTCAGCTTTCTCAGGTGTTAAAAAAAGGGGGCGACGGTAAGATTTAAATTCCTATGAGCCCCTGGGACACAGGAAACAGGGGGCCGGTGCTCCCAAGGGAGGGGAGGAGGCGGTGAGGAGGCGGTGGGTTTCGTGGGGAGTGTCAGAGCAGAGACAGCGTCTTGGGGGCGGGCGGGTGGGGGGGCACAGAGGGACAGAACTGAGAGCTGAGACTGTGCTGCCCAGGGCATGGCTGCGCTTCCCTGATTTTAAGTAAAGCTGCCGAAATTGGTTCATATTTTGAATTCCCTTTATTTCTGAGCGTTTTGGTTGAGTCTTTATTTTTCGGGTTCTCATAAACATTCGCTTCTCGGAAAAACTTAAATGTGTCTTGTTAAAAATGCTGTGCACTTACATGATCAGCTGCCTGTTACAGCAATAAAATTGTCATCCAGGGCAAAAAGGTAAGTCGAAGGGCAGATTTCTCTAATCTTATAAGTCAGGAAAATCAAATCAGTCTTTGAACAGGTCAGCCACTAAATTGAATTTCTTTTTCCTTGCAAGGATCCTCGATTCAATGCAGAAGTTGACCGAATTACCGGCTACAGGACACAAAGTATCCTCTGCATGCCAATTAAGAATCACAGGGAAGAGGTAAGCCAATTTTCCATTTTATAAAAGGTCATCTGAAAACATTTTTCTTTTTGAAAACAAATTTGCATACTAGAGTGACAAATTAACTGTAAAGTACTTAAATGTCCTGCTTCATCTTTCTAATTTAGACTTCAGTTTCAGGGTTGAATCCTGATACAGATTTTGCTGTCACTTACAAATAGACTTCGGGCCTTTCATTTCTTTACCAACTCCCAGCTTCCCTCGTGACTTTATTCTGCCCAGGACATGCCATTGTGGTTGTGGTGGTGATCACTTCATTTGTGTATGTTGAGCGACGAAGTAATGCTCTTTCCCAAATGGTTACCCAGTTACAATGTTCATCAGAAATTTTAAGGTTCATCTGCAAGTTTTTTCTAATTGTTGCACATTTTTTCAATGTATTTATTGAAAACAATCTGTGTGTAAGAGGCCCTGCGTGTTTCAACCCGTGTGGTTCAAGAAGGGGGGCGCTAGTCCCCTGGTAGGTGGGTGTGTGACTGTGGGAGGGACTCCCCATCTCTCCCCGAAGGCCACTGAGCCACCTGCGCCCTCATCCACCATGTATGGTGGCCCCATGTCCTCGGCCATCCTGGGCATTGTCCGTGTGTGACATTTCAGCCACCCTGGAGGGGACGATTTAAACTCAGAAGCGTGGACACACGACCCCACCCTCAGCCACGGGCCACCTGTGCCTCGCAGGTCGGATCAGAGTGCATGCAGGCCCGGGGGCCCAGGCTGTGGTTTTCCTGCCGGACCCGAGTGTCCTCCCCACCCCTGCCTGCCCCACGCTCCGCATCCTCACCGGCGGTCACCGCTCCCTGGCACCAAGCACTCCATGAGATAAGACACCACCAGGAACTTCCCTGGAGGCCGGAGACCTTGACTGAAGGGAGGGTTTCCACACACGGCTTTAACCCTCTCGCTGCCCCCCCATCCCGCCGCCTCCGCGCCCCCGCCCCAGGCCCACATCACGTCCCGTGAGAGTCATCTGCACAGAAGAGGATGATGAAAAACAGAAGAATGGGAGGCTCTCGGCCAGGCCCTGGTCATCTGAAGAAGTAACGTGGCTGCCGGGGGGGCGAGGCGGCCAAGAGGATGTGGCGGAGGACTTCCAGATTTATCCTCCCACTTGTGGTCACGTAAACACGCTCGGGGCAGGGGCAGCTTCTGTGCACGCGCGGAAGTCCTCTTTCTCCCATGAAGCTTTTGGGACCAGAATGGAGAGTCCCAGGAAGGGCTTGGCGAGCGACGTAAGACGTGTGCTCTTGGGGGGAAGCCCCCTCACCTGCTGAGAAACGGGGTGGGACGGGCCTGCCCAGGAGTTCCCTACAAACCCGGGCTTACGGACGACCTGCCCCTGGGGTCTTGAGGACGGCGCAGTCCCTGGTACATGGGGAGTCCTGGGTACAGGCCAGCTGTTTGTTCTTACGACAGACAGAACTGGCAGGGCCTTTAAGACAGACAGGGAGTGACAAAGCTGTCCCTGGGAGGGACAGGTCACCGGCCACAGACCGACCAGCCAGCTGGGGTCACGTGATCACGGTACAGTCCACCATCGAACCAGCGCCTCCAAGGAGACGGCTTTTGCTGGCTTTCCCCATAAATGAGGCCAAGTGACTCTGGAGTCTGCTCTGTGTTGGCCCCGTGCCAACGCCAGCTCGTGACCGAGGGGCCTACAGTGGAAAGTGACCAGTGACTATTTGGTCGTTGTCTGCAAAACGCCCTGGTACCTTTCAGAGACCCTGATCCCAGGGCGTGGCGTCAGTGTGACAACTGCCTGGCGGGGCAGTTAAATGTCGAAGGCGAGGCTCAGCTGTGACGGTGCAGAGAGTTCAGGGAGACTGAAGATTTGGTGAGAGGTATAATCATCTGTCTCTAGTTCTGAGTTTTGGGAGTCCTCTTCCTTACCGCCCAGTCGTGAGGGCAATAGCTGCAGCGGTCCCTTTTTAGAAGCCCGATAGCAGACATTCCTGAACTTCTGTGGTGAATGTCTTTTTAAATTGCAGAGCAGAGCTTTTTACAACCTCCCGCGCCTCAGCTCCCTTCTAAGAGGAGAGGATTAATGAGGAAAGTGGTGGGTGGGGGCTGGAAAAGCTTGAGAAAACTAAAACAATTTGTTGGGAAAGGTCAAAGAGCAACTGGCTGGAGAGAATGAAGACAGAAAGACGCAGGGCCAGGGAGAGAGGGGAGCCGCCGGGCCCGGCCGCAGGGTGAGGACCATGGCCAGGGCTCTGGCGACCGCTGCCCACCCTGCCGCACCCTCCTGAGGACCTGGGGTACATCGACTCGCATGACCTTCATCCCGACCCCAGGAGGCCGTTGGTACCGCCCGCGCCTAACAGATGAGGAAACACACAGCACATCGGGGAGCTCGTCCAAAGCCACGCAACTCGGCTCTGGCGGAGCTGAGAGTCAGACTGGGCGGGCTGTCCCCAGGGCCACAACGTGGGGGGAGGCTGGGCCCCAGGGGGCTCCGTGCGGGGGAGGCCCTGACAGTGGAGTGAGGGGTCCCGCTGCTGTCCCTCGTCCCTCGGAGGGCTCTGCGGAGCGAGGGGTTCGAGCCGCTGCACACGAGGCTCCTTGTCAGACGGAGGAAGAAGGGCAGGGTCGGGAGGGAGGCGGGCTCGGGGTCACATCCTCTGTGGCGTCCTGGGAGGACACGTCCCCCGGGAGGACAGCGTTCGGGGGCGTGCATCCTGTCCATCTGGGCCCGGTGCTTTAGGGAACAGCCGGGACGGGCCCACAGGCACAGAGAAAGCCATTTGCAGCGTGTGTGTGGATTTGGGGGCAGCTGTTCCCTGGCTTCCGCGCTGGGTCTCGGGGACCCGGTCACTCCCGTCAGTTACTTCTACACCAGACAGTCCCTTTCCTGTTCGGGAAAGGAGGGCAGGGAGAGCAGCTCTTCCTCTGTGGCTCAGGCGACCCATTTCTGCAGTGCCGCCCTCCCCGGGCGCTGGTCGCCGTGACGCGGGGAGACGCGTGTGCTTTATTTTTAGGGCTGCGCGGACCAGGATGAGGGAACGTTCCTCCTCGCTGCGCCGAGCTGGCCGTGCTGCCCGGGGGGTCTTCCTGGCGGAGACCCCGCTTCCTCTTGGTTGCATGTCAACTCCAGTCACGGAGGGGAAATCTAATTTGGAACCAGGGCTCTCTTGCTCCTTCTCTGTTTTCATTCTGCGTCTCGATTGTACTTCATCACAGGCGATGCCATAGTCGTCAATCTTTGATGCAGATACAACAGGACTCTGATAAGTGTTTCAACAATTTGATGAGGAAGCGTTTTAGTTAAATATCTAATTACTTATATCCTCCTTTGAAAAAAAGCCTACAAGTTTTGAAAAAATGTATCAGCTAATTTTTGTGAGGTTTTTGTGAGATGAATACTTTGGCGAACCAAGAGATTTAATGCTGCCGAAACCACAAAGTAAAGCGCTGATGGAGTCAGACGTGCAATTCCAGCTGTAACACACAAAAAGAAACGTTCGCAGTGTGCAAAAGTGACGCTAAGCCGTACTGACTTTGCTGATTTTAAAAATTCTCATGCCCCACACACTGTCTTCTCTGGACAAGTAGTGAGTGAGTCGCTATGACGTGTGGGTGCTTGGTCTTGGCAGCGAGGCTACGAAAAGCTTGAAGCATGAAGACACTTGCTGTAAAGCTGTTGCCCCTGGTGGGTGGAGAGCTTGAACAGCAGGAATTACAGATCAGCTGGAGGTAACAGGATGCAGGCTGACCGAGCTTCAACACCCACATTCAAGGGTCAGGCTGTGTGAACGGGGAACCGGAGAAGTGGCCAGGGAGGGATGGCCGAGGGGTGTCTGGGGGGTCCGCAGAGGGGCCTGTCGGGTCCACCCCGGGGCCCGGGGTGGAGGGGCTCGGGCGGTGGACGCCGGTCCGCGGTGTCCGGCTCCCAGAGCCGCTGGGGCCTCCTTCAACTTGACACAGCAGCTGGGAGCAGGTCGAGTTACAGCTTTACTAACCCACGGTCCTCCCGTCTGCAGTCAGACGGCGTGCAAATGTGGCCACGGAAGGAAGCAGAGTGGAACTGCAGGCTGCTGGTTGATCCGGATCTATTTTCGTCTTAAAGAACTGGCTCCTCCTGTGTGTCTTTGAAACCGACAAACCGTCCCCTGCCTTTATTCCCTCTGGTATTTGTTCTCGTAGCTTCGTTTCAGAAACAGAGCAAACGTGCTCGCAGAGTCCCTGTTTGTTCTGGACGGGATGTCACGATGCCCATGAGCTTGGCCTCCCCCTTTCCCGCTTTGCCCTTTAACCACCGACAAGCGTGTTCACAAGGAGGAAACAGCAGCCCCTGTGCTGAGGCCGCAGAGGCCGCAGGTGGCCTCCCGGGAGCAGGAGAGGGCGCAGCGTGAGTAAGGGTCATCTCATGGTGACGACCAGGGCGGGTCGTCTCACGGCGGTGCCTGGTGGGGCGCTGGCTGTGGCCTGAGCGCCGGGTGACAGAGGACACCGTGTGCGTGTCTCGCTCGGCCCCGCAGGGCGACCACTGCAGCCTTGCTGGATGCATTACGTCTGTAGTGTGACCGATCAGTTACACGCTGCACTTGGAGGACTCGCACGCAGGCCCTGAATAGCGGCCATAGTGGTCTGGGGCCCGTGCGGGCAAAGTGCCAACAGTTTCTTGGGTAACATCGGACCCGGAGGCGCATAACCAGACCCTGGGGTGGAGTTCGAGTGCTGAGTGATTCTGACCTTGTCTCAGACAGTTAAATCGCCGCTCTCAGCAGATACATGTGCAAACGCCCACGTCCATCGACTCAGAGCTGAGAGTCAAAGGGCTTTATAAAGGGCTCTATTCCTTCCGATTAAATCCTCAGCTAAACGTCCGCAGCTGCTTCTCCTCCAACCGAGTGGAGATGCACATTCCAGGGTTAAATCCAGTGACGGAGTGAGAGGGGAAGATCCCTACAGTCATTGCGTCCCACTTGGTTTTCATCGCCCCCTAGCAGTGAAACAAGGGGAAAGTGACTTGGACTTAGCACCCGGGTCTCTTTGGTGATTACAAATGACTTGATGATTGTGAGGACCGTGCTAGTGATCTGTCGAAACAGGACAAAGCCCCTGAAGCCCAGGGACGATGAATGGACCCCGGGGGCAGGGCGGGTCCACGGCTCCGCCCAGGCCCCTGCTCGCAGGCCAGCAGCAGTAGTGGAAGGTGAGGCCCTTGTCCCCAAGGGCTCCCTCCACTGCCGTTGGGAAGGCAGCCTCAGTCCATCCTCGCCTGGGCCTCGCCCCACAGAGTCCCCACCCCGAGGCAGAGGCCAGCAGGGTGGGGGTGCAGACCAGTCTCCAGAGCTGTGTGCCATCCCCTCCGGGCGCCCTGCTCCCTGAGGGCCAGGCGGCAGGTGTAGCCCCAAGTCGGGGGAGGGGCGTCAGGCCCCACCTGTGAAGAGGGGAGGCTCGGAGAGTTTGTGGTGACGTCTTGAAACTGCTAAGGACTAAATGTATTTTGTGGCTTCATTCTCTTTCCTTAAAACTGGCCCAATGATAGAGGAGGACACTGCTGGCTGATTAAAATAATACTTAAGACGTCTTTCTCACCCCTCGTGTGCTCACCTACCCCCTGGACCACCCGAGGCGGCACCGCTGGGCTGACGGAAGGTGCCGGGCTGGCCTGTGTCCCGGGGCAGCGGAGGTGGCGATTTGGAGGAGCAGTGCGGAGAGAGGACAGGGCCTGCTTCCTGGGCTGTGGCAAAGGGCCGGGGCATTATCGTGCTTCCAGAATGTTCTGTCACACAGGCTGCTCTGCGGGCAGGTGCAGCTGGCACGGGACCGAAGTCCTCTGCTCTTCAACCTCCACAGGAAGTGCCACGGCTGTAACCTCACTGTCTGTCCGCCCTGGTGTTCCCTGCACCCGCCCGGGATCCGGAGCCACTGATCCCGTCCAGCACTTGCTGCAGTTTAGACTGAAGGAGGGGAGGCCCTGGCAACAGAACCGTTCCTGCCGGGCACTGGAGGGGCTGGGTTTAAAGGACAGCTGGCGTCCCTTAAAGATCGCTGTTAAGGACCAACAGCTTCCTTTTGCTTCCCATGGAACCCAGAGCCCCACGAGCCGACACCTGAGAGGTCTGCACAGTCAGCACCTTGCACGTGTGTTTGAGCGTGGAGGATGGCCTGTGTCTCGGTGCAGGGACACTAGTGAGGAGGCTTTCCCCACGATTTGGAGCAGACACAGAGCCAGCTGCAGCCCCGGGGCCAGAGGGGCGGGTCTGCTCCTCTCCGCGTGGGAGGCTGAGGATTGATCTGATACAGGAGGACCGGAAGGAAGAATCGGGAACACATCCCAGGTTGTTTAGATAAACGTATGGGGGAGAGTGTGGTCGTCCCTAAAATAAAACATGCCGCAGAGAGGATCCGTTCGTAAGGCTCAAGACAATTAGCTCCTTTTTTGGACATGTTGTTTCACTGCCTAGCACTCTCCCCTCTCTTGTCCAGTGCCCAGGCCGCCTCCCCACCCCCACATCCAGCGGACGGCCTGGCTTATTAGCTCCGTGGAAACAAAGCCATCAGAAGAACGCCCCCCCCTCCTGTTCCCTCCCGGCTCCTTCCCCGCTCATCGGCTTTTCCCTCCGCACCGGCAGCTGTTCCTCCAAAGCCGTCCCAACCCCACCCTCACCGCTCTGTGGAAACCGCCCTGGGAGAGAACCCACTCTCCTGTGGGCAACAGCTGTGGTCCTTTCTCTGGCCTCACCGTGCCCGGCCGGTCAGTAGCACGTGGCAGTGATGGCGGTCACTCACTCCTCCGAGACCTCAGACTTCCCAGTGGTCCTGTCTCCCGAGGCCTTTCCGAGTCCTCGGCTGGCACCCGCCCATCACAACTTAGTGTTTTTTATTGAAAGACCATAAAAGATAATCACATGAACTGTGATTGCCAATGATTTCTTTCACCGTGCTAGGTGAACTCACAGAATCAAGTACAGCCTGGGACCCAAGAAGTTGAAAACTTCCAAACTCTTCCAGGGAACCAGACCGCAGTGAACACTGCAGGACTCGTTCAGTTACCGACGGGTTTGTCCGGGTTCCGTAGCTCACTGCCACCCCAACACCGGCAGAACTGCTTCTGCACACACTCCAGTGAATGTGTACCAGTAACTTTGCTCAACGCAATGACCGCCTCTCTCTCCTCGCACCAGGTTGTCGGCGTGGCCCAGGCCATCAACAAGAAGTCGGGAAATGGCGGGACATTCACGGAAAAGGATGAGAAGGTACGAAACTTGCGTCCCAGTGTGACGTTTGTCCAGGAAGATGTGTTCTCTTTAGCCCACAGGTGGCAAACACAAGGCCCTCGGCCGAATCCGGCCTCCACCTTGTTTTATGTGGCCCGGCACCTTGTGTCTACGCGGCGGCAGCGCCGAGCTCCCTGCCCCTGGTGAAGGAGCGGTTACACTTACACAGTCCTCAGATTGCATGCGGCCCTTTGAAGGCCGGCTCGAGGCTGATGGGGCCCCGGTGAAGGCGAGTCTCACACCCCTACTTCAGAGTGCACAGACCTCCGGGCTGGGCTTTGGCTGAACCTTGTTGAGCACAAAACTCACTGTGGTTTAAAGCGGCTCGGAACGGCCGCCGCTGCCTTTCCCTTGGCAGACACGGGGCCACCCTGGCCGTGGACCACCTGTGCTCTCATCCAGTCCGCAGAACCCCGCCCCCCTCTCCATGTGGCCACGCCTCCCCAGGGCTGTGTGTGCCCAGGGTGTGGTGGGCCTTTAATTCGCTCCTGTACCTTTTATCACTGCTATTAAGAAATTTGACCTCCAGCGAAAGCCCCTAAAGCAGTGAGTGCTCCAGGCTTGGCGCTCCAGTTCAGGGACAAATGGAACTGCCTTCCGGGCAAAGCCAACTGCAGAATGTCTTCTCAGCTTTGCCCACAGACTGCAGGGCACCAGCGTGGGGATTCGATTTGGGCTGGAGGGTGTGCGGCTGGCTCCCGAGAGAGCAGGGGCTCTGAGCCGCTGAGAGCACAGCAGGCCCCTCTGCATAATGGGTGTAACAGACACCCGTGCTCCTTCTCTGTGAGTGACCCCTGCGAGTACTTGGTGGGAAGCACAGCTCTCAATGGGCTTTGCGTCCCGCTGTCTGTCTGTGGTCCATTAACGTGAGCCCCGCTTGAAAGATTCTCATCCCAAGGCTGTAGTCTCCTGGCAAAATAAATCCATGACCGTGGATTAAAATGTGTCCTATAAAGACAAATTCTGATCAACAAGTAACATCACCGTGAGCCCATCGCCTTAGCTGGTGTGGGGAGGGTGAGAGCTGCCTGTTAACAAGAACGCAGTCCAGCTCCTGTTTGCCACTTTACAAGCTCAAGAGCTTTATTTGCCCTGGGAATAAGTTATAAGTCACTCCTGCCTTCTCAGCACGGACCCGAGTCTCGCTGTCACTTGGGGATCACACCGAATGGGCACAGGGCAGGCTCGGTTTCAGACGATGTCAAGAGCCCCGAGTCTTCATCCCCCTCCCTCCTCCTTGTTCATTAGTGGACGGACGTAGGAGACTCTGCGAACACTTGTCATCCACGGGGGGTGCCGCAGAGCTAGGTTTGGCTTTCTAACACTGACTTCAGCTCTAAGAACCTCCGGACGCCTCTACACTTCAGGTAATGTAAGGAGACAGTCTCACGGACCGTTCTTATCTGGTGCCTGTTTTCTAGGACTTCGCTGCTTACTTGGCCTTCTGTGGGATTGTCCTTCATAACGCCCAGCTCTACGAGACTTCGCTGCTGGAGAACAGGAGAAACCAGGCAAGTCTGATGCCCGGGAGCACGGAATTTCATCCTGAATTTTTGTCAGACCTTTACCAGTGTGTGCGTCTGACTTTTGTCCAGCGTATGTGTGTGACTGAAACCCACAGAGCACAGATTCAGTTTCTAAATACTTGGGCCGTCTCTTCTAACAGTCATTCCCATTCCCAATTGTGCTTTATCGCTGATCAAAGGTGCCGGCTGGCTTAACAGGTGCAGGCTTGCTTGGCTTGCAGACCCCGCCTCGCCTGACAGCCGTGAAGCCCCAGGGCTGAGCTGTGGGATGGGTTGCATCTGGGATGGAAAGAAGGCTTTCGGTTCTCGCTCTCTCAAGTAGACACATCATCTTTGGATTTTATTCTCCACAAGACGAGGACCTCGGCGCCCCCGTCTCTCCTTCAGACCACCGCTCCTAACCGCTGCTTTCCCACCCTGACTTTTTCCCCTGGGTTGCCCATGTGGGTAACACACGTATTGTCTACGGCCAATGTTTAATGTTCTTACCCCTTTTGTGTAGGTTAATTCTGAAGTTGCAATTTCAAATAAGGTGTTTTTATAAGTGCTATGGCTGTGTAAATGCTGTTCATATTAGTTTTTCTGAATGTTGCTGAACTCCTCGCTTTTATCCTTGAACCCTTTGCTCTGGTTTACTCCCGTACTAACTCCTGTCCCCGAGACTCTCCATTATTCAAGCACTCGGTTGAGCTCTTACCTCGGAGATCTCCAAATCCTCCTCCTCCTCCTCCTCCATCTTTCCTCCTCCGAGGCAGACGTCTTCGCCCCACGGCCTCCGCACAGCGTCAGTGCAGAGCCCCTTCGCGGCCTCCTCAGGAGGGCACCTCCGCTCTCCGCTGCACCCCTAACTCGCCTCGGTTCTCCGCCTGGTTTCACTGCAGCCCGTTCTCAGCGAACTCCCTGGGGAAGGGCAGTGGCGCGGCGGGCGTTCGGAGTCCTCACGTGTATGAGAATGTCCACCGTGCCACCGCCAGTTTGGCTGGGTATAAAATTCTCAAAAAGTATCACCTTCTCAGATTTTAAAGGCAGAGCTTTCTTTATGTTCTGACTAGTATCCATGTTGTGCCAATTCTTGCCTCTCTCTGAGTTTTTATTTTGCCCGTAAACTTCTGGATTATTTTTTGATCTTTGCTTTGGTAACGTAATCTCACAACATGACTTTTTTGTTTGAAACTCATTATGCTGATACCTGGTCATCCCTCTCAATCTAGAGACTTGTGTCCTTAAGTTTTAGGTGATTCTTTTTCATTTCTTCTTTGACAGTTCATCTCCCCTGCTCTCCATTTTTTTCTTTTTTTTGAACTTGTGTCAATAAGATGAACTTGTGTTTGTTAGTGCCTTGTAAATGCTACCTTGTTTCGTGCTTACAACATTACTATGATTTCGGTACCGCCGTTACCCTCAGTTTTAAGAGTCGGGCCCTAGATCACAGACCTGGCGGGAAGGGAAGTCAGGATTAAACTCCGGTGAGTCTGGACTCGGAGTCTGCGATCGAACCGCTGTCCCCACTGTAGTAACAGCAGACAGGGAACCGCCGTTAGGTGTTAGGGGCAGCGACGGAGGTGGGGACATGCTTGAATGCGAACCTGGTCCTGACTCGTTAGGTTACAGGCGTACGAACCCCACATAGCCCATGTCTGTCCTTACGTTGCTTTAATGATCACAAGCAGTCACTAAACAGCAAGCTCCCGGCTCTTTCCGGTCTAGGTGCTGCTGGACCTTGCCAGCCTGATCTTCGAAGAACAGCAGTCCTTGGAAGTGATCCTGAAGAAGATGGCCGCCACCATCATCTCCTTCATGCAGGTGCAGACCTGCACCATCTTCATGGTGGACGCCGACGGCCCCGTGAGTGCAGGACACGCCTTCTCACTTGCAGGGAGGCAGACACGTTCCTCAGAGCGCCACTTTTCAACCGCACGCCAGCCCCTGAGCTCCCTCTCGGACCCTCCTGGCTGTTCACGCAAAGCCAGTGACAGGCGGTGTGAGCTGTCCTGGTGGAATTTGGTGGCAGCAGGGGTGCAGGGTCCCCTCAGTGTCCCTCCTCTAAGCAGTCGCCACGGGAGCGTCTTGAGTGGCCGTGGTCCAGGGCTCCGCAGCCTCGGTGGAGAATCACGTGGGTAGTACAGTGTGGACTCTGTGGTCAGGAATGGGGGGTCCCGGCTGTGAGGGACAGGTGGACCCCCATTCTGAATCCTGGGGTATACAATTTTCTTTTAGCGGAACCTGTCTGAAAACCAGCGGGCAGGGCCGCGTACAGGCGGTGTTTTTCAAGCTGCCTGTACATCCCCGACCGCGACAGTGTTCTAACCGGTAGCGTTCCACCCCCCGATTTGTAACATGAAGCAGCAGATGCGTGTGGGAAGTCATTTCCCACACAGCCTGCTGCGTAGTTTCAACCAGTTATGAGATCTTTATATCGAGATGACTACAAGGTGGTAATCATCTGGACCCTTTTAAAGTCCGGGTCGGAACTCATTAACGCAGTACGTCAACCCATCGCGTTCGCCCGGGACCCGCTCTTCAGCGTCTGATTTGTGGAAGTCGTATGTGAGGCCCCCTTTTGCAGACGACTTACATGTCGCTCTGATTAACATCCAGCTGTGCTTCCCACTCCCCCCTGTCGAGTGTCTCTGATCTGGTTCAGCGGTGCTTTGGAGTAAGGCCCACTTTGAACGACTTCAGTGCCCGGGCTTAGAAAAGGAATTAAGTGATGTGATTTATTGATTGACTAAAAGTATGTCAACAACGTGAGCCAAAATCAAAATGTAAACGAGAAAAAAAAACACTCCACTTTTAAACTAACATCATTGTTTCATTTATGTTTCCTTCCAATTCTTTATTCAGGTGTGAGTGTGGCCTCGTCGCAAATGTGTCCTCTGCTTTTGTTTTTAAAGATTTTATTTATTTATCTTTAGAGGGGAAGGAAGGAGAGAGGGAGAGAAATATCAGTGTGTGGTTGCCTCTCATCTGTCCCCTGCTGGGAACTGGCCTGCAACCCAGGCATGTGCCCTGACTGGGAATCGAACCACGATTGTTTTGTTCGTAGGCCCATACTCAATCCACTGAGCTACACCAGCCAGGGCTACTCTGCTTTTTAATGTAACTCCCAAAGTATTTTTCTATGTTGCTAAACTCCTCATGATTCTTGTAATGATCTCATAAAATATTACTGAAAGGCACGTCCTTTAAAACAGACGCTCCTCACCTGGGATCTAACAGTGGCAATAAGTAGACACATAAAAGCAAGAACGGGAGGACCTTGAACAAACACAGAGAAGCTGCGAAGCTAACATTGGTTAACACCTGGTCAAAAACAACAATAAGTAAGCGAGTTGCAAGTGAAGAGCAGAAAGGACGGGGCCACGGCTTCAATCACACAGGGTCAGGAGTGAGCGCTGGGTCCAGTGTCCTCTGAAAATGACTGAGAAACAACTGGCCCCAAGGCGCAGGTGCCCATCCTGCCCTGGCCGTGCATGGCCGTGCGTGGCCGTGCGCAGCCGCGGGGGCGCCCTGGCCGGCGCGCCTCTCAGTGCTGCTGCCGCCTCTCTCTCCCCAGGACGCCTTCTCCAGCGTGTTCCACATGGAGTGTGAGGAGCTGGAGATGCCGGCCGGCGCAGGAGCCAGGTAAGTCGGCCCCGCTGCCTCCCGGGGCGCATGGTACTGGCCGCGGTGCGGGCGTTACATTTGAGACGCGAATGCGCAGGCTGCCGTTCCCCACACTTTAAAATGGTTCGGTCCATGACAACTAGGTGAATGTACCTGATTCAATATCAAACATACGTGTGTCGGGGAAGCAAATGTGGCGACGTGTGAATATTACTAATAAAAGGTTGCTGAGTCTAGGACTAGGATACCCATTGCACCTCCAGCTTTTTCATGTATTTCAAAACAATCATCACACAAAGTTAGAAGAAAAGGCTTTTGATTTAAAAAAAAAAGAGAGAGAGACAAGTGGAGGGCACGTCACCTCTGCGGGTCCCGTACAGCGGACCGCCGGGCAGCACGCCCGAGGGCACCGCCTGCCTCCCTCCGGCCCTCGCACGACCACCCCGGGTCACCACAGGTGGCAGCGCCGCCCTCGAGTCCCCCCTCCCTGCTTTCTCTCTCGCCCGCTCTCTCCTCTCTTGTCCTCCCAGGTCCCCCATCGCGGTGGAAAACTGCACCGCGGCCACTGCCAAGTCCTTGGTTTGTAGGGATTGTGTGTAAATCAAAACTCACGATTTCTACACCATTATTTTACCAACACATGCCAGTAGAAGGCCTTTCTCCTACTAAGAAAACTCCGGGGTGCAGCTGAGGGGCAGGAGGTAGCTCCGGGTGCATGGGGATTCCCGGGACGGAGGCAGAGGGTGCCCCGGCCTTGGCCCTGGCTGCCGGCCTGGGCGTGGGGCAGCTGCGCAGGCAGGTGAGCCCGGGTCTCTGCCCAGAGGCTCTGCTGCCCCGGAGCTTCTGCTTCACAGTCACAGCTGACAGCTGACCTTCATTTCCCTCTGGGCACTGCTGGTCTCGACTGGAGTTCGTTCCCTTCTCGTGTCCCTGTGTTTTCTGGTTCTCTGACACTGTGGAGTGCGACCGGTCCCCTTTGGGGGTGCGGGGACGTGGCCACGTCCTGGGGAGTGGTGGCTCTCCCACTCACACGCCGGGTCCCAGGCTCCACTGCCTAGTTCAGCTACGGAGTTTCTCACTCTCTGCACAAGCAGTAATCCACACTATTCCAATTTCATGAGGCCCCGGCACTGTCATTGCTTTTTATAAAGAACATTTTAGAAAGCTTCCAGATAAGACGTGTAATAATTTGACGTTTTTTTTTTCGGCTTGCATAAACAATGAATTCCCATACGTGTACAAATATAAACATACATGTATATTAGTGAATTTAGGACATTGGTGTGATAATGCACATGAAATGTACAAAATTATGAATTATCTGCATTTTCCTTTGAATATTTGTGCAGCAGTATGTCTCTGTAATTCTATTTCATGTATTTGCATTGGGATTTTATTATTAATTCAGGCAAGTCCTCTAATTCCCTGTGGTCACAGCGGAAGGAGCCCAGTGAGTTGGTGTAAGAGTGACCCCTACTGGTGAATGTGCACGTTTCAAAAAAGCAATGTCGTTCTATAGATTTAATTTCTTACTATATATTCAATTTGTGTCTGGTGAACACCATATTCCCTTCCTGTAAGCAAAATAGAGGTATCTTTTCACATACGCTTCTAATCATTTCAAAACTGTCATAGGTTAAAGACATTTTTTACAAAAGGTAACTAGAAGAGTGGGACTGATCTGCGGGGGTCATTTTCACCGATTCGTTAACTGATTCTGTAGTAATGCAAGTTGTTGAAACACTAGTGCCGTATGTCCACTAAACATTTTAAATGTAGCTGTTATTCTAACGATGTGATATAAGGTCTCATAGTGAGGTGAGTTTTTTTAAATAAAAATTAGATACAAGGCTGAATGTTGCAAAAACTTTGCTTCAGAATGGTGTTTAATAACCCTGCATTTGAGGAAGGACTGGGCTGCCACTCACACATCAGCAGCAGTTTTTTATCTTCTGAAACTGCTCAGTGACTGCAGCACCCAGGCCCCTCCCGAGCGTTTTCTCAGTCCAAACACTCCTCCGTGAGAGGAAGATGTCAGCCACGAGGAAAGCTGTCTTTGCAGGCAGTCACGTGTCATTTTGAAAGCTTGGTTCACTTGGTATGTTTCCAGCCAACCCACTTATCTTTTATGAATTCAAGTGTTATATTGGAGACGGTTTGGAAATGTTAGGTGCAAAACTAAAACATACCTGGGGTGCCCATGACGCATAATTATCGGCCCCCTTCGTTCCTCCTGTCTCTCGTCATTCCCATCCTGCCCCCTCACCTGGCCTTTCACACCTGCCTCCGACGCCACCTCCCCACCCGCTCTGAGCAGGTGCAAACTGTCCTCTGCCCCCGCACCCGCGGTGCCCCCGCGCCCGCGGTGTGGCGCTGTTACGCCGCGTTAGTCAGCCCGGGGCCTCACCGTGACTCTAAGATCCCGGCACAGAAGGGGCCTAAGCAGAAGTGCAGACATGTTGCTCCGTCCTGGGGAAGCCCAAGGTGGGCCCAGGCCCCTCGGGGTCTCTCCCTGCACGTCCAGGGTGGGCCCTCCTCGTGGGGTTGGGGATGCAGCTCCCGCTGCCCCCTCCGAGTTTCTGAGGGTGGCATGGAGGACAGTGAGGGACGGGCAGAGACACATGCCCGTGGTCCCCTCAGCCAGGGTTTTTAGAAACCGCGACATTTCCTGTTCTGTCCTGCTGACTTGGACTTAATCAACCGGCAACCCCCAGCCACAGGACGCCTGAGCCCCACAGTCTTTGTCCTGCGGCCAGGGGCCCAGAGGGGAAGGAGGTGAGGGAGGGACGCCGGTGGCCTGGGCCCCGGACAGGGCGCTGCACCGACCATCGTGATGTTCCCCCACCGCAGCCCTCACCCGGACCATCGGGGCCTGGGGCAGCCCCACCCCGCACCATCTGGTGCCCCACCTGCCGCTGACGGTGCTGCTCTGTGTTAACCAACCGAGCACGGGAACTGAGAGGCTGCGGGCACTTCTCCTGGGGTAGGAGGGAAAATGGCGCCCCACAGCCTAATCGGCCACGTTCTCACTTTTCACTAGAGTAACCAGTAGGAAAACTGAACAGTGTCAGGGAATTAAAAAAAAGAATTTACCCCTGGCTGGGCGGCTCCATTGCTTGGAGCGTCGTCTCCAGCCCAGAAGGTCACACACGGGTTCCACCCTGGTCCGAGTGTGCACAGAGGTGGCTGATCAGTGTCTCTCTCCCCCCAACCCCCTCTAACATCAACAAACATATTAGGTGAGGATTTCAAAAAAAGAATTAGGTTTCTGTTGATTTCAGAGTACTTTCAGTATTTCTGCTTCTCTGGGTCAAGGCCTCGAAGTCTGATTTTGTTCTCCTGGCGAGCTGCTTCTTAGCTACTTTGGGTCTCACCCAGTGCCCACCATCAGCAGGACGACAGGAAGAATAAGGAAAGTCACTAACGGCAGTGGCGTCGCTTTTTAGAAGCTTGGGGCCAGGGTACCTCCCCTTCCCCTGCCCTTCTCTTGTCTTCGCTGGAGCCTATCTTTCTTTCCTGAGAGCGTCGCTGCCTGGGGAAGACTTGTAGTTTTACAGTCTGTTCTCTGGACCGAAGTCCTGCCCTCATCTCACAGGCCATTCTCAGGATCCCACCCAGACACCATGTACGCAGTGGGGCCCGGGGGCGGCCGGCCGGGCTCGACTCCGCTCCCCTCACTCACACGTCACGCCAGACACGTGGTCAGCACCCGGTCTGAGCAAGTTGCACTTAAGCTAAAACACAGAGAAAGGGAAGGAAAGACTGAAAGGAGGCCAGGCTTCGGGCGTCTGTGTGGGGCCGTGGGCGTTCTCGAGTGCCTCTGTCCGAGAGGCAGGGGACGGCGGGGGAGGCGGTGGTGAGGGGACGTGTGGGGACTTGGAGCACTCGGAACTAGTGGACGTTTTTCTGAGGCTTGTACTTGACTTTGAAGTGACCCCGCTATTGGACTTCCCCACTTCTCTGTTAGTCATTTTACAGTGAAGATGGGCGCGTCCTTCCGCCGCAGTAAATGCTGTAACGGGGCCCTCTCGGCCAAGTTCATCCCCATCGCCCGGGACACAGGAGGTTTCCTGATGAAAAGCGTGTTTTACCCAGTTTTTCCCACCCCGGCGGGCCTCTGACGTCACGCTGCTCTTTGTGCCCCTCCCGCAGAGCAAGAAACTGGGGGGATGTCCTCAGTTCAAGAGGATTTTTTGAAGAGGATAGAATTTTAATCTAAAAAGTATCATAAAACATCTGAGGAGAAAAGGGATGAGCGCGTCCTTAATGAGATTCACCCAGGTCTGTCTGACTTTCCCCTCGTGTGAAACGTGGAAGCTGTTGGGCAGGAGAGGACAGCGGAGGAAGTGGGTCAGGCCCGACCCTCCTCACGCTGAAATCTGATGAAAAATAAGCCACGGGAGAAAATCCATACGGATTTTACGTGAAACGGCGCCCAAATCAATGTGCCTTTAATGGTGGCAAGTCGATTACTTATGACGTTTGAAAACCCGTCATAAGATACATGAAAAGATGTGGGTGTTTGTTTTTTTCAAAACATCTCAGTTGTAGCAGCTGCCGAAGGCTGCAGATCAGCCAATACACGCGCAGCTGCCTTTTCCCAGTAAGATGCCCACTGTGCCCTGGGACGAACAGCTGGTTCGTCTCTCACGTACTTGACCCCGCTCTGCCCAGAGAGGACTCACACGTGTGGTCTCCACAGGGAGCGGGATGCAAGCAGGATCAACTACATGTACGCCCAGTATGTCAAGAACACCATGGAGGTTCTCAACATCGCGGACGTCACCACGGACCGGCGGTTCCCCTGGACGGTGAGTGACCCAGGGCTGGGCCTGGGGCTCGAAGCTGGCTTTCCCCTCAAACGGGGGCCAGCGGCGACCCCACCGCTGCAGGGCTGGCCGGCAGGGACGGTTTAGGAGTGGCCTGTGCTGTCCCCGACCTGACGAAGGGGAATCCAGGAGCACCTGTCGGAGCTGGTTGGCCACCCGAGTCCTTTCCTGTGCACTCGTGTCAGGGTTCAACACGTACTAACGAATGACACACACCAGTTTTGAGGTCATTTATCTACAACCTACTCAATGGCGTTCCTGAGACAGGCTTGCCAGGATTCTCGAGTTTGTACTAAAAAAGGAAGTTCCGTGTGGCCTGGAGTCCTGTTACTGGAGATCCAGCCCCTGGAGCAGCTCTGTGGGAAAGGAAGCCTGTTTTCCTTGACAGCAAAGCTACAAAGACGAGTGTGTCAGGCACTGGAAACCTTGAATTCTGGCATTTTCTCTCATTGTCTCTCAGGAGAGCGTTGCCCATTGAGGCCGCTGTCCTGCTGTGATTTCACGTCTACGGGGCGTCTCAGAAATCGGCGGGTGGGCACTGGAAACGGCAGCAGTCTGTCCGCAGAGGGGCCAGTGTGGAACCGCAGGGCCTGGGGCCAGAGGCTTCTGGACGCTGCCCTCTCACTGTGTTACCGGAGACGCATCCCGCCCAGGGCGCCTGCGTTCTAGCCCAGCTGTGAGCTGCTGGGGCCATTTAAGATGGAAAAGAGAGAAACACGGGGCATTTATTCTCTTACTAATACGAAGACTAACTGCTTTAGGTTGCGTCTTGTGGGCTCTGTTGTAGTTGGTACATTCTCTGCACTAGCACGAGAGACCTGTGTTGCTGGTCTCAGGTGTCCCACATGGTTTACGTAATAGCATCTCACGGGCAAATCAGTCTTCTTGTAACTTTCACTGGTTTCTTGTTTCTGTTTAGAATGAAAACACGGGGAACACAGGCCAGCAGGGCATCAGAAGTCTGCTTTGTATGCCTATAAAAAACGGGAAGAAGAATAAAGTGATAGGTAAGCCTTCTGTTAACCTCCATGCTCCCCTGACTAAAGAAAAAAATCTCTGTGTTCCCAGAAACGTCTCTTCCAAGTACACACTTAAAGAACAAAATGTGTCTAAGATAAAAATTGAAGTGACAAAAGAATTCTGAAGTAGGCACAGACATGTGTGAAATGTCGTACTGACTAGGACGTATTTTTGTACCTACTCTAATCCTGTTTTAATGGAGTTTGTGCCGAAGGAGGATGTGCCGTGAGTCGGTAGACAGAGGGACGTCAGGTCTGCAGTGGGCACCGTTTCGGAGCCCCGCCTCTCGGTCTCTGACCCTCCTTTCACGAGCATGTGGCTCAGACTGCAGGGTGTATCATCCATCCACCCAGAGCACTTAGTGAGCCCTCTGTCTGCTGTTGGTGGCACCTGGGGTGAATCGGCACCCTGGGCAGAGAGAGGCCCTGGCCCCTGGGAGCTCAGGCCTGGGTCGGAGCTCGCAGAGGAACAGTGCTGGCGAGGGGAGGGGAACGCGCACACCTCGCTGAGTGTGCGTCCGCAGGCATCGCCCTCCTCCTCCTCCTCCTCCTCCTCCGAAACCCATGTCCCTGCTGCAGCCTGACCCAAAGCGGTGGGAGGCTGCCGCCCTGTGTCTAAGGCGGGAAAACTCCCGCAGACACACGCAGGGGAGCGAACCTGAGCGTGCAGACCACCCGTAGTGTTAGAACTGACGTGTGCGCCCCGGCGATGCAGGGGCGGGCGGACGGCCTCGCGTCTTCCAGGACCATGGAACCCTCTGGGAGAAATGAGGGAGAACAGACCGCAGTCTTCTCGGGAAGGAAGCCGCCGGAGCGGCAGCCTGGCCTTCCTCTGCCGGCTCGGTGGGCGGTCTCTGAGCCCCTGCCGTAGGCCGGGCCTTCCGCCAGCTGAGGAAGTGGGACTGAAGAAATGAGACCTCTGAACCCAGAGTCTAGAAGAGAGACAAATAAAATCCCTCATGATGCCCCAAGTGGTGACGTGGGGGGCACAGAGAGAAGAGGCCCCTGGGGCTCACTGGGTGGGGCTCCAGGAGCAGCAGCTTGGGGAGTGGGCGGGCCCAGGGACATGCACAGGCCAGGGCGCAGAGGGAGAGCTGCCGGACACGGGGGGGAAGAGCACCCAGCAGCACCTTATGGCAAAAATCGCCTTCGGTAAATAAATAAAATCTTAAAAAAAAAAAAAAAAAAGCCCTGGCTGGTGCAGCTCAGTGGATTGAGCACGGGCCTGTGAAGCAAAGGATCACGGTTCGATTCCCAGTCAGGGCACATGCCTGGGTTGCAGGCCAGTTCCCATCAGGGGACTCACAAGAGGCAACCATACATTGATATTTCTCTCCCTCTCTCCTTCCCTTCCCCTCTAAAGATAAATAAATAAAATCTTAAAAAAAAAATCGCCTTTGGGGCCAGGCCGAGCTAGGGTGTGAGTTGGGCATCTAAGCACAGCAAACAACTTCCCCTTTCTGAGACTCAGTTTCTTCATCTGTAAGATGGGGTGGCCCCACCCACGGTAAATCGTGAGGTCACTGGCATACTGGAGCGTCTGCCACAGACAGGCCCGCCCCTCGGGTGCAGCTGGTGGAGGCTGTCGTCCTTGACTCAGGGACAGAGGAGGGAAGGGCGTGAACAGCACAGGTTCCCCAGAGGGAGGAGGCGCCCCCGAGTCCTCCCGGACCGACCGCAGGCTCCGAGTCCCGTAGAACAGCGGGCTCAGGGGGATCCATCCAGTCACTCGCCTTCCTTTTATGTGGGTGACACGCTCGACTCGTGAAGAGGGGCCAGGACGGAGGAGGCGAGGGTTCTCCTCAGAGACCTGCTCTGCTTTGACCTCCGCGTGAAGGTTACTTTGTATTTGCAGCATTAAAAGTCATCTGCAAACGGGATTATCCTGGCTGCAGAGGACCGCACGTGAAATCTGAGAGCCCACGTGAACTGTTTTCTGCATTCTCTGCCTTGGAAAAAACTGTGCTTTTAACTTCTGGCTTCTCTGGAAGGAAACGCAGTCTGCAGGCCCAAATTCCAATGCACATCGAAATCGTTCTCTTGGCCAGGACGCAAAAATCCAATTCGTCTCCAAAGGACAAACTGTCTTTGGGGACTCAAGTGACCCAAAACTCACGCTCGAGTTTGGAAGAAAGTAGCGCTCTAGGGTTATTTGGACACGGGCATCTCGCGTTTGGGACCGTGTGGAACGAATTCTCGTGTAAACACATTCCATTTACTTTTCTATCTTGCACTGTATCTGGGCAGACTTGTTTGCTTGTCCTCGGATGCCGGGCATTCCTCGGAGAAAAGCACAAGCCAGTCTTTGGGGGGCAGGGGGCAGAGTTGATAAAAACTGTGACTGGCACTGGTAACCCGGGCTTCCCCTCTCGGGTCGTTGCAGGGGTTTGCCAACTCGTCAATAAGATGGAGGAGAACACGGGCAAGGTCAAGCCTTTCAACCGGAACGACGAACAGTTTCTGGAAGCTTTCGTGATCTTCTGCGGCCTGGGCATCCAGAACACACAGATGTACGAAGCCGTGGAGAGAGCCATGGCCAAGCAGATGGTCACGTTGGAGGTGAGCGCAGCTGAGCGGACTTCTCAGTGTCCTCAGTGGACACCCAGGTCACTGTGCTGTCCTCACAACATGCGGGTCTCTTCTGTCACGCACCCTCCCAGGACCAGGGAACCACAGGACCAAGTTTCTCCGTCCCCATTCAAACGGCTAGGGAAACAGACCCAGAATGTCTGTCAACGGTCACAGGACCAAACCGCAGCCCCGGGACCCAGTGTGTCCCGCCCGTCCTCTGCTTTTTCGGTGGGAAGTGGTCCTTGACCTGAGTCATCCATACACACAGACGGCACTGCCTGCCTTTCCCCATGCCACCTTGCCAAGAGCTGTGGTCACAAAGACAGAAACCCTAAGTGCTCATAGGGAATTAGAAGTAAGGAAAGGAAAGAAAAGCCCACACAAGTGAGGCACAGTGTAAACTCCTAGACTGGCTACTTCCTCATCTCTCGGAAGTCTGACTGGGCGGAGCCTGGGCTTTGCTGTCCCCAAGCACCCCCAGCGATTGCCACCTGCAGGGAGCAGGGAGCCACCATCGGGGAACTGGCCCCAGGCAGCCCCTCCCCCACAGGACCCCGGTGGGGCAGCCCCTCCCAGGTGCACCCGCTTAGGGAAACAGCCTTCAAAGGAGCAGGCGCCCCGGTCGTTCATCCCTCGGTGTGAAATGCACTTGAGCGCCCGCCCGCTCAGATCTAGTTGCCAAGAACTGGAATCGGTGTGCGGGACACGGCTTTTCCTCAAACCCTTAATGAAGAGACACCCAGCCTAACGAGCCAGGGAGTGTGCGCGATGTGCCGAGACTCACCAACAACCCCGACGGCTCACTTTACTCCCAAAGGGAATGCACGGCACTGTTTTGCTGTGTTACATACGGTCGTAAACCGGGGGCGCCTCAGTTCCAGCTATACTGCACACACGCACACGCTTACACAAGGCAGATACACTCACGTGTGTGCAGAGAGCTCCGAACGTCTGAGAAGGGTACCTTTTTACCAGTGATGCTGAAACTTGGGGGGATGTTTTGTCAGTCTGTGTCGTCTCCGACAAAGAGGAACTTTCAGACATGAGTTTTGACAGCACGACGCATGTCGGAACCCCGGCCACTGCCCTGGTTACGTCTGGAACACCATCCCTGCGCTTCGAGCTTGTCACTTTGGAAACAGGGATCAGTGATCCTCCTGTGCAGTCGTGAGAGCCAGTGAGCCCGGCTCTCTGGCCTGCGAGGGCGAGGGAGTGTGCTCTGGAGCAGGAGGGCGGGAAGCTGGGTCTGCATGTCCCCCAACACTGGGTGGGAGCTCCCTGCGCCTGGGTGTGCTCAGCTGGCCGTGGGCGGACCCTGGGCCAGAGCCTCTGCTCTCTCGGAGTCCTGTGCGTGTGAAAGGGTCCCCGGGCTGGTGACGTTCCTGTCCCACCCTACAGTTTCTCTTCGGGAGCTGTGCAGCTGGCGCAGGCCTCGTCTGGGAGCTGCCTCCAGAGCGCTCGCTCGCCGCGCAAACGGCAACGCTGAGACGCCAGCTTATGCGAGCGCGGTTGTCCTGAGTCTCTACACAACAAGCACAAGCAACTAATATCGGTGTTTTTTAAGGGAAGAAAAAACAATCAAAACTAAACGTTTTGCCAAGTTTGAGCCAATAGTGTGGCTTATAAATGCGTTTGTTTTATCAATGATATCAGATTTCTTTGAACGCGGGGACTATAACTTTGTTTTCTGAAACAAACCATGGAATGGAAACCTGGGACTTTCTCTCTGTTGAATGAAGAAAGCAGGAACCCAGGAAACCGCACTAGGCCTGGCAGTCTGAGGGGCCCAGTCCTCCTTCCACGGAGTTTCAGCAGAAACCCCGGTCCGCGGAGGCCGGCCCCTCACCGCGCCCATCTCTCCCGCAGGTCCTGTCCTACCACGCCTCGGCGGCCGAGGAGGAGACCAGGGAGCTGCAGTCCTTGGCGGTAATGCCCGCTTCCTTCGCAGAAGCGGCTGACTCATTCACACACAGATGCGCCTTTCGCACGGTACCTGCCTCCGCCAGCAACGGTCCCTGAGAAATTTGATCAAATGGGTCAAAGATTCAGATGGACACTCATAAACATATTTAATCGACCCCCATTTCCTGCGGGGCTGCAGTCCCCGATGATGCAAAGATAATGACTTCCATTAACTTGTCATACATTAGACAGTGCTAGGTTTTTTCCTAATAATTGTCCTAATCTTTACATCGATGTTAGGCCAAAATTAAATTTAGTTTTCAGCTGCTGCAGAGATGGGGCCAGGTGGTTGTCTGGTCAGGGTCCTGGCAGTGAGATTGTGTGGTGTGTAGGATAACCTGCTCCGTCTCACTGAGAACCAGGAGTGGTTTTAACGTCTGACCACACGGCTGGCGGAGCGGAGTTGGAAATGGGGTTCCCGCTGGGCCAGTCCCCGACTTCTCCCTCCATCCTCACCTGTGGGCTGAGAGGGGGAAGTGCGCAGACGTGGAAATGGCCTGTCCCCAGTGGCAGCTCTCGACACAGACGGCCCGGGTGGATAGCGTGGAAACCCGAGGCATTGACACTGGACAGTCGTGGCGGGCCTTCTAGTTTGAGGTCCGTGTGAGATGGGACGAGAGTCCTGCACTGGACGATGGGTGGGGCCAGGCTTTGGTGATTGTGGTTGCCGTGGAGAGCACCGTGGCCCGCCACACGCATGCTCGCGGAGCCCGTGTCTTCTCATGTGAACTGTGAGCTGTGGGGCCACACGAGCTACAGGAGCCGGTGACTCTCAAGGTGCCCGTGGCAGGAAGCGGGAGCCCACGTGCACGGCCCACCCCCCGGCCCACGCACATCCCCACAGCACCACGTGCAGGGACAGAGAGGAGGGAAGGTGAACCGGATGAGGATGGCGGTGCCCTGGACAACTAGGGCGGGACCACCGGGGGAGGGTCGTGACTTGGGGTAGAACATGGAGGGGGTGAGGCGCTGCTGGGCCGACCGGATAAACACTGGCGATCAGGGGGACAGGCTGGAGCAGGGAGGGCTGGCACTCAGACCTGGAGGCGGTGGTCTGGGTGCTCTGGGAGGCAGTCCTGGGATTCAAGTCGGGGGGATCCCATGGTCGTGAAGGCGCGGCAGGGGAGCGTTTGGGAGCGCACACAGAGCGGGGGGAAGATGGAGGGCAGAACGCAGGTGAAGACGGAAGGAGCAGGACCAGGAAGAGCTGAGAGGTGGGGTAGAAAAACCAGGGCAGGAGGGACCCGGCAGAAGGCAACAGCAGAAGCAGCTCTGAAAGGAGGGCGGTCCCCCGAGTGGTAGGAAGGGTGACAAACGTGAGGACTGAGAAGAGGCCGTGGGACTCGGTGATACACGGGGTGTTGAGAAAGCAGCTCCGGGCACAGGGGAGGAGGAGACGAGGGAGTGGAGGGAATGGCGAGGGGCTGTTTTTAAAAAACAAGTTTTGTGTAAGACAGGAGGAGGAGCAGCTATGAAGGGTGATGGCTGACACATGTGAAGTTTTTCTCCTTTGTTTTGTGCTCACAAGCAAAACGGCCAACATGCTCTCGGGCCAAGGCAGGGGAGCAGCAGTGCAGGGCGGGCGGGGATCTGGGCCCGGAAGGGGCCTGAGCAGCAAGGAGGGCCGTCCGCCCCTCGGGCCAGGACGAGAGTTCGGGGTAATAGCGAGCCCAGCTGCGTGCGTGGGGCACGCGTGAGGTCCTTTGTGTGTGTTAACTGGGCACGTTTCATCTGCAACCGCTCTGTACGTCAGTGTCCTTCACACACTGAAACGGGACTCGAGGTTGACGGCTTTTCGGTTGTCCTTCTCAAGGTCTCCCAGCACAGAGGCAGGGGGGCCGGAAACGCAGGGAGGGGAGGACTTGTGTCCTCAGGGACCGAGCAGCAAGCTGAGCCCGTTGCCGAGGGGAGTCTGAGGAACTTGAGATGGCTTTTCCCCCAAAAGTGAGGCCCCTTTGGAGCTCAGCCTCATCTGGAATTGGCTGTATTTGTTTTGTTCTGGGTGGTATTTGAAGAAACTAGCATTTTTTCCAATTACTTACAAAGGCTGGTAGGTTTAAAGTATCTTTCACATCACACTTCACTGGCCCCTTTGACTGACCCTCCCAGAGTGCTAACGTTGGGACTGAATCGCGCTGTGAGTGGGAAATCACCGCGTGGAAGGGTGTGTCTGTGCATGCTGTGGGCTGGGGGGGGCGGTTCCTAAATTCTGAAACAATGTCCAGTTTGTGCTGTTTTCTATAAATAAAAACCCGCATACAGAGTATTTTCTAAAGATAATGCCCCCCCAAAATATCACCAGGCTATTAAACTTTGCTTTTCACTTTGAGAATAGCATAGTCTTTCAGAAAACTCTGAAAATTATTCTCTCAATTATGTGTGTAATTTTAGCAAGGGAAAAACACTTTGGAAGAGCTGAAAATGGCTGTATTGCCCTATTGTTCAAAACCATCTGTTATCCCATTTGGAAAATAGATTTCTGGCAGCTGCACTGAGAAATTTGGGGTTACATAGCTTGTAGGTCAAATAATTCACTTAAATTGGTTGCAATCCAGCAACCGATTGCAACTCACAAAATCGCCGGGACCGCCCAGCCGCCCAGACAGCGGTACCGTCGGCCGTGACCGAAACCACTGCCTTTGTCCCGTGTCTGATTGTTGATCCCAATTAAAAACCTAAAATAAAAGGGAAAGCTATCAAATGTTTTCTTAACTTTTATTTTAAAAAATTGGTTCTTAAGATAATTAAAAAGTATTCTAAATATTTATGCCTGTTCCCAGAAAATTTCTCTAGTTAAAGCAATTTTGTTGATAGGAAATTCAGAATCCTAATTTTTTCCCCTTGAGTTTACTGAGTTTCCTCTTGTAAATCTAGTCATCTCTTGGCTTAGCATTGGGTGTCCCACAAGTAGGGCCTCGAGCTAAGCACTTCGCCATGTGTGCTTTAATGGTCCTTCGTCACAAGTCATTAAAGATAAAGCGCCCCAGCTGACCTGGTTATGGCTCTTAGGAAGTTATCAGAATGTGATAAATGTTTCTTTATTACAGGTAACTATGTCGTTGAGTGGCTCTTTGCCTCTCCTGCCTTCCTCTCTTGTCAGAAGAGCAGCGCGTACAAGCTGTTAGTGTTCTGTTTTGTCAGGGTCCGGCTGACTCGGTGCCGTCCCTACAGCCTCTGCCTTGACTTCTTTAATCTTGTCTGAAAGCAAATTGAGGCGCTGCTGTAAGAGGGGTTGTATCGGACAAGCAGGAGAGGGAGAAGCTGACCACGCAGGCGGCGGGTTTCCTAGGGTGCCCTGCCCTCCCCGTATCAGGCGTGGGTGGGGCGGGCAGAGGCAGGCGTCCCTCTGTCCAGGTGAGCGCGGCCCCTTGCTTAGCCCCCGCTTGTAGGGAAAACCTCTACTGACCGCCACACTGTTCGTGGAGAAGGCTGAGTAAATAATAATGAAGAAGAGTTGACCCTCCGATCCGCAGACTCCCTGTCCCTTGGACAGTGCTGGAGAGAGACCCGCCCTGGGTCCATCGGGCCCTCCGGACTCCCCGTGGCCCCCGCGGGTGCTCTCGCCCTCAAAGGTGCCCAGGGACCGGCCTTGGCTGGGTCTGGCTCACACAGGTGACGCTCAACAGACTCTTTCCGATTCTCCTGGTCTCGCTGGACCAGCAAACCTGATCTGTTTTGTGTCGACTTTACTAGGTGGATTATCTCCAATGGTATCTTAGCTTCAAACTGTCATGGCGCCGTTCTGGAACTTCCTCAGGGCTCACGAGATGTCGCCAGCTCTGTGTGTCTGGTCGCAGCCATAAATTTACTCTCAAGTTTTACTGATGAGCATATGTCTTTTACCCTAATCTTGACATCAGCACTTGCCTTCTTTGTACGGTTTTGAGAAACTGTACACTCGTTATCCCACTTTCTATAGGCTGTGCCTCTTCCTTATTGAGATTTAAAGGAACCCGCTGACACCAGGTTAGAAAGAAGGAAACACCCTAAATCCCGAGGCTGCAGTTCCTGAAGGAGCTGCACTAACCCTGCCCCGTGTGTTTTGCTCACTCCGCGCCCCACGAGGTCTGGGTCCCCTGCAGCGTGGTGGCCACTCCTTCTGCGTAAGCAGGGTTCTCTCTCCGTAGGTGGACGCACTCTTCTCATGGAGAAGGAGAAATACTACCAGCCTTGTTAACTAACCGTGCACATTTTTTCTTTATCTTTTCATCCTCACCCAAGAATATGTTTTATTGTGTTTTTGTGGGGTTTTTTGGGTTTTTTAGAGCGGGAGGAAGGGGTTAGGACGAGAAAGCGAGGCATCAAAGCGAGGCATTCCCTGCCATCAGTGAGATGCAGACTCTGGTTTCGTGCACTGGCGCTCAGTCACCTCCCCAGGCCTGTTCAAGGCAGACAGAAATTGGATCCCTCCTGATGGTCAGACAACTTTAAGTGACGTGTGACTTTCTCGTGGTGAGTCACGGTCCCCAACCGCAGGGCTCTGGATGGACATGTTTGCCGGCCCCCTGAGGTCAGCTCAGGAAGGGCGGGCTATGGCGTGGCCGGGCCTGTAGAAGAAGGAGAGGTGCTGGCTCTCGGGAGAGCCGCGTTGGAGCCGGCGCCGGCGCCGGTGCGGACAGGCCCCGGCCGCGCTGGCCTCTGTCCCTGCCGCACTGGGGACATCCTTTGTGGAGGGAAAGAAAGACTTCCCGCTGGGTGGACACTGATGCCCTAAGGAGAGAACACGTGTTCTCTGCGGAGCGCAGTGCGTGGGAGGGGACGGCTGTGCTCGGCTGTGACTTCAAGGGTGGCCGTCCCACCTCCTCACTTCTGGTGGGCCGGCTGCTGTAAACAAGGAGGCCCTTTATCTAAACCCGAAAACCCGCCCCCCCACTGCAGCCTGTGCATTGGCCTGCAGGACTGGCTTCATACAGTGGGCATTTTCCCGTGATGGCCGGGCTGGGGAATGGAGCCTGCGTCTGGAGTGGGTCGAGGGCAAGATTCACGCAAAGTTTGTGCACACTGGTGTCTGAGTGGGAGGTGAAGGTCCCGGTGAGCAGGGGGGCTCCAGATCGCTCTGTGAGATTTTGTTATCTGACCTTTTACTTCCCATAGAAGGAGGTAAAGTGGAGTAGTGACGTCCCAAGTGTTCACAGGAAACCTACGGATTCGGGGGGCAATCGAGGAAAAAGCCTCAAAGAGAGGAGAGCTGGTTCAGATGACTGACCGCCCCCCCTCCCCCCGCTAAAGCCTCTTTTTAGCAGGTGGCTCTCGGCCCATCCAGCTGAAGAGCTGGTTGGGTGGACAGCCCAGGGCGGGGGCCCTGCAGGGGCCGACTGTCACCCGCAGCCCCGCAGGAAGTCCCCGAGAGACTCCTTGCAGCTCTGCGCGTCTGTGGGCCAGGACGCTGGGTGTCGCTTTGTGGGAGCTGGGGCCCAGCGTGGCCTGATTTTTCAGGAGAAACCAGAAATCCATTGTTTTGTAAACTCGCCCAATTCTTAGACAACACCACAAATTTGGTGATTTTTAGTAACAGCACCAAACAGAAGAGATCGGAAGGCACCCGCCAAGCCCGCCGGTGGTTCCCGGCCCAGCCTACAGGCTTCGCCCTCCTAGGAGAGTTCGGGTGCTTAACACCAGAACTGAGGACTCCATCCAAGGGAAGGGACTGAGACTGAGTCCTTCCACTCACTTGATAAGTGTTCACATTAACACATTTCAGAAACGCCCACCCGTAGTCACAGTGGATACGGAGATGTGTCCCATAACAGCCTGCCTGTTATGCAGCTCCCAGGTAGTTCACAGAAAGGCGGAAAGTCCTACCTTACAGCGAACTTAGCGCACTGTAACGGGTGCTCCCGGCTGGGGCCGGCTCTGAAGGCCCCTCTGTGGGTGGCAGCTGCGCCGCCAAGGGGCTCATCCCTGAGACAGTAGGTGCCTCACGGGAGAAGCAGGAGGCACAGGGGGCACCGATGCAAAGAGCAGGTGTGTCCGACGAAGCTGCCGGTATCGACTGCAGTTCAGTGATGAACAGATCGACACCAAGGACGGCCGTTAGAAAACAGATTCCCCTCCAAGAAACGACACTGGCTTCTCAAGACCCATCCTGGGCCTCCTGAAGGAGGTGCCCCGGGTAGTTCTGGGCGCGGGCCTGCCTCCGCTCGTCCCCCAGGAGGAGGAGAGCAACCCCTGTGCTCTCGCACCTTCTGTGTGCCCGAAAAACGGCCGCCTGAGAACAAAACACCAAATGCTTGTGTCCTCACTGTCCTGCTCCCCACGGACGCCCAGCCCCCGGCACTGGGACCGTCCTGGGTGACGAGGCAGCAGTAATGATCTGTTTGAGGCCTCAGGCCTGTGTCCTGCTCTAGGTTCAGCCCAGGGCAGCCACGGGCTCTCCCCACCTGCCTCCTGGGCAGAAGGTTCCTGGTGTGTGTTGCCTTGGAGAGGAAGGCAAACCCTCGTGCTGTCTCCCAGAGCACACCAGGGGGCGCTGTGAGCCCGGCTGCTGGCCGGCAGCTTCCCTCATTGTCGCCCCTCTCCCCCAAGGCTGCCGTGGTGCCCTCCGCCCAGACCTTGAAAATCACCGACTTCGGCTTCAGCGACTTCGAGCTGTCCGACCTGGAGACGGCGCTGTGCACCATCCGGATGTTCACCGACCTCGGCCTCGTGCAGAGCTTCCAGATGAAGCACGAGGTGGGGCTGCAGCCACGCCCTTCTGGCGTGTGCCTGTGTCATGTGTGACCATGGGTGCATGTGTGGGGTCTGTGCCATGTGCCACACATGTAAGTAGGTCACGGGCACATGTGGCGTGTACTTGTGTGCCTTGTGTATATGCATGTGTCTTGTGCCGTCATGTGTGCGGGCATGTTGTGTACACGTGTGTTTGTGTGAACATGCATGTGTGTCTATGAGAGAACTGGTCTGGGGTGCCAGTGTGAAACACGGACAGTAAGTCTCGGTTGGTCTCTGTCACCTGATGCATTCAGGAGAATGTTACAGGAAAATCACCACCCATCATGAAGATGTGCACCCAGCACCGGGGGGAGGGCCAGGAGTGAGTGTTGCCAACAGGGGGGGGGAAGCAAGGCAGGAAGGCGGGGGGGGGGGCACTGTGCGGGGGTGAGGCTGGCAGGGAAGCACCGGCTGGGACAGCGAGAGGCAGGTCGTACAGACCCTGTGAGCTGCGCGGAGGGGCCCGCATTCCGCCCGGAGAACAGTGCTGTCAGCAGGGAGTTGAGAGGAAGGGGACGTGGTCCGACTGCAGAGGGCACGATGCCCCCGAGCAGGGAGGGCCCAGAACCGAGCGAGCCTTAACACCGACCGCAGCGCCGACGACCACGTCACCGGCCTGCGGGAGTGGCAGGACCGAGAGCGCGGGGGATGGCACCAGGGAACGCAGGAGAGGGAAGGCGCTGTCTGGAAGACAGAAGGCCACTCGTTCCCCTTTGAAGTTAGTTTTTCTGGTCGGTCGACTGTCTAGCCCAGCGATTTTCAACTGATGTGCTACAAAATTTTGTAAAACCGCAATTCCTGGCTGTTGAGTCAGGGGCACTGGCCTCTTTTCCCTGCGACAGTCAGATAAAAAGGTGACCACAGCCACCACAACAATGGCTGCCCAGTGTGAATGAATCAAAGTGATGCCAATTTTTTTGTCAGATCGGCGGAAGACAGCACCTTCCTTGGTGTGCGTGTCAGTGTGCGTGTGCCCGGAAATGGGAAAGGCTGAAAACTGCCCGCAGCGTCTCTTGCTCGGATTTCCTATCAGGAGCTTAAAAGGCTCCAGGGCCTGCTAATTCACGAAATGCAAGTTCTTTAGCACGGCCCGTGCCAGCGTCCCCTGGGACGGGCGTCACGGCGCAGGCGCAGATCCCCCACAGGCGGTTTCCGTCATCACAAGGAACCCGCTGCTTCGACCTAGGTCTGTGGCTGCCCCGCGGCAGGAACTGCTGATGCTGCGTCCTCCCCCCCCCTGGGCACTTCCTCCAGACCCCGGGCCCCGCCCTGTGGGGCTCTAGGACCAGGCACCACTCAGAGGGGCCTCCATCCAGCGTCCGAGAGTTCCTCTGCAGCCCCTCCTTCTTTTGTTCCACCTTTATATTTTTTCCCCTATGGACCTCAGGGTTTTATTCTGCACATATTACTTTTTAAAATTACTTCTTGGTAACTGAGCAGTGACTCTGCCTGGATATTTAAGCACAGTTTAAAGGGCACAGAGAACCCACTCTTGCATCAGGGCTGGGAGCTCCCCTCTGGACGCATGCTGTCTCCCTCACACCCCCGTCTGGCCCCAGAGTCCCTCCCCAAACACCTTCGAAGACAAACAGCCGGAACCTGAGGGGGGCATGTGGGTGGCTTCTTGCAGGGCTCTTTCTCTGAAAGGGACCCAGTGCGTGACTCCCTGTGCAGACTCTCCTAGTGGTGACACGCGGACATAATAACTTTCAGAAGGCTCACGGGTGCCCCCAGGCCCCCACACCCCTCTCGGGGCGGTCTTGCATTTCGCCTGGACCTTAGCCAGTGTGGTGAGGGGCAGGCCGCGCTCCGGGGTCAGGCTGTTCGAGTGGGAATGCGGCCGGACCCTGCAGGGGCCACAGGCCCCCGAGTACGTCCCTTCCCTGCCTGTCGGCGTCCTCCTCTGTGAACGGATAAAGTCGGTGGGACCCTGGCGCCTGCCCCAGGGGTGGGAGGGCCCGACGTGTGTGCTCCCTACAGCGCCTACAACACCGTGATCTGATTTGTGCGGTGACCATGAGTGGCCCTTGTGACCTCCTGTGCTTTCTTCCCGAAGGTCCTCTGCAGGTGGATCTTAAGTGTCAAGAAGAACTACCGGAAGAACGTGGCCTACCACAACTGGAGACACGCCTTCAACACGGCGCAGTGCATGTTTGCCGCCCTGAAAGCAGGCAAAATCCAGGTACTCGGGGAACCGTGCACGTGTCCGAGACGTTCTGTGGCTCCGCCGGTACGATGCATCCCCTCGGGTTTTTAATGTGCTCTGGTGATGGCCGAGAACAACAGTCACTGCCAGTCACAGGTCAATTACACTGCAACGAAAGACGGCAGTGGCAGGGCACTTGGTGGCTCCCTTTCTGTCAGGTCTAAAGTGTGAGCGTGTAAAATACTCTGTAAATACCTTCACGTTCAGTGTAAATGGTGCTTGGACAGATACATCTTTCCCTCAGGGAAAACCCCACAGCATAAGAAAAAGTGTTGCATTTCTCAGGCTCAAGTTCAACCTGCTCCATAGAATTCCTCAAACCCACGCAGGCCCCAAGCCCGCCCCGTGGGCATGTCAGGGCTCTGCGCCACCCCTTCTCTCCGGCAGCCGTTGGTTTTACAGGTGCGGCGGCCAGACCCTGCTCACGAGGAAGTCGGCTGCCGGACCACGTCCGGACGGCCGCTCCCTCCCGGGGAAACCGTGCGCATCCCTGGCCGCAGATTCGAACTTCAGTAGGGACCCACAGGTCATTCTGAGTAAATGATTCTAGGCATCTAGCACGTCACTTTTTAAAATTTTTTGTTTCTTTTTAGTGAGAGAGGAAGGGAGAAATAAACATCAATGCGTGGTTGCCTCTCTCATGCCCCCTAGTGGGGACCTGGCCCGCAACCCAGGCATGTGCCCTGACTGGGAATCGAACCAGCAACCCTGATCACATACTTCTTTTTTAAATTCGGCGCTTCCATGATTTTTTTAATTACCGAATTCTAATACTCTCATTCTCTGCCTCTGCTTCCACTGGGGGCACATTCAGCGGCAAGGGCCGGAGCCGGCATTTATCAGAAGCAGGTGGCCCTCATGCGGGGCCTGGACAGGTCTCATGGATCCAACCATCGGATGGCATCCTGGCGTCTGTGCAGAAAAACCACACGCTGGCTCCTGTGTGTGTTGGGAACACACCGTTCAGAGCCCTGAGACTCCGGCAGAACGGAGCTGAGAATTCATTCCCACATGTGTTTTCTTAGTGAGAAGACACTAGCACAGAAAACACAAACGGCAGCTCCCCTTCTGCCCCAAAAATCTGCGATTGGCTTTGGAACACACCGAGCAGTTTTAAAGCTCATTCCTGGCTCCCTCATGTGTGCCATTTGCTGAACAGCCACACTGTCTGTGGGCCTTTGGGCTCAGCCATGGGGAGCAGAGTGCAGGGGCGGCAGGGAACACGAGGTCAGAGAGTGGGGTGGCCACGCCGGGTTCACCCCGACTGCTCCAACGTGCACCTGGATCACTAAGAATGAGAGGCGCTCCCTGTGGTGGGCAGGTGATGGGCAGAGGTGGCTCAGGCTTTCCCGCTGATCAGTGACATTTGCAATAACCCCGTTCTGAAGAGGAAGTGCAGCTGCCCCGCAGAACAGGGCTTCCCACGCTGCCCCGTGGCGAAGCAGCATGCGTGTACGGCCCAGAGAAAAACCCCCGGGACAGGACAGAGGCGGTCCGGTCCTTGACCGGCCCCCTCTCTGTCTTTCCTGGCCTGTGTCGGCCGCGCAGAGCAAGCTGTCTGACCTGGAGGTGCTCGCCCTGCTGATCGCCGCGCTGAGCCACGACCTGGACCACCGCGGCGTGAACAACTCCTACATCCAGAGGTGAGGCAGCCCGGCCGGACACGGCCAGGCTTCTGCCCTGCAGGGGGTCTTTTCCAAAGCAGAGGCCGCACCTGAGTTGCCTGGTACCAGCTTTCAGTGTGCCAAGGCCCCACAACACACTCTGGGTGTGTTTAAGGCAACGGGAAAAAATGTTAGGTCTGGTACGGTATTGGTAACATTTCTGGCCTGAAGTTAAACATACTTATATTGAGAATCTTATTTCATGAGACAATTACCAAGAGTTTTACATGAGGCTGAACTTAAGCACTTCACAGAAAAGAGCACAGACTGGGTCAGAAAAGGTAAAACCCAGTCCTGATGGAAAGGTAGGACTTTAGCTCAATGCTGGTACTTAGTAAGTACTCGGGAGGCGGAGGCTCTGTTTGGTCCTAGTGCAGGGGCCACGCGTCACACCGAGCTGGGGACTTGGATTCAAACCCTCCCCCTCGCACTCGGGCCTGGCCTCGAACGGGGCGCGCCTCCCCCTGTACCTCATTTTCCTGATCAGTGGAACAGAGGCGGGGGCGGCATGTCTACCTTGCTGGCCTGGCTTGGGCTTCAATCACCAGGGCAGGCAGTGCGACCGGCAAGTACTTAAGTGCGGAGTCAACCACAACGGCAGCGGCAGCAGCGGCTGGGAAGGCCCGTCAGCAGGGCCTTGCCGTGCGCCGGCTCCGGGAGAAAGACGCTGACTCTCCGGGCAGGTGCTGCAGGCTCCCATAGGGACCTCGCTTACGTGACAGTTTCAGTGACAGTTTCAGTGACAAGTGAGATGTGAAGATGGCATTGTTTTCATCCGATTTTTCAGTCCTTGTGACATTTGTATTTTCTTGCAGCAACTTAGTTGAAAAACCCACATTTTAACAGGAAAAACCTTAGTGCTGAGCATATTTTTTAGCGTGCAAGGGGATTCCACGGGTGGGTAGATCTCTTGCGGAAATTCCGGATGTCTGACATCTTGAGGGAATTTCAGACGGCTCTGGTCACTCTGCCTTTATCTAAATAAGCAGAAAACTCCGAGTAAAAGGAACTGCTGTGGGGCACCATGTCCCCTGCTGACTTTCAATGGGAAGAGATGGCAGGAGTGTCAGGGACAAGCCGTTCCGCCTTTAAAATCTCACGTTCTGGTGAACGGACGCGGTCCCCTCCATCATGTGACTGTGGTCCTGAGTCTCTCGCCGTGACAGGGAGTGGAGACGGGTCCAGACGGACCGTGGAGCTCGCTGGAAGGCCTCAGAGCCAAACACCTTGTTACTGGCCGTGCAGACTGGGGGCCATGCAGCCCTGCTGGAGAGGGGAGGGCACTCGCCTCTCTGTTCCTTTGTTTATTTAAAAATAACTACCCAGAAAAACATCACCTGCAGGAACACTGTCCCCTCGTAAAACAAAGCCCTAGGAGAAGTCACGGGTGTGGCATCTCGCTTGCATGAACACCCTGGGTCGAGGCAACTTCCGTGACGCAGGAGAGCGGCGTCAGAGGTTTTGTTTCTTCCGACTTCCCTGCGGCTCGAGCGGAGGAAGCCATTTCTGGGGATGGGTCTTCTGCTGTCCTCGGTGGGACGGGCAGTCCCTCTCCGGGAGGGTGCAGGGGCCACAGCCACACCCGCAGGAAGCGCCGACCCACCGCCGGGAGGGCTGCTGCAGCCTCGCCCCTGCTGGCACTTGCTCCCGCTGGCACTCGGCGCTGTACAGAGAGACCCAGCGGGACGGACGAAGGCACAGGAATGACAGGAGCGCGTCTTCCTCTCTAAGCTCTTCTTTCTTGGGCCCGACCTCCGCAGGAGCGAGCACCCGCTGGCCCAGCTGTACTGCCACTCGACCATGGAGCACCACCACTTCGACCAGTGCCTGATGGTCCTCAACAGCCCGGTGAGCACCGCCCGCACCTGAGTGCAGGCTGGAAGGACAGCCTTCTGAATTCCGTTGTCTTTTCAAGTCCTGGGTCTGGGCCCTGGATCATCGTTCCCGAGCCTGACTCCTTGTTGGGTGAGGAAGACAGCAGCGACCCCTGAGGTTAAAGCAAGCACCGTGTGTTTTGCTGTTACCGGCCATGCCCCAGCCGCCCCAGTACCTGGGCTGGTGTGTCTGGGGGGACACTCAGTTGTGCCGGAGCCGGCAGCTCCTCCGCGGGGCAGGCGGTGCGAACGCTGGTTTCCTTCCTTCCCGAAGGGCAACCAGATCCTGGGCGGCCTGTCCATCGAGGAGTACAAAACCGCGCTGAGGATCATCAAGCAGGCGATTCTGGCCACAGACCTGGCGCTGTACATTAAGTAAGTTCCGGGAACCGGCCTGCGAGCGTGGGTCTCGGAGCTGGCCACGTTCCGGCTGTGCTTGTGTCCACACCGGGAACGCCAAGCCCACAGGGCGTGCGTCCTGGCAGAGCCGCCAGCAGACCCGGGACGGCTCCTCGGAGGGGGAAACGTGGGCCTTCGAGGCTACTGAGCTGGGTGGGACTCAGCATGTACGTCCACCCATGACGTGTGTGCCCATCTGGGGCGCAGCTGCAGGGCACACGCAGGCCTGGGGGTCCCTGCAGCGAGTAGGGGGGTGGGGGGAGGAGCACGGGCAGCTCACGGGGTTTCCCTGGAACCCGTGGCCCTGCCCCCTCCAGTCCCCAGGGTCGCACATCTAAAGGTACCTGTGTCCTAAAGCCGCTGCTTCTCTAAACGTTGGAGGGGGCAGCACTTGAAAGTCAAGGAGGGTGACAGAAAAGTCAGTAAGTTTCGGTTGATTCTAAATGATTGCCGAGTAGAGATGATCGAAAAGTGCCTGGGACCTCAGAGCCATCCCTCCTTCCCCATCTTTCGGAGAGACCCCCTACCTTGCGGGGGAGCCTGCATTTCAGTCGGGGGTCTCAGTCACCTGTGGCCCATTTCGTTCCATTTCCCCGCTTTCCTGGTGCGTCTGGAGTCTCTGCCCCCGAGACACTAGCCCGCCGAGGGCAGGGAAGGAGTGCCGCTCCCGGTTTTCTGGGTCTTCCTTTGCTTCAGAGGCATGTCGCAGCATCAGACAGACACAGCGCAGTTGTCTCGACCTTGCTCTTTAACTGTGTCACAATGCACGTGAGTTACCTGAAATTAAGGTAACACCACACAGGCCTCCTCGTGCTGTGCATTTGAAATTTCTCAAGTCAGTCTCGGCGTCACACTTTAATTCACGTCGTTTCATTTATTTGAAATTGTGTTTAAGAACTGAGATGTCGTTATTTATGATCGGCACTAGGTGAGGTTTAACGTTTCTCCCAAAGAAATGGGAGGAGGAGGAACAGTGAGCTGCTAACGGTTCTTAAAGGATGACTTTTACGTTGGGCTCTAAGGCGAGCAAAACCTGTTAGAGGTTTTCCCCCCAAAAGTGCGTCTGTGCCGCTTTGCAGAACAAAGGGTAAGATAAGAGCCTTCTAGAGACGCTTCCTAACCACCAGCTATTTCTCTTTATTTTCAAGGAGGCGAGGAGAATTTTTTGAACTTATAAGAAAAAACCAGCTCAGTCTTGACGACCCTCACCAAAAGGAGCTGTTTCTGTGAGTAGCGCGGCCGAGTGGGCAGCTGCGCTTCGCTCCCCGATGGGTTGTGTCCGCGCGGGTTTCGGACACACCAGCCGCCGGTCCCAGCGGGGTGATCTGAGAGGTGGCTCTTCTCGGAGAGCACGGCCACCCCCTCCCGTTGTGCCAGCGGTCGGTGGGACGTGCTGCCATTCGATGGTCAATTACTAGCGATCGATGTTCCCATCTCCCCCTCACCGTCGGGCTACAGGAGGCGGTGTGAGGGCAGTGGCTCCCCGCCGAACCAGGCGACCGCCCCCGGCTGTCGTGGCGTCAGCCACGTTTCTGTGCCAGTTCTGTCCCTGCTTCTCTGGTCTTTACAAACGGACACCCCGGGGTTAGAGGGCCTGAGTCCAGCTTTTCCACTGTGACTGCTTCCCGAGGGTGGTGCTCCCACCAGAGTAACGGCCGTGGGGTCTCTCTCCCCCGAACAGGGCGATGCTGATGACCGCGTGCGACCTCTCCGCCATCACGAAGCCTTGGCCCATCCAGCAGCGGGTAGGTGGCTCCGCAGTGAGCGCGCTCAGTGTGAAGTTACAAGGGGAAAAGTTCTGACCCTGGAAGGCAGCCGCAGAAGCGTTTGTGGAACTTGCCGTCTAATTTTCAAGTAGTAGCAAGTGCAAGTAATTGGCCACACAAATTTCCCTTTGGAGATTCCTTAGCACTTCATAACGCTTGTAATGCACAGTAAGAAAGAGAAACCTGTATTAACGCAGCAAACCCCCAGTGGCGGTTACGTTCTACTTGGGGAGGTATGACTTCTGGCTCACTGAGAGCTGTTTTACCCCTTGAGTAACGGGATGGGGAGAACCTGGGTTTCCACTCACCCTTCCCGTCTCCCCATCCGGGCCCTGAGCAGGCAGGGCGGCGAGGTCCAGGCCCAGACACGAACACCGGCACCAAGGTCAGCACCGCAGGGCTCAGGGGTCAGAAGAGCTGGCGTGGGTGATGGGCTGGTGGAGGGCAAGAATACGCTGAATGCAGCATAGAACATTAAGTGGCATTTAAAATAACCGGGCAAAGGCAGGCTTCTCACTAAACTACATTAGCATGATCTGCCCGCCTCACAGACAGACAGCAGAAGGCAGAGCTGGGCCTGCTCTGCAAACTGGAATCCAAACTGAATTCCAAACGGGGCCGAGGCCTCCGTGCAAAGAGTCAAACCATCCAAGTACTAAACAGAAACCGTTTACATCCCTGTTTCCGATCCTCGTCACACGTGATGTGGGAGAAGAGCACCTGAGAAATGACGCTGGGGCTGTTGAGGACTGGGGGGCTGCGTGTGAGTGAGGACAAGGCTGGAGGGGGTCCGCCCCGGGCAGAAACCCGGGCGTCCTGGGTGTGAACTGAAATACTGCGTGAGCGTGTGCCGCGTCCCAGCTCCAGCCCCTAGAGAGGCCTCCGCAGAACCATCAGCCTGGTGCCCGACTGAGTGGGGGGGGGGGGGGGCAGGGGCTGGCTCCGGGAGGAAACGCTGATGCAGGGTCCAGAGCAAGGACGCGCAGGAGCCCCAGAAGGGCTGGATGCCCAGCGAGCAAGGAGGCGGGCCCCCCACCCCCACTGGCTGGGATGGAACAGTGTGAGCATCCGTAGGGGTCGAAATGCATTAAATACGTTTTAATGTAAGAGTTCAAAGTAATGCTGAAGATGGTAAAACAAAGCCTTCCCTGGTCATCTGTGGTGAATGCTCTGGTGGAGACCCAAGTTACAGCTTTTACATGGCAATTAATATGGAGACGATCAAGTGTTTCTCTTGCTTTTCTTATACCAATTGTACTTTAGGGTACTAAAGACTTAACTTTCTCTTTACTGTACTCCGACTAATGACGGAAAAAGGAATGAGGGACTTGGCTCAAATCTCCGCTTCTGCAGCCCCGAGTCGCTGCATCTAGACACAGACCACTCACGGTGGTTCAAGTCAGCCAGGCAGGCGTTGCGGAGCCCTTGGCGGCGGCGGCACACGGCCCTGCCCGGCAGTAGTCCTGGCGCAAATACAAACGAAAACGAGCCCAGTCTCCATCCAATCCAGCCCCCCAATCCCATTACCGGTGTGTGGAGTACGGGCCCAGAGGCTCTCCCTGACGTCAGAGGGACAGAATCAGTGGACCCCAGACAGTGAGAACCGAGGGAGGGGTGACCCAGCTTATTCAGCAACGGCAGAACGTAAAGGAAAGTGTTGGGGGGAGGATCCGGAGATTAATTGAGGTACATGAGGCCTGCCAGTCAGTCGCAGGCTAGGCCCCTGTTCGACCTTGTTCACGGCACCAGGTGTAACAGGTGCTTGCTAGCTCCTGGATTTGGGGTGCAGAGGGGCCGAAGGGGGTGCACTGCTACCTTTTTCTGTGTGGACAGATTACGGACTCCAGCCTTCGTCGGTAATTAGGCGCACACTGACGGCAAACGAGACATCACTTCACCCCTCGTTACTGCTTTACTCTTGATTCTACTGATGTGCTGGAAAGCTACAGACCTGATGATTTTATCGTCTCCGTTCAAAGTCCCCTTTGCAGGGTGATGTGCTTTGAAGTGCCAGCCGTGGCTGTTGTTTATTTCAGATAGCCGAGCTGGTGGCGGCCGAGTTTTTTGACCAAGGAGACAAAGAGAGGAAGGAACTCAACATCGAGCCCGACGTGAGTATGAGGCTGTGGGGCCACCCAAACAGCCACTCAAACACGTCTGGCTCGCAAACTTCTTTGTTGGTGTCGCTGAGAACTTTCCTTAGAAACAGGGTTTCTCCTCATTGTAACTTCTGTCGTATTACGCCTACATTTTTGTAACTTGCTGTTTTCACCTAAATGTCATACGCTGCTTTTGGTCCCGACAGCCGTCCCTCTACCTGTGACTCAGCGGCTCACAGCAGACAGATGTCACTGTGACTCACCGCTTCCTGGTGTAGCACAGGCACTGCTCACTGTTCCAAGCAGCACAGTGATCAACACCGTGCTGCTAACCGCTCCTTCGCCGCAGTGGGATGAAAGCCCAGGGCTGCCGCGGGGATGGGCACGCAGATTTTGAGGGTCCCTTTACACAAACCGCCGTCCACGTAGAGTGTGGGAACTGAGTTGCGGCACCTGTGGCCTCGGCACCTTCTTCTGAGGGTGCTCAATTCCACAACGGTGGACAAGTCAAAGCCGGCGTGGTCTCCAAGTTCAGGTCGGCAGCTGGCTCTGCATCAGCAGTGGGCTTCGGGTCAGTGGTTGACTGTGGGAGAGGGTGCAGTTCAGGCAAGGTCACCGATGAACTCTCGGTCAGTTCCTGGGGGACATCACGGCCAAGACAAACGAGGCTCACAGTGCTGGCGGCCGTGCAGGAGGCCGGCACAGGTGAGCGGGCAGGTGAGGGGCCGCAGGCTTCCCTCAGCTGGCCCCGTGACCGGCCGCCTTAGAGCCGGCGAGCACTGTGCTCTGGAACCGGCCGCAGGTGTGTGAGTGCCTGCTCCTGTGTCTGTGTTTCAGGACCTCATGAACAGGGAGAAGAAGAACAAAATCCCGAGTCTGCAGGTCGGCTTCATCGATGCCATCTGCCTGCAGCTGTACGAGGTATTTCCGTGACAACCGCCAGACTTGCTACCTGCAGGCTGTTAGGAATTGAAATCTTGAGTAAAGCGAAGCAATTGGCATTAGGCTTATATTTATTGTTTCTTCTGCTGATGAACATGCCGTTTCAGTGAACAGGGACACATTTTATATTCACAATTCCTCAAAAATGTTCAGGCCTCACCTCAAAGCATAACCGTCTGTTGAATGCCTGCTGTGCGCGCTGGGCTGTACGCGCTGGGCCTGCACGGGTGCGGGGACAGTGAGAACCGGGTGCCAGCGCCACCCCTGGGGACGCTGGGCACACACGTGTCAGCACGTGCTTTTCCAGTGGAAGTTTTGGAGAAAAGAAAGAAAACTATGCAGCTCTTTCCCATTGAGTACTGTAGCTTTAGTATCGCTAGTAAACTTTTCACAAGGATTAAAAGGAGGTGGCCAGGAGAATATTGCAAGTGCCGTTCCCATACACCTGCCGGCTTCGGATTCTTGTTCCCAAGTTGAAGCTCCTTCCCCTGCGACACCCAGTCCATTAGTTCAGATGTTTGTGCCCCGAGCACAGGAAAGAGGTGCTGTCCTTGTCATGAGAAGTTCAGACAGGAAACTAAGTTTTGTTTGGAAAAGGGCATTTCTCCTGGTGCCCTCACAGGAGGTCAAGGCCAAAAGCAGCCTGCAGCCCTGCAGCCCAGACAGTCCCCAGACTCGGACCTGGGTCCCTTAGGCTCACCCCCCGGGGACACGGGGCCGTTGCCCCAGTCAGGCAGGCACGTGGACCATCATTGTCACCCAGGGAATTTCTCAACAAAGCCGGGGCCACTGAGCAGGAGGGGAGGGACGGGAAGGCGGGGCAGGAAGGGGAAAGAGGGAGGCGCGCAGGTGAGCCTGGCGACAGCGTGTCCCACCAAGTTGGGTCCACTGTCCCCTCCCTCGCACAGCGGGGCTCAGAGCACTTCCTCCCGCACCCCCAGGCCCACGCAGGCTCTGTCCCCAGAGTAAGAACGCCTCGGTTCCAGGTGCTGGCGAGTCTCCTGACCCCCCTGTGCCCAGAAAATGCAGTCAAAACCCCAGATCCCATGCGAGGGCTTTCCTCTATGCACCTGTGCACAGGGCTTCGCCTCATCGCCCCCGCTCCTGAGTGCCCTCGCACACGTGGGGATGCATGTGCTTACTGTTACGTATTGCAGAATCATATTCTGAGTGAGAGAAGCAGAAAGACAGATCAAATGACCTATGATTCCACTGCTGTTAACCTAAAAAACCAGGATGATCTTCTGCAGGGTAGGGCCCTTGCAGCACAGGCTCCCCCACCCACCCAGGGGAGTGTGCTAGGAACCATCTGGATCCGTGTGTCAGCAGGCACTGTTGTGAGAGGCTGCGTCTGTGGGATGGTGGTGAATTGTTTTTGATGACTTTTGACCCATTTCATGATGGGTGATTGACGGGCACACCTGCCCACACTGAGCTGAGGGTTCACCAGTTTTTGACCAAAAGAGCACGACCCCCATGCCCCACCCTCCCTATTCACCCAACTCGCCCCAAATGATTTTTTTTTGTTTCCCTGAAACAAAAGTCCTCAAAGGCAAACGTTTTGCCCACGTGTGAGAGGTGAAACAGAAAAATGGCAGAAGCACTAAAAGGCACCCAAATCGATGCATTCAAAAGCTGTCTGGAGCAGTGGGAAAACCACCCGATAGGTGTATTGCATCAGATGGAGAGGACTTGGAAGGAGACGGAAGTTTAAACACATGAGAACAAATACGCAATTTTGATAACAGATTCCAGTTTGGGGGCCCCCCTGCACGCACTGTGACATTTTCAGTTTTCATTTTACGGACATTGCCGGCTGCGGTCCTCAATGACTCACAGTGCCCACCTTTCTGTGCGGACTGTGTCCACGCCGCAGCAGCGCCAACCGCCGCGCTGTTGTGGGGCGTTTAACTCAACGTTTCTCTATTGTAAAGGAAGCTATGTAGGGCGCAGTAGTTGCTGAATGGTAGTGAATCCATAACAGAGCGTTAAGAATTCCTCTGTATTGGAATCTTGGATTAAAAAAAAAATTCGATTCCAGGGCACAGCCCGAAACCCTTTTATGGAGAAGCTGGAAAGCGAGGCGGCAGGTCCAGTCGCGCGTGGGGAGAGAAGCCCGGCGAGGGCAGAGTGCGCAGCCTCCCCGCAGAGCGGCCGTGGCAGGTCTGGCGCCCCAGCTCTGCCCGCAGCAACCTCTGTCTCCCCGCAGGCCCTGACCCACGTGTCCCAGGACTGCTTCCCCCTGCTGGACGGCTGCAGGAAGAACAGGCAGAAGTGGCAGGCCCTCGCAGAGCAGCAGGAGAAGACCCGGGGGAACGGCGCCGGCGGCCAGGCCCCGCGGAGCTGACGCCCGCGGGCGCACGCCCTGCCCACTGGGCACTGCGAGGCCGGGTGGGCCCCTTCCGGCACTGCATGGGTGTGTTTGCACAGCTTTTGAGAGCACAGCGGGGACCACTGGTCTTTGGCCGGTTCCTGGCCTCCGTGTCCGTGTTTGGCGCCGCTGGGCGGAGGACCCACTGGGGCCCGCTGTCAGCACGGGCTGGGCGCTGCGGGTATCTGCGCTCTGCAAGTGGGAGCTGCATTCTGGCCCTCGCGTTCCCTGGTTTTACTTGGGAATTTTCCATGAGTTTTGTGGTTTCGGAATTGTCAATCTTTCAAAAATGTTTCAACTCTTTTCTTTAAAATAGGGTAGGAGAAAATTGAATATATTCTGGGACATGTGAAGCCTTCGTAGGCAGAGAAAACCTGTGGGCTGAGAGGATTTTAAGGGGAAGGGGGCATGTCTGTCAACAATGTATTATGTTAACAAAAAAGTTAAAACTCGAAACAAACGGGAAGTACTATAAGGCAGTACTGTAAAGCAAAGGTATTACACTGATCATCGCCGATTTATCGAGGGGCAGGTGTAACCCAGAGACCTCGGTGGCTCTGCTCCTGTTTTGCACAGTTTCCTCATGTGCAAAAGTTGACGTGCGTTCCTGCACCCAGGCCGTCTGGGTCGGGGAAGCAGAGGAGGCGGCAGGCGGCTGCTTCCGGAAAGGGAGCCTGCCCCAGATGCGTGGAAGTGTCGGGCCTGAGCAGGGAGACGGGCATTTGCTTGATTTGTTTACCTCCCCCCCCACCCAAAAATTCCCCCTCTGTCCCGGGCTCGGACAGCTCTGGGGGATGGGGAAATGCAGCACCGTCACGGCCGCCACTGAAACACATTTCCATTTGTATCATTTTTTCTAAACCTCCTAGAGTCCAGCATGCTCCTTGAGTCTTTAAGATTCTGGGTGAGTGTGTGTCTCTTAAGATACTGTGTCTTTATTCTTACCATTCAGGTGGGGAAAAAAAGGCCAAACAAACCGTGGCCCTCACTCTGCGGTGAGAGAGGCCAGCCTAGAAAGTTACCGACTGCGAAGGCTGTGTGGGATCGTCATACGCTTAGATTTCCGGGATGTCACTCTGTTTCTATTTCCTGTCACACAGATGAGATCTGTCAGGTTGCCTCTTGGTGGCACGGGTATGCAAAGTGCCTCAGGTGTCAGTGAGGTCACGGTGTGCGCAGTGCGGCACACCTGTGCTTCCTCGGAACAACGCCACGTGAAGAGCGGCAGCCACTAACTGCCGCCCACGCGTCCGACGCTGAGACTCCCGTGGCGAGGTCTGCGGTCACTTGCCTCCGCAGCTGTCCGGGCCTCCCCGGCACACGTCACCGGGGCTCCACGTGACAGAGTAGACTCCACCCCGGGAATGCGTACACGTGCTTTGTTCACGAGCAAAAAGAAACACTTAGATGAGAGAGCGAGTGGTTTGCCCGCAGGTAGTGGTGGGTTTCACTTCACTGGTTCAGAAACGAGAAGCTGGGCGAGGCCACGCCCGGGCATTTTAGTTCGTGCAGGAGGAGAGCTGCTCGTTGGGGCTGGTCCGCTGGTTCGCATGATGCTGATTTCTAGGAAAGTCATTCCAGTCCATGGATTAATATCTGGTATGCGGGCACAAATCGAAGTTTCTGTTCTCACGCAAATATTTTCTGTCCGGTGTCTTTGGAAGCTGGAAACGCGCACACACACATGGGGGCGGGCAAAGCAGGCTGCAGTCGTTGCGTGGGGAACAGGACAGAACAGGACAGAACGGGACGGCAAAAACGCAGCACAGGAATGAGCCCTGCTCCGGCGTCGCCCCCGGACGGCTGCCTTGGCCTCCCCGTGAACCCTCTGCCCAAGCCTGTGCCGGCCTTGTCCCAGGAGTCCGTTCTCGTTCCAGCTGAGACACGTCACACGGTTCCCCTTCCGGTCTGAGCCCCCACGGCCCCCACTCCACTGAGCTCCGTGTGGAGCCGCCCGGCCTTCTGCTCGTCCAGGTGCTGCTGTGACAGCACCGGGACCAGCCCAAGGAGTCACATGTGGGTGAGGCCTCGGTCTTCATGGAAGGCGTCCCAGAAGGCCGCCCCTTTGTCAGCCCTGGTGGGCCCCGGACACCACCTTCAGATGCGACAGGACAACACAGCATGGCGACCTCATCCCACATGTCACCTCTGACACGGAGTTTCCCAGACTGAGAGAGCAGAGCGGCACCTTTGCTGGGCCTCTCGCGCGCACGTCACTGTGTGAGAGTCGGAGCCCTGCGAGCACCAGCCCCAAAGAACAAGCCCTGCGGAGGACGTGCTCCCTGGCAAGCGCCCCCCCCCCCGCCCCCGTCACTGTGGCGGCCACGGGAGGGGCCAGAAAACGGGCAGAAACGCTGGGCTCTGGGGGGAAGCTGGCAGGGGCAGACTCCTGCCTCCTCGTGGCAAGTGCCTCTGGGTTCATCACAGAGCGCGGACGGTGGGCGCACCCCAGTCTGACCGAGAGCATCCCTGTGTCTCACCGGACTGTCCCCTGGCCCGGCGCCGGCTGTCACGCAGCGCCGCTTTGCTTTGTTTCCAGTGGGGGTGGGGCGTGTGCCTGCCGCCCTGGGCTGGGAGAGCTGCCGGCCAGCAGGGCAGTGTGACTCTGTGCTGTCTCAGACGCACCAGGCCCACTTCCGGAGGCGCCCCTGGCTCGTGGCGGCCGGCTCAGCCCCAGAGACGGGCACCGCCCGGGCGCAGTTTCACTGGCGGCACAGGCCAGGCCCGCGGCAGCCCTGCACCGAGCCGGCCGCCTTACCGTGAAAACAGAGGGGCCGGTAAGTCACTCTGCTTTCACCTGTGACGGTTTCCCAAGGGCCCCTGTCCCCGGAACTTGGTAAGACTCCACTAGTGACCACTCTGGCCCCTCGGGAGTGGAGCGCTCAGACCCTGGGGATGCCCGCGGCGGGAAGGCACTGCTGCACCGGGTCTGAACGATGCTGTCGAAAGCCATGTAAATAGTTGAAAATACAAGTTTCTTACAGTTTCGGGAGAGACAACCTCCCAAACCGTCACTAGCCACTGTCAATATCTATTTGTATTCTGACACCTTTTCCATATATTTGAACAAACATAGATTTCGGGCACTATTTTTGTACTAGGATAAAGGCGTCCCTGTGTATATTATGTTTAGCTCTCAAGCCGTTGTACTTCATCGTGACCGTGGTGTCTTGCCCTCCCTCTGCCGCCCTGAGCAGCATGTTGGACACCAACCACTTCAAAGGACATTCACGTGGGCAGCCCCGCGCAACCGGGCGGTCAGGGCACAGACCCTCACCTGCCGGTCACGAAGCACGTGTGTCTGTGCTTTGTGAAAATAAAGAGTGGACACCAGGTGTGAGTGCAGTGTGGTTCTTAGCAGGCGTTGAACCTGAGGCAGACAGAGTGGGCCAGTGAAGCTCAGAGTGAGCTACCGTCCAACACCCGAGCCGGGAGCCACCGGGTTTTGGAGCCTGCGCTTACTCCACTCAGCTCTCTCGTTAAGTTTTAACTGGAAGAGGCCCCAAGTCCATTCTCACGGGTTCAAGTGGGCCACGCAGAAGCTCGGAAACAGGCAGGTTGGGCGAGCTTGGGTTTCACTGGGTAGCGGCGCCTTCCAGGGCTGCACAGCTGGTGACGGGAGGTGGGATTCAGCGCAGGGCTCCTCCCCCTGTTTGGTTTCCCACCAGATGCACCCCCTTCTTGTGGGACAGAACCACTAGGCCCGGCCCAACCCACAGAGCTAAGGACAAACACCACCGCTGCCCATAAGGCCGAGTTGCAGGTTCTCTGACCAGCAGAGGGCACCGGGTGTTTAGAGAAGTAATCCCCCGGACAGGGTTCAAACAATGCCTAAGAACTGATGCTTAAAGAGTTTTACTAGCAAAAGAAAAAATCAACGGAGAATTAAGACCGACTTACTGCCCCTGGTCTGGCGGTCGTTTCTCCAAGATTTTCTCCAGCAAGCGCTGACTGCCCACTGAGTGTCCCACTGAGTGCCACTGTTCTACCCACGGGGACCCGGTTCCTCTCCCAGCAGACAAGCCCCTGCCCCCACCTCCCCGTCCTCGCTGTCAGGGTGCTGCTCCTCGTCACAAGGCCCGTGTGTGGCGTGTGCGGATGTTGGGGTGCACCTTTCAGGTGTTAAGCTACGGCACGAACGGAAACCCCTTCAACGTACAGCGATCAAGCTCTGATTTAAGCTACAGTTGGCCTCAAGTAAAAGCTATGTGTTTCCAGTTCACAGACCGTTTGTTCAGGATAGAAATCCACAAGTTTTACCAATGAAATCAAACTACTAATCATTTGCACCAGAACAAGCCTGCCTCACTGAATGGTGTGTGTGTGTGTGCGCGTGCACGAGTGTGTAAGGTCCGCAGCAACCCGGATGCCACACGGTGAACTCCTCTCTGCACTACCACACACGGCCAAGTGGCAGAGGAAGCGGGGAACGCCCACTGGGGCCTGGCCTTGGCCCCTCCCAAGTCTCACGGCCCCCCAGGGGCCAGTTTGGGAACCACATTTCACTTCCCATCAGCTTCCCCTGAGCCCATGGGAGTGTTTTTAGCCTTTAGATGACCCCAATCCAGCACATTCTTGTAGGAAACAAGCTTCCCCTTTCCCAGCCAGCTCGTTGCACGTCACGAGTTCCCTGGCCTGGCTCACCGCCCAGCTGAGGGGAACAGGCCTGAGACTCGGCCAACCCCGCCCGGCCCAGCCCTGCCCTCTCCAGCAAGGTCAACGGAGGTCGTTGCCAAGGATGCCTCTGGGCCTGCGGAATAAGGAGCTTCCTGGGCAGTGAAGGCAGGACCGTGACCGGTGGTTATTCCTTCTGTCTCTCGTAGCTGAAGCCGCGGCTGCTCTCTGGTGCTCCTGGCTCCGCCCCACGCCTCCTGGGGAACGTACTTGGTTCTCCTTGTTCTACCGTCCCCCTGAAACCCACGGTCCCCCCACCCCAGGGTCCCGACCTTTGCTCCTGTACTTAGAAAGCACTCAGCAAATACTGAGTGGAAGAATACACTTCTATCCTTTCCCACTTGACATAAAATGCAATTTTTGATACAGGAGGGAGAAGGGACCCCACGAAGGGCAACAGAAAAACCAACACAGCGCACTTAGAGGCTCTCGGCTGGACGGGAGCCAAAAGTTAGGGTGCAATAACAAGCTGAATTGAACAAGTTTTCAGACAAAAGACTTGTTCCCTACCACGAAAAGTCAGTCGGTGACCAGGCCGTCACTAACAAATCGATAAGCCCCCGGGCGGGGTTTTGCGGAGCTGCTGGGAACCAAGAAGCACCCACAGCATCTAGAGGCCAAGGATCTTGTGGCCAGAACAAGATTTACATTTCAAATAAACAAGCGAACAAATGCTGAGGTTCATTCACAAAATAGCTGGTTCCCCGCCAGGGCTCAGGCTGGGCGAACTCCGCAGGCAGGTCTCAGGGGCTTCGTGACCCACGGCCAGGGCAAGGACAGGAGTGGACGGCACTTAATCCAAACTTGAGGGTTGCAGGCAGCTCCCTGAAGGGTGTGGCGCCTGGTCGAACCAGCAGGTGGCGCCCCAGGCAGGGAAACAGCAGGGGAAGCCCGGCAGCTGCGGCACCGCCCATTGAAAAGGTCGTTCTCGCCCTGGGCCTGGCCTCCAGGTTGTACGGACTGACGCAGGACAGAGGCAGAGTCAAGGTCAGGAAGCACAGGTGTGAGACAGCGCTCGTTTCCCCACACACCCCATGACCGGACAGAAAGGGGAGAGAGCCACGGGACAGAGCCTGGAAGTGACGCTTCGGCCGTCAGAGTGACACTTCCAGTGACAGACTCCAGCAGGTCTGACCGCAGACTCACGGGAGACCTGGCTCTTGCTCTCTTTAGGGGGGCTCCCCACCTCGACAAAAGCTTGGGGGTCCCTCTGCACTGGGCGAGCCCCACGGGCCAGGCGAGCCCAGGACGTGGCAGCGTCAGCTGTGGCAGCAAGGACAGCCGCCACAGGGGGCTTAGCAGTTCCTCCCGCTGACCATCTGCTTGTCCCCAGAGACGGCCGCCGCCTGGAGGGGTTGTGCGGACCAGGAGGGAGCTTGGGGTGGTGGGCTGGCCTCGGCCATGCAGGAGGCAGGTTCCAGTGAGCGCTGGCCCTGTGGACGCTGTGGGGTCTGGTGCCCACCCCAGCACCCGTCCCAACCCTACAGGGACAGACCCCTGTGCTCCAGGCCCCTGGGCTGCAGACTGTCAACCCTTGGCCCACAGCTGCTTCGCTCCCAGCACCGCCCTGACTTGGAGGGGCTGCCTGCCTCGGGGGGGGGGGGGGGGGGCAACACCCAACCTAAGGGAGGGACAGAGCTGAAGGCCAGTCCCGGTCCCGACCTCCGACATCACCCTGGCCCACTTCCAGGTGTCTCCCAAGGGTGCGCCCTGCTACAGCCCAGTTCCACTGTTTAAACGAGGGGCAGCTAAGAGGGGATTTATTTGATTATTCTCGGTACCATACATGTGAGATGTATTCTTTTACATCAATGCGCATGTTAATAAAAGTACTAATAAAAGTGTACATTTCTTGAATTTCTGTCTTATCCTTTGCAAGAAGTTTGCCAGAAATGTGAACAAGATATGTGCTCATTTTCCCCCGCAGCCCTGGGGCCACAGTCCCCTGGCAGCCCCGGCAGCCCCAGGCCCAACCCCGACGTTCTACCAACACACTGGCCGCCCTCACAGTGCCACCACCAGGGTCGCAGCGGGGCTGCCCCTCCGGCAGTCTCCACGTGTTTTAGGAGAGCAGCAATTCCCCTCCTGCGTCTGCGCTGTGCAGGTCACTCTGCCAGGGCAGGGTCCCGGAGGCCGTGTGCCGCGGCTACAACAACTTTTTGGACTACACCTCATTCAAATCCCGGTTGTGCTGCCCCAGGCAGACGTGGTCCTGCGGGGTCCTCCTGCCTGTGGCCAGCACATCACAGCTGAGTTTACGGAGCTGGACGCTGTGCAGGCTGGGTGTAGGGAGCAGGGCCACTGAGGTGACCGAGCCGACCGCTGACTGCCGACCACGGGGCACATCTCAGAACAGCACGCTGCGTGGACCCTTCGCTCCTGGTTCCACGAATCGGCCAAAGGTTCCTTCCCCGGTCTCAGAGAGTTATCTGTGACCGTTGGCACAGTAATAATTCTGTACGGTGCAAACTAAACAGATAACAAAATTTATTGAGTAAATTACCCTTGAAAACAGTTTAAAAAAACATGAAAATAAGTTTCACACAAACATGCAGTGCCCACAAGGACGTGCCGGTGTCCTCAACGCGAGTCCCACTCACTCCTGTTGACAGTCACCCCCCTCCGTCCCGGAGCCCCGAAGGGTCGGGGACACGCCCTCTGAGAGGGGCTGGCAGCTGCCTGGCAGGAAGACCTTCCTTTTTCCCTGAAGGACACCAGGGTCATGACCTCCCGGCAGAGATGGTGAGGGAGCGGAGCCCAGGGTGGAGCCTGCGGATTTGGGGGCCTGCAGAGGAGACTCGGGGCTGACGTGACCCGCTCTCTGGGACGTTTCTAACAGGACAGCACGTGCTGTGACCCCTCGTAGGGCAGACCCTGTGCTGGGGCCGATGTGGGGGGGCGGACCACCTGGGCTTCCATTCCCTTTGCACCTGGCGGGTCCCCAGCTCCCAGGTGAAGCTGGTGCAGCCCCGGCCTCCAGAGACTCTTTATTCGCCCTCACACGCAGCCCGGCACACGAAGGGTGGCAGTGGTGGGAGGTGCCGGGCAACTGTAACTAAACTGATGATGGCCACCGCTCCGGCAGCGAGCAGAACGCAGGTCCACGTGAGCAGTGGAACCCAGAGACGTGCTCCGGGGACCAGAGACACGGGCTGCTCGCGACGAGCCTTGGGACTCACGCTGCAACTCGACTGTCTTTACGCGACTTTGGTGCCTTGCTCACCTCGCTTTCTGCATTCATAGTTATTTTAAACCAGTATTTCATCAAAACGTTGTTTACCTTGGGTGCTGAGTTCTGCCCACCCCCCTCCAATCCTGCACTCAAGGTGCAGGCCTCCCCAGCTGCCCCCAGTCCTGCACCTGACCGAGGGGCACAGGTAACAAAGTCTGAGCCCCCCCCCCCCCAGTGCGTGCTGGAGCCCAGACAGCACAGAGGTGCGTGACTGCGCAGGTGCTCTGACAGCGGGTCGAAGCACGGAAAGGAGGGACGAGATGGGAACTGGAGGCAGGAATGTCAGCCTGGGCTCATTCAGCTGGCATCCTGTTTGGGAGGAGGGTGGAGGGCTGCCTGGAGGCGGTGGCTCCGGGATACACTGCCAGGGGGACAGGAGCTCAAGAGCACCACAGTGACCACGTGCAGGGAAGGCCTGCTCCTGTGGGGCGGGAGATGAGGGCCAGAGCCAGCGGAGGGGCCGCCCCTGGCCCTCCAACCCCCCAGCCCTCCAGGGAGAGGCAGGAATGCTCACCACGCACGCTCTTGCCAGGAGACCACTGGGGCCTGCAGCCAGAACCTGGCCCGGGGCGGCAGGGACAAGCAGCCCTGAGTGAGGGACCAGCAGTGTCCCGTGACACAGCAGACAGGCCACTTCTGAATGTTGAACTGAAACCACGAACTCAACACTGAAGAGACCTTGGCCTCAAGGCCCTGCTGGGGAACTTGCCTGTCAAGGCCCCCGGGAAGGAGCCTCAGGGAGACTGGGGCACTGTGCCGACCCCCCCCCCAGGTACGCCCCTCCCCGCCCAGGCCCTGGGAAGACCCCCGGGGGCTGCTGCGGCTTCCTGGGGCCCAGGGACAGACCCAGACAAGGGTGGGTTTGCATTGTCCTTCGACTTCCCCCCTGGGCTCGCTCCCCCTGGGGTTGAGGAGGGTGGTGGAGACGGGAAGGGAGGAGCAGAGATGGGGGCCAATTAAGTCATTAGAGAGAGTGAGTCCACCTAAAGCGACCTCTGCCCTGAACTGGCGGCAACGTCAGGAGCTGATGTCAGGAGCCAACTGCCACTGCCAAGGAGAGGAGCACTCGGCCTGGGAGAAAGGTCGGCGTCCCCTACGGAGGCTCAGGGGCCTTATCTGGGTTTCAAAGGTCCCCAAGGCCCCTCCCATGCAGAAGAGCTGGCTGCAGAGAGAATGCTGCGCCCAGACACTGCACACAGGGCCTGGCCGGCACCCGCCGCTCGCCCCTCTTGCCCGCCAGTGCCCGGGCACGCACAGCTGCCCCGCTTCCCCCCAGTGCACGGGCGCGCCCCGAGTCCTCAGCAGGCTGCAGGCGGGCCTCCAGGCCCCTCCTGTGCTTGGAGCTGCATGAAGGTGTGTGTGCGGCAAACATCAGTGTGCACACACACAGGTACACAGGAACACGTGTGTGCGTGAGTGTGCACACACATACCCACAGGCCTTCCCCTGGAAGAACCTGCACAAATGTCACAGTAACTACGGCCAGCTGGTAGCAGGGGCCCTCGATTCGTTTTTTCTTTATGCCTTTCAATATTGTCTAACTTACATGCATTCACTGTTCCTTAACTTACAATTCTGAATTTTTCTTAATGATGTAAGGAGTATTCAATAAAGTGAGAAAGTGTGAAGACGGCTGGCCATTTTTCCTGTGTTTATGAAATCACACCTGCGCCGTGAGTCCCCGTAGCACTGTGCCGGCAAGACGGCCTTCCTCCTGGGCGGCCTGCGAACGGGCGCCTCCATTCGGCAGCACAGCTGGCAGGGCCCCGGCATTACCGCGGTGACCACTGGGACCAGAGTGGAAAGCAGGGGCCCCTGTTCGCTGTTCCGCACGCAGGCTGTTAGCTCCTCGCGTGCCGCGCTTACGGCAGAGACTCGGGCCCTGACGGCTTTCGCTGAGGAGCGTGCACTTGCCTGGCCCGTGCTTTCTACACCCCGTGCGGTCTCTGCCCTGGACTCGGGAGTCTCTTGGAAGAAACCGGCAGGGTGGCCGGCCACCCCCACGGGCGCAGCACGAGTGCAGGGAGGGCTGCGGAGCTGCGAGCCTGGGCTGCAGGTGGAGGTGGGCGAGGCTGGCTTCTGGGAAGTTGCATTCAGCTGCTTCTTGAAGTCTGAGTGGGTGTCCGGGGGTGAGGGAGGGTTTCCAGGCAAAGGAGGACCAGGGACGCAGGCAGAGAAGTGCTCAGGGTGGGAGGGAGCACAGCCTCAGCGCAGGGAAAGGCGGGGGGGGGGGCTGCAGTCTGGGGACGGAGAGCGGCAACAGCTGACTGCAGCTCTCTCCACACCAGGGGCTGACGCCAGGGACACAGTGAAGGGTGGGGAGGGGGACGGGTGGTCGGGGGCAGCCTGTGGCCCATCACAGAAGGCAGGGCGGTGGGGATGACTGATCGATCGTGGGCTGCAGCCCTGGATGGGAGCAGACAAAACATGGAGGTGACGAGGGGCAGGGACTGTGAGGCCAGTGTGACAAGCAGTCATCCACGTGGACCTGGAGGTCGCCCGGGGCAACAGCAGGGCACAGGTGGAGGGGGCCAGGTTGTCAGTGACTGATGACAGATTGCAGCTGAACGGGCACAGATGGAGACAATAACAAACAAGGCAAGGGGCAGACCACAGGAGGGCACAGGCTGGAAGGCGAGTAGAACTGGGTTCAGGCGAAAAGGTTTCCTTAAAAAACAAGAGGCAAAACACAAAGTTCAAATGTGGGCTGCGGCCATGGGGAGCGAGCAGAGACCAGGCACAGCCCCACCCTGTGTGGCGCAGGGGCCCAGGGGCAGAGCACCCCCCACCACAGACCCAGGTCACAGAGGCCAGGAGGTCGAGGGGTCACTGGACTGACCCACAGAGGTTGTGAGCTGGCCCTCTCCTTGTCGATGAAGGAGCAGCAGCAACGGCCCCCCACCCCCAGTGTCCACGGCTCTGTGGTCTTTGGGGAAGAAACCTGACCTGACCTCCCAGGTTCAGACCCTAAGACCTAACAGGTCTCCACCCCTACATGCAGCGGCTGGGTGCTCCCCTGGGTGCTCCCCTGCGCCCCTGCCGTGCTGGGGCCTCCCAGTGCTCCTCCGAGGCCCCACACACGGCCCCTCCCGAGTGAGTGCCCCTGCGCATGGAGAAATCAGCCAGCCTGGGCCTGAAAAGCAGGGTTCAGGAATTCTGTCTCCGTCAAAGGCCTGAAAACACGGTTTCCGTAGTGACAGTTTAGAAACTGCTCTAGCAAGGGGGCAGAAGGGCTGCCGTCATCTTGGGAACCTGATCCTTTGAGACGAGCTTGAGATGTGAGTCTCCGGACTGCGGGATGATACCAGTGTCCCCCTGGTGCCACAACTCGGCGGTTTTTGTCTCTTAGGGGCGACCTTGAGACCTTCGGAAGGTCGCTGCACCTAAGGCAGCTCGCCTGGCTTCCCCGGGGGCAGAGGGATGGGGTGGGGGAGCGGCACAGGGCTGGCGGCTGGGCCTGAGCACCAGAGGACAGCACACTGGGAGTGCAAGATGGGGCCGAAAGACATTTAGTATGTGCACGCCCTGGGGACACGGTGGGGACAGCAAGAGGCTGCAGGCGTGAGCAGGGGCACCGACAGCCGTGTCCCTGGAGGGACAGGATGGGTCAGGGGCCAGTGTAGGGGGTGCTGGCCGCTCCCCACCCCTCAGGGCTGACGCCCACCGCCCTGCCGCACGCCCCCTGGAGGAAACAAAAGGCAGGGCAGCTGCACTGAAGGTGTGTGCCCAGAGGGCACAGTCCAATGGAACCCCGTGTTCCCTTCAAATGTGTCGGCCATCCTTCCTCTGGGCCCAAACGGACTTGTGGGCGGGTTGGGGGGCTTCTCCATTGATGTAAAAGTGGCAACCACAGTAACAGGTTCTCGAAAGAACTGTCACTTTTCTCTCAGGCCGGTTGATAACCACACTCCGCTCTGCACGCCAGGCGCACAGCTCCCCCCGGCCGCTGGGCCTGGCGCTGCAGGCCTGTGCTTGGGGAGAGACGCTGAGCTCCTCCCCGCGACCCTCAGGCCCCCCACCCCACACAGGGAGTCTCCGGGACTGGCTGCGGGTGGTGGGCCGCGCACACGTGCAGAACCCGGGAGCGGTGCTAATGAACCAACCACACGGCTGACGTCTTGCGTTCGCGTCCTTCGTGCACGGCAGTGGTTTGAGGCTCACACTCCCCCGTGGGGGTCTGCGGGCCACCCAGCCTCACTGCTGCCTCTCGAGGTTTCCCTCAGCGGCCATCGCCCTCCATGACACTGCGTCTGCCCCGAGCGTCATGCTCTGCCCGGGGCCGTTTGCCCGGACTCCCATCAGCCCCACAACACGAGGTGGCACCACCTCAGGAAAAGGAGCCCCTCTCTGTCTCTGTGCCACATGGCCTCTGGCCTTGAAGCTGTGTTGGACCAGAAAGCCCTGCCGGCGAGATAGCTGCTTGTGTACAAGTGAAAGGCCATTAACACCCGCACTTCCCAGACGGTACTTGGTGTGCGCTCCAATTACGTTATCTCCAGTACAACGTACCCTCTGAACTTGTGAGCAATAAAGGAAATCTGTCTTCAGACAGTACGCATTCTAATTCTCGAAACAAATGTGCCCACAAACAAATTGTAGTTCAAGAAAGCGTATGCTTAGCATGTTGCAATTCGGCTGAATTTCAGAAAAGGAACTAAGAAATCTGCAGGAAGCAACACTGGCTTGGCCTTCTGTGTATTCGGGCGACCTCCTGAACTTCGAACTGCCATATCACACAGCACAAGTCGAGTCTAAGATAAGAAGCAGGATAACTTCCCTCCCAAGGTCGGCCCTGGAGCTCAGACTTCCTAGAGGCTGACTCTGCTGCAGACCATGGCGTTCGACGGGACTTGGAAGATAGACCGGAATGAGAACTATGACAAGTTCATGGAAAAAATGGGTAAGCACTTTGTCTCTAGCGGGTCCTCCTAACCCCCTCTACACCCCGGGGCTGAGGCAGCGCCCCTGCTGCGGCATGAGGACCGGGCGGTGTGCTGGGGCGGGGCGGGGCGGGGCAACCGCCTCCTCCTCCCTGCTCCCACCGGGAGGAGAGCAGACCCTCGGAGCCTGGAGCAGCAAAGGGATCCCGGAGTACCGCTCACCCGCCAGGGGCCGGCTAAGCCCCCACCAGGGAAAGCCGGCAGGTGGTTCTGGTTAGAAAGTAACTAACAAATGGCAGTGTGTGCGGGGAACTGCAGACTAGAAGTTTGGACCCCGGGGGGTGGAAGAGCAGAGACCATGTGATGAAGTGAGGGCAAGGCGGCAGGTCAAAAGCCGCAGCGCTGAGGGAGGAGGCTGAGCTCTGCCCCCTCTGCTGTGAGAACCCTGAAACGGTCTCAGGCCAACGTGCAGCTTCTAAAGGAGGTTTCACTTGACTGATTTTAACGTCTGCACCAATTCTCTGGCAGCGCATTCGCTGCACAAGATGGGCAAAAAAAATCTGTGTTATTACCGCAGAATACAAACCTGCTTCCATTGTAACCTACAGTTCAGAGGTTACAGTTCCAAACCTATGGAGTTTGCACATTCTACGATGATGAACTTGACTGTAAAGACTGCAAACTGTCGCATTTTTGTGACAGAATTGCCACAGAAGGCAAAGAGAATTATGAAGTTCAACATTTAAAACCATCATGGCAGGTGAAGGTGCCATAAATAAAGAGTACCAGGCATGCAGAATTAGGGTTGAGCACCCTTATAAATAAATGGATGGTTTTAACTCTTCACTTGTCCTATCTGGAATTCGGCTTACTCAACTCTGAAACAAAAAGTTTGATAATTGTAACAAAGTTACTTAGTTCTAAGATTCTATAATTTTATGCTTCCTTTAATTTTTCTGGAAAAAGTGCCCTTTCTGTGTTGGAGCTTGAACTCTCCCCCGGAAGCAGTCTGAACACTGTTGTGCGAAGGACGTGCTCCGAGCCCCCGGCCCCGTATCTGTAGGAGCCAACACAGAGCGGTGGCCCTGACTCTGTGGCACCTGCTGTCCCCCTCTGCAGGCATCAACGTGGTGAAGAGGAAGCTGGCAGCTCATGACAACCTGAAACTGACGCTCACACAAGAAGGGAACAAGTTCACAGTCAAAGAATCAAGCACTTTCCGGAACACCGAAATCGTCTTTGAGCTTGGCGTTGCTTTTACTTACAGCCTGGCGGACGGAACTGAACTCAGCGTGAGCCCTTTTTATAAGCAATGCCTCCCTGACTTTTCTACGCAGTACAGCTGGGACGATCTCTGCCTCCCGTCCCTGGGGGCTGGGCTAGTGTGGGTCTCCTCCACTCATGGTTTATCCACAGTGTATATCGCTCAAGCTGGCAGAGCCTTTAAATGTTCTTATTCTCATACATATCTGCAAGGAACCTGGGCTGAATAATTAGAGTTAGAAAAAAACCCTTTCGATGACTGAGTATAGGCCCATTCATAAAGTAAAGCGTGGTGTTTTCAAGTTCACCAAGCTGACAGCAACAAAATTGCTGTTCTCTACCTTAAACATAACAGGCACTGATAAGCATAATTGAAATGATAACACGACTGACCAAATTAGTGAATGAGTGGGTGGCCTAATGCTACAGGGAGGTCACACCTTCTAATGTTGACGATACCACATTTTAGGGGACCGTATGTTTCAACAGATTTTTTTTAAAAACTTTTTTGTCCTCAGAATTTTTCTAGTTAAATTATATGTTTGCAATGACAAACCGTTAAATATTTTATCAGTTTCGACCTTTTAAAAACTGCTGTAACAATTACCTGAGTTCAAGGCACGTATCCAACTGTACCTGGGGCGTAGGGGCGGGACTCACTGGAGGCAGAACCCGCGCCTGCCCGCGGCCTGGCCCCGCCCCCGCCCCCACCCCGGGACTGCACGTGGCTCCTGGGCTTGCTTCCCCATTGCAACCCCCACTTTTCAGGGGCACCTGCGGGTGGGAGGGGCCCCTCCACACAGCTCGGTGCTGTCCCTGACACATGCAGACCCAAAAAACGCTCCTTTCTTACTTTGTTATTTTCGCACAGGGGACCTGGAACCTGGAGGGAGGTAAACTTGTTGGAAAATTCAAACGGGTGGACAACGGAAAGGAGCTGAACGCTGTCCGCGAGGTGGTCGGAGGCGAGATGGTGCAGGTGAGCTGTACAACCCTCATGGCTACTCCCCACGCCCAGAGTAACGACATAATATAACGTTATTTTCGTGGTTGCTGAGTTACGTCTTCAGTAAGCAGACTATTACTTTTCGCATAAAGCCTCTAGTTTAAGAAACAGAGATCTCTGCAGGTGCCCGTCTACTGAAGAGAAGCTACACCCACGTCAAATGCACCGGTGCTGACCACACTGAACGTGTCGCTCACACCAGAGCGGGTTTAAGGGGTGCGTCCTGCACCTGGACGAGGGGTCTCTATCGAGTGCGAGAAATAACAGTGCACTCATTTCGAAGCTACAGTGATAGCACACGAATCTACTCCGATCTTCATTCAGCCTCGAGTCTCACTGCTGAACTCCCCTGTCTGTTAACACCTTCCAGACCTACGTGTACGAGGGAGTCGAGGCCAAGAGGATCTTCAAGAAGGAGTGAGTGCCGCCTGCCCGGGGGCTCAGCCCAGAGCCAGCGGACGCAGGGCCCACATCGGCCCTGACCCGCCCCCCACAGCGCTACTGACCGATTGGTCCTCGAATCAGCAGTGGCCACGGGCTGACATTCCCGGTCTCGCCGAAGCGAAAGAAGTGAAACCTAATTAGGACCGAACCTGGCTTATGTTCTCCAAGACGTATGTTCATCGGCGTTCTAGCATTCTGAAGAATTTGTGACCTATTTTAAGACAGATAAATAAATAAATACTGTCCCTCCATTGCTGTGTAAGTAGTCTCTCCTTGAAAAAAAAAAAAAGCTACGTGGCACAAACATGTGCATCGACAGACTGGGGTTTTTTTGCACACATTTGGGAAACTAAAAACGAAGACCGCGTTGGTCTTCACTCCATTGCAAGACACTCAGTACATGGAGTGACTCCCACCTGCGCCCTCTTTTCCAGAGAGAGCCGGGCGCAGTCTGTCCGAACACCAGCAAGTCTTCTGTGGGGCTGCCCCTGGGCGGCCACCTGCTCTCCGCAGCGCTGGCGTGAGACTGCCACCTGCTGGTCCAGCCCATGAGCGCGTCCAAAGCATCAGGCAGCGGCAGGTGCGGCTCAGTGGGCGGTGCTCCCCGAAGTCGGCCACACTGCATGGGGCCGTTAGAACGACTCACCCACGGCTTCCTCAGCCCCAACTCCCCACCTAAACAGCAGTGACCCAAAGATCCCTTTCTGCCCCCCACATGACCCCCCATGGCGCGCCCCTTTATTCATTCACACAGCGCTGTGCGCCAGGCATCAAGGAGCCCCTGGGAACAGGGACCCAGGTCACTGAGAAAGTCACCACACAGACTCAGGCTCTCGGGTCCGTCCGGGGTCTGGACCGGAGCACCGACAGCAGCGGCGCCCCCTTCTGTGTGCACTAACACGCAGGGTGGCGGCGGCCCAGGGACCGTCCTCAGGCCACCGGCGGGAAGAGCCGTCATTGGAGAGCGGGTGGCCAGTGACACAGGCGGTGGCGGGAGATGACGGAAGTCGGGGTGTGGGCGCACCGTTGGAAGAGCACTCGAGGGCTCCTCTCCGCCTCCTGCGCGCCCACTGGGAATCCTCCAGAACGGAGGGTCCCTGGAGGCCGCCTTCGGTGACGTCTGCTCCACCAGGAGGAGAAGAGGGGACCTGACCTGGGTCCATCGTCAGTGGGCAGGGCCTTGTGGAGGGAGAGGCGGGAGGTGGCAGAAATCCAGGGCGGGCGAGGAAGCTCTCCCGGGTCTCCACCCGGTCCCAAGGCCACGTCCGCAGAGCAGAAGAGGCGTGACCGGTTTTTTCCAGGCAGTTCCGATGCAGGACCACACTCACCTGGGCGAGTACCTGAGCACCAGCCAGCAGAGCTCTCCCGCCATCAAACAGAAACAAACCGGAAGTGCTTTAAAGAAAGGCGCGCCTGTTCACTGCCATTTCTTGATTTGGCTTTGGGTGATTGTTTAAACCAGAGAGCAAGCCAACAAGTGTATCAAAGGCCATAAACGTGACCCAGAATGTCCTCGCTTCAACACACCCTGAGAAAGACCTCAGTGCGGCGGGTACTTTATCTTCCGTCCCAGCCCCCGTCCCAGCCCCCCAGAGTGGCCGTCCCACGTCCCTACTGCGCAGCGAGCTCGCCAACATCCCGCCGCACCCTGTGCTCAGCCTGCTCCCCTGCCCGCCACAGCCTGTGAGTGCGCCCGGGGCACGGCCAGTCTTTGGTCTGCACACCTCGCGTCCCTCTGACACACACAGTGCACGGCGATCACTGCAGCTAAGCGAACCCACGGGGCCTGCGGAGCCTGCACCTCGGCCGCCAGCCCCGCCACGGGCGCCACTTGCTGAGCGCTACCCACCGAAGCTCCGCTGCCGGGTGAGCCCCACTGTGCCCCAACACACCTGCCACCCCGTGCTGAGCCACATCTCCCAGGGGCTGACCTCAAGTCATGGTGGGAGAGGCAAAGCTGTGTGTCCCCATGGAGCGGGGGATCCAGCCTGGGCGAGGATGTGGAGGTGGCCGTCTGACGTGAGCAGGCACCACCCGGGGTGGGGGCGGGGGCGGGGGGAGGGCGTGCGGGACACGACAGAGAAGGAGCGGGACCCTTGCAGATGCTCGCAGCGCCGTCAGTTTGCTTCCATTGGCCTCTTCTTCCCAACACGAGGTCACGGGGGCCTGGCCAGGACTCCGGAAGGCCCAACATGCTTGAGATTCTTTTCCTCCCTATGTGGTTCTCAGGACCTGCAACACCTCCAAAAATACAGCCAATTGGCTCCCAAATGCAAGAAGAAAACTATGAACTGGAAGTAAAATGTTTTGTGCAGAAAGCACACCAGTGACTCTGATGGAGTCGGTGTAACTCCCACGACCTCACAGGAGCGTGCAGTGTGCCCGACTCCACGCGGAGTGCTCTGTGAGCGTCAGCCCACACCCTGAGGACTGGCGCTCCACCTCCAGGAGCACACGGGCAGCCGAGCCAGAGGTCAGGCCCCTTGTCCAGTGTTAGCGGCCAGGGAAGTGGCTGGGCCAGGATTTGAACCCTGGCTGCCTGGTTCGAGACTGTATGTTCTCGAGTCCAGATTCGATTTCACGACCATGCATTTTGAAGGGTTCTTTCGAACAAGCATCAGGAAACGTTAATTGAACAGCTGCTACATGTGGATGCGGATCCACGTGGCAGAGACACAAGAGTGGATGAGGCGGCAGCCCCCAGCCTCACAGAGGCCCACGGGCCCCACACACACGACAAGGCGGGAGCACCTTTGACAGCACGGTGCTGCGGAGAAAGCAGCACCAGGAATGGGGACACGAAGTGCCAGGGTGACGAAGTGACCAGGCTCCACAGGGCGCTCGGGGAACTGGCCAGGGTGGGTGACGTCTGAGCAGCAGGAAGCTGGAGGAGCGAGCGAGGGAGGGAGCCATCCTGAGCACGTCCTCATGATTCCGGAAAGAGAGGAGCCTGGCGCGGCCGCCGGCCACAGGGCAGGCAGAGAGGGCCCTGCAGCCACACTGATGAGCCGCACTCCGCCAGCACTCTCGCCGGGGTCGGGAGGGAGGGCACAGGCACGAGATGGGGCGGCAGGACCCATGAGCACGGCCCCCTGCCTACTGCACACGGGAACTTGTGCAGGGCTGGTTCGGGAGGTGGCGACGCTGAAAACATCAGACACTCGTCCCAGCTTCTAAAGTCAATAGGCTGTTTGCCACCCCCCGCAGTCACTGTGCTTTGCAGCTGGTGGGCAGAGCGTACCCCACAGTGGGTAGGTCTGCGGTTCACAGTGCCGTCCCAGTCCCCCGTTTTCTTCCTGCCCCCCCTAAGGATGGGGGTGTCGGGATTCTCTGCTCTCGCCGTGGAACTGTCCATTTATCCGGTCAGTTCTGTCCACGTCTCCGTCACAGACTCTGACAACCTCACCCCGGGCAGTGCCTGCTCACTGCTCAATGTTTCTGTGGAGGGACAAGGCGTGGAGCTGTCCAGCAGCCACAGTGAGCACGGGTCCCCTCTGGACACAGTGCCCTCCTGCATTCCAGCAGGATGCCCGCCGTCATGAAGGGGAAGCCTGGCCCCCTGGGGACCGCAGGGCCCGAGAGGCAGACTGAAGGCCCCGTCGGTGACCGCTGCAGCCCCACAGCAAGAGCCTTGGGGCTGGGCGCTCAGGGCGGAGCCAGGCAGGCATCGATGCTGCCCAGCCTGCCTCCTTCATTCCCTATCTTGTTTCCAAAACCCTCCCAACTCCTCAGTCACGTATTTCGTTGAGGAACTTTGGAAAATGTGGAAAAGCACAAAGACTAAAAGGGTCTGTGGCCCCATCTCCCGTGGCTGGCGTTCCTCACACTCCCGCAGAGTCTGATTCGGGTGAGTGTTTTATCCGTGGCAGCTGCCGCCTGCCATCCCCTCATGTCACACTGTCATTCAGGGTCGTGCCTACAAATACCAGCACCTCCTACCCTGGGAAGCCTCTTAGGTAACTTCATGCCACCAGCTGACTCACCTGCAGTCTCCACCCTCCACGACCGTCCCTCCAACACCCTCAATGAGATGAAAACAGGTGTTTTGCTCCGTTGATGAGCATATGATAGTTCAAGGTTGTGGGTTTCCACATCTTTGTCATCGACGCCTGCCTTCCAACTTAGTAACCTGAGCCCTACTGAGTGGTTTTAAAGTTTAAAAAGCAGCAAAATGCTTCATTTTAAAATAAAATCTTCCATGACACCCTGAAATGTGAGATAAACAAGACTAAGCTCTCCCAGCTGAGGTGGGGGGGCGCAGCTTGTGCACAGCCAGTCCCATGTGGCCTTCTCACCACCCCCCCGCCCCCACCCCACCCCCGCACTGTGGTGCCAGCCCCCAGGAAGCTGGGACAGGCCTCGAGGTTGTTGGGCGAAAGCACATGTCGCCTTGCTCAGAAGGCTCTTGTAGATGCTCACCGCCAACACTGCCACCAAAATCAAGAACGGGCTACTCTGGATTCAGGCGAGCCACCCCAGGTGAGACCCAGGTCACCATTCCCAGGATGCTGGCAGGCCATCCCAGAGGCGACCTTAGTTAAGGACCCCTGGGCCACTCCCCAGGCCCCAAGGTGGACACACTGACAAAGCAGACAGCTTTTTCCAAGACCACAGAGCAAGAAACTTCACTTCCACCTACCTTCTCCCCCGTGGGGTCTCCGTACTCCCTGAGAGAAACACAAAGGGGAAAACCTTCCTCTTGACAAGGCCGCTCCTTCCTTCCCATTTCCTGCAAGGCTGCCGGAGCCCGCTTGGCCCTACTTCCGTCTGGGCCCCCGCTGGGCCGTCCCTCTAACAGTGCCCCACTCCCAGGCACTGGGCCTCCTCAGCAGGTCGGGCGCGGCCCGGACACCAGCTCCCCACGCCCGGGCCACGCAGCCCGACTGCTGGGCCCGTCACATCCGGACCGTTGGCCAGAACAAAAACACCTGAGCTGTGCTGCTGCCAGTGAAGCGCTTGGTGGACCGCCTCCAGAAAATGGATCTACGACCAGGAAAACAGTGTCGCTCTTCTCCTTTTGGTGGGTTAACTGGACACAGAAGCTCAAGGGCTGGGCCTGCTCAGTACAGACATTGGAAGGGAACTTTCCCTCCGCACTGGAAACAGGCGTGGCGCTGGGCCTGTTTTGGGCAGCCCCACCGCGTGGTCCGACTCCACGGGTAGCGCCCTCCCACCGCTCGTGGGGTCACAGGTGGTCTCAGCACGGGCTCTTAGGGAGGGGACACTCACCAAATCACGAGACATTATGTGTGACTCACAAGCCATCCCTGTGGCTCCCGTAGTTAGCTGCCAAAGACCAAACATTACCTACGGGTAGACCAAACACCTGGACTGAGCTGGCCAGGTAACAAAACCAAGCCTTAGAGCCACTAAGGGGGCGGTAAGGCCTCGTTCACATCAGGGTTTCACCGCCTACTCTGCTCCTGCAGGCTGAATGCCGTGCATGGCGGGTGGGGACCTGCAGAGGCCAACACAGCAGGTGACAAGACTCACCACCCCCAACCTGCTGGGTCACACACAAGTGCCTTTCTGCACTTATCCATGAACCACACTGGTCTTTTCATCACATTTGATAACAAGGCTTGTAAAGCTTCCCACCTGCATAGCTAGTGTGGGCTCAGACTCCTGACACCGCTGTCGCCAGGTGCTCCGCCTCACATGCCAGCAGAATCACACACCTGGGCTCCTTTATTCTTAAAGTGGAGCCACACACACACACACGTGAGATGTCACAGAAAATCGGCGTGTACATCACCACCCTCCCTGGGTTCTTTTTGGGATCAAGAGCCTTTTCCCGGGCTCCAGAGTATGTCAGTTGGGAAAGCAGTTCCAACTCTTTCCAGAGTGACAGAGTGTGACATCACTGCGATCGCTCAGAAGGGAGCGGTGCAGCCCAAAGCCCCTCACCTGGACCAGGGACAGCCCCACAGAGAGGCACCCGACATCCCAAGAGCCGCTCACCAGCACCCTGTGAAGGACAAGATCAACACTCTCTACCCGACAAATGAGCCTCGGCCATTAGATGGCACTGACCTGTTCCCGAGCGGGAGATGGATTTAACAGGATATACGGAAATGTGCTCAGATTTGTGGCGTTCTGTTTACTCACCCTTAGTCTAATCTGTGTCTTTGCAGATACGCCTGTGCAGACCCCTTGCCGCTGGGCTACTAACCAATTCAGCTGTAATGGGGAAGCATCCTGTTCCCAGGAAGCTTCAGACGGGAGAAATGAAGTTCAGAGCATTTCACCTCAACTGTGCCTCTCTGGCAGGTTGACTGTTCTGAGTTCAGTGCAATCTGAGAAAACAGTAGGTGCACAGAGGGCCCTCTGACCTTTTTCTTCCTGAAACGAGGCGATGAGGTGCCCTCCTGGACCAGACGGAGCGGAAACACATCCATTAGCAGGGATGAGGCATGAGGATCGTCCCAAACCAACTTTGTGAGACAAACCCTTATCTCCTTCCACAATCTACCACCACCGGAGGCCCTGGGTCTCCTTTGCTCATCATGGTAAAGGTATAAAAGCTCACTGCTCTGGTCACCTCCCCAGGTCTCAGTTCTCCTGTGCACGGAAAAGGTGAATAAACTTGCATGCTCTTCAGTTAAACTGTCTCATGCTGCTTTAATTCTGGGGACCCAAGCAGGGAGGAGGGGTTTTTGCTCTCCAGTCACTGTCTTTCTGGATGCACTCTGACCTTGCTGGGGTCACACTGCAGACCCCGGGATTACTCTCAAATTCAAGCCCATGAGGAACGCGCAAAATTCTGTCCTCTGCTCCTTAGACGCTCGAGCAGATTAGGATGATTAGCACCTTATTATTAAGTCCCAAAACAAGTGTACCATGCCAGGGAAGGTACAAAACCCAACCCTCCGACACCCAGGAACGATATCCCAGGAGAACACTGGACAAGAAAGGAGAGGCGCCCCGGGGCGCGCCTAGGTGGAGCCGTCGCCCGCCGGAAAAGGAGTCACGGTGACTTCCGGTCCCGCCGGAGTACTTCTTCCAGGGAAACCTGAGCAGCCAGCTTTACGCCCGGAGGCGGCAGGAGGAGGGGCGGGCCCGCTTCGTCGGCTGGGCGTGCCGGCCGCCCCGCCCGAGGAGCTGCCTGCGGGCTGACGAGGAGACAGCCGCCAGAGGTGGTGTCTGCGCGCCGGGGGCGGCTCCTCCCACTCCGGGGCGAGGCTGGCCGCCGCGCATGCGTAGGTGGTGGCCCCGGGCTGCTTTCCGGCCGCGGGAAGGCGGAAGCACAGGACCTGCCAGGTTTCCGGCTGCCGGGGTGCGGCGAGGTGGGTGCGCGATGGAGGGGCGAGCGGCGGCAGGAGGCGACCCGGACGGGCCCCGGGAGCGGCGGGGCCCTGGCGACACTGCGAGGCCGCAGCAGAACCACCAGGCGCGGCCTCAGCCCGCGGTGGACCGGCTGCCCAAGCAGTCGTACTGGCTGGACCTCTGGCTGTTCGTGCTGGTGGACCTGGTGTTGTTCCTGTTCGTGTACCTGTGGCCGTGGTGAGAGCTGCGAGCGCGGGGCGGCGGGGTCGCAGGCTGCAGAGAGCAGGTGCTTCCCGGGCACCTGGGCGGGGCTCTGGGAACAGGTATGCGGGAAGCGGGGCTTCTTCCTCTGTCGGATGTTTTGGAATGGAACAGCCGGGTTTGGGCTCCTCGCTGCTGCAGACAGGAAGGACCACGACAGGTGTCTAGCTTCTTGGAGCTTTTGTCATTACCACGGGGGACCCGGGTAGCCAGGTAGCGAGGACTGCAGTAACTTATCCGCAGGTGTCTCAGGCCCCAGCTGCAATTTCCCAGGGTTGCCATTTCAGTGGACGTAGCTTCAGCCTGGTTCCCACCCACCCACCCGTCTGGAACACCAGCGGACTCATCGCGCAGCTCTGCAGGTTCCACTCGCAAATCCGTGTTCCCTGTTCTCATTGTCATGCACTCTGGAGACAGTTCTGGCAGCAGCAAAGGGCCAGGGCCTCGAGAGGCAGCCTGAGAGGCAGACAAACTGGGGGACAGGTGGGGACAAGTTGGGACAGAAGCAGGGAGCCGAGGAGGCGCCTGTGGAAGAAAAGCTTAGGGCTCCTTAGACAGGAAAAGGCTCCTTGGGCTTTGGAATGGATCACGCCTGCCAATCCGCACTCTTGATAGGCAATCGCAGCTTCTTTCTCTACCTTCGCCCAGGTCTTGGCACAGATTGGAGCGTAAGCTCCTATCTGAGACCCCCTTTGTCTGACTTCTCGGATCTGTGCCAGGTTAGGAGGCAGAGGGGTGAGTGGGAGAGTCAGGCATTTGTAAGAGGAGTTTCCACGCTTCTCTCCCTCCCCTCTTTTTTTATAGAGATACCTCAAATATAGTGTTGGGGTTTTTTTTAATTACCTGGATTTTCAGCTCTGGGTAGAAAACACAAGGCTTTCGATGAATAGTTCAGGCTATTTTCTGCTCTTATTAATATGTCAGTGATTAGGACTAGGCAAGTGACTAAGGCAGGTGATTTCGGAAGTTGATATAAAGCATTATTATGGGAAGGAAGGAAATACTGTTGACAAACATTCATTTTTTACAGACGGTTTGCCTGACATCCACATTAAGATGTTGGCTCCTGGACTGGATCCTGAAAATGACCCACTTCTTGAACAAAGAAGACAGACAGGATTGTGCGGCAGGATTTCAAACTCTAAGGGACCTTCCTCTTGTCTTACACATTTGTTACTCATTCGGGGACTCTATTAAATGGGTAATGAATGATTCATAGCTAAGTTCTTAAAATTAGACTCTGATTCATGTTTGAAAATGTTTTCAAGCATCTGATGGCTTTACAGAAGCTGAATTAAAATACTTATACAGAAAAGTTTAGTGCATTAAGAACTACAGTCATGTCTTTTAACATTGTAAGGGTTGGCCAGGGTTTAGCATGATGCAGATAATCTGGTGAATTAATGAGGTGAAGTATCTCAAAATAAATAACTCAGAAGTGAGAGAAGGATTTTGAGAAAAGGTGAAAGCGGTACAGAAGATGCAGGTCCAAGAAGCACCAGCTGTGCCTGGGCCTCCAGTGTGGCTGCCGGACCCACGGGTCTCCAGGAGGGTGGACAGCGCCCCCAGGTGGAAGGCTGGAGTGCAGGTCTTCCCACCCTACTTCTCCCTCATCCTTTTAAGCTCTTGAACTCCCTCAGAGAGGATGGTGTGCTTCAAAGCCATGTTTTATTATTAGGCTTGCACCAAAACACATTTATTTTTATAATTTCTGAAACTTACTTAACTAGGGTATTTCAGCAAAGTCAGCATATTTACTCACTGAACAAATATCTGGGCTCTTAGTATGGGCACTTAGGGTCATAGTGAAACCTGGGACTGATTGTGGAGGATTTTATCTGTTGACCCCAAGGTTGACAAAGGCAGGAGCACCCAGAGGAACGGAGCTGGGGGTCCCTGACACTGTGTGAACAGCTGTCCTGCTGCCTGCTAGTAAGTGTGGTGTCCAGTAAACCCTTCTTGTACAGCTCAGTGTGGTCTGGCGTGCACTTGAGGTGGTGGCAGGACTCACAGTCCTGTAGCCTGATGTTAAGTCGCACACACAGACTTACAGCATTTCACCCTTCTGAGCCTAAAATCTGCCCCCGACCACAAGGACAGAATTCTGAGCATTTCCAATGCAGGGGAGGTGGCGAACCTTCTGGCTAAGGCGTGCCTGTAAACAGCGAACAGAACTGGTGGCCGTGCGAGGGCGAGTCTGGCCTCCTGATGTTGAACAGGAAATTGCCACCCACCAAACTGCCACTTCAGGCCAGGCGGCTGCCACAGGCCCTGCCCTGGCACCCTGCCAGCTTTTACCTTTCCACACTGATGAACTGACAAGAGGTGACAAACTTGCTAGGACAAAAACAAAGATGTCAGAAGAGTGAACAGCAGTGTGATTTTAATCTGGTAAATTTCACGAAAGAAAGGCTGTTTTAATAACCGTTTGCAATGAACTGGCTGATTAGGAGCTGTGAGGAAGCCTGTAGGGGTCTGTTAACCTGAAAATGTTAGGACGCAAGGTGCTCCACACACCCAGTCCCTAGGCGTCATGGGACAGCATTTGGAGTCCCCAGGGTATTCAGGGACAGGGAGGCATGGGATGTAGAGAAAGCTGCGGGGTAAGGGTCCTCAAACTAAGGCTTAAGGGCCAACGGCCTCTTTTTATAAGGCCTGTGAGCAAAGAAGTGATTTAAAATCTTAAAAGGACTGAAAAGAATCAAGACCACTCAGAGAGGTAAAAATTATGCGCAGCCTCAAGTTTCCACGGCGGCGCTCCCCGGGACCTGTGTGTGCTCCTGCAGCATGTGCTCCGGGCCGTCTGCTGGAGATGCCGTGACCCGCAGGCCTGTGCTGCTCCCCATTTCACCTCTGACGGAGGCTGGGCCAGTCCCCGCGGGAGCCCTGCTCTGCACCCCACTAGGAAAACGCCACACCGTCAGAGACGGTCCCCACACTCTGGGCTTGCGACTGACTGGCATTTCTCATAAAACGCACGCCACACGGGGGAGAGGAAGCCACTGCTGATGAATGCCAAGAAAAGTCCAACCACATCAACTCAAAGATTGGTTTATCAAAAAAAAAAAAAATCTGAGAAACTGATTCCACATGAAAATAGAAGTCATCTGGGAGACTAGTACAGTATCTTGAACATTACAATTGGTGGCATTATTTCAAAGATTATCACAATAAGCTTGTAACCAGAAGAAAACACCTGTAAAAATAAACAAGCACAATAAAAATGAAAGTTTACATGTGAATTGTTAGTTACTCAATGTGCATTCCAACTGCATTTGGAGTGTTGATCAGCACAGAACGAGTGGCTGCTGTCTGTCTGTCCGCACTATGACGTGACTCAGGAGGCCTCCACGGGACAGGGCTTTAGAAAGAGCCCAAACGGGACGTTTCTGGTTGATGTCTGCAGTTCAGTTGTGAGCGGAAAATACAAATGTATGAGATTGCTGTTAAATATCAAATTATTTAACTATTTCAAATAATACATTTCAACTGGACAGCCTGACAAAATAAAAAAGTCTTCAAAAGCTATTAAAAATACTTGAAGCCCATTTTCTAGTATTTTACGATGTTATAAAAGCAATATTTATATATGCTGATATTTCAAATACTATTTTACAAAGTTTACAGTATTTACAAATGTTCCATACTAAAAGTTATGTTAAAAAATAAGCTTTCTTAAAAGATAAAATTTAATTGGGTTGATTCAAGTAATTCTAAATTCAGAGAAAGTGATCATCGCTGCTGTAGTTAGAAAAGGCTACTTAAAACTTCTCTTGATGGAAGACAACTTTGACCAAGATTTCGGAACTGGGTGAAGTTAGATTTTTATAAGTAATTCCGTTCTATTTGTCTAGAAGTATGTTTAGTCATTTACACTTAGGAATATTTAACAATTTGCGGAACTGGCCAAAACATTAACTTTAGTAGCTTGTTTATAGAATTATCAAATTATTTCTATAGACTTTATCCACTGACAAATGCAAGGGAAATTTTAATTCTGTAATTCTTAGTTCTCTGGAGTGGGCGAGATAAAACCAGGCTGAGCCACGGCTAGTTTACCAGCGCACGACAGCACAGAATGCCAACGAATGAAATAAGGCAGCTGAAGTAACATGCCACCCTTGTCAGGTCACCATCACGCCAGGAAATCCTTGTTTTATGTAAATGGAGAGCCCTCCCCTGCCCAGCCGTGAGAGGGGAATGGCATTTCATCAACACTGCACCCTCTCCTGTAAGGCAGAGATTTTATCTGGGAACCGGGAGGTGCACAGGGCGGGCTGACCCCAGCAGCAGGGAGGGGCCCGCAGGGGACGCTGGTGGCCCCAGCGGGGCTCCCAGGCCCAAGGCAGCGGTTAACCCCGAACACTGGGTGCTGACCACCCAAAGTAAACCAGACCAAAGTGAAAACTGTTCACATAAACTCAGAAAACTGTGACATGACCAATGGACTGAAGCACTTTAACCGCCTACAGCGAACGGGGCAGAAGTGCTGTGTGCGGACTCGCACACCAAGGCCTCGCGCTGCCCACCACCGTCCGCAGGCGGGCGTTCTGGGAGCAGAGTCGGTGTCTCCGATTCAGAGCTCGAGAACGGGATTTAAAAATTTCTTTATCATTAAGGCTTCTTCGCCCCGACGCCCTCGGCTCCACAGGCCGCGGTTTCCTAAGACGCCCAACGCCAGGAAGCAGCAGGCCAGGCGTCTCCGCAGGGCAAGCGCTGCTTCCCACCGCGCCCCCGCCTTCCCCAGGTGGCGTCTTCCCACCTACACACACGTGCTGGTTCGGCTAATCCTTAGGGGGCTACTAACCACAGAATAAAGCAGCGACTTCGATTCTCGTTCTACTGCAGCTGACGGCCGGTGACCCCGCGCCCCCTGGTGTTCAGCTTCTCGAGGCATGCCAAGACTACACGAAGGGGCTTCTAGGATACTCGGAGAAGTATTCAAGTATCTGTAGAATACTCTGAAACTGCCAGGGTGCCGCCTGTCCCACTGGTTGGGTCAGTCCGTTCCTGTGCTGCCCTTAGGGCCCGAGAGCATCCTCACCGGTCCCCTCTCTGCTGGGCGGAGCAGCGCGCTCCGGGATGGCTGGTGGCGTGGCTGCCAGGCCTCCTTGTCCTGGAGCCGCTATGGCCTCGGCCGCGCCGCAGAGCTTGGGCCGCTGGTGGTACTTCAGCCGGTAGGTGTCAGTCATGCAGCTGTCCACGGAGAAGTAGGTGGTCATTGACACCGGCTCGCTGGGGCAGCTGGGCCCGGCAGCCACTCCTGGCTGGCTCCTCGCAGGGACAGGGGGCCCCGCGTTGGGCCGGGCAGCCCTGGCCCCGGGGCTGGACGGGCGGCCCCACGTGGCGCCCACAGGCCCCGGGGGTCGGCCGTCCCTCGTGCACGTCCGCACGCCGGGGCCCATCTCCGGGGCCAGGCCTGCACCAGGCTGCGGGGGACCGGGAGAACGGGCTCTGCATGGGTCGGGAAGTCTGGCCTCGTCCTTCCCCGATGGAGGCACACTGGGGACCGCATACTTTTTTGGTGGCAGAGGGGGCGGTGGACTCTGGTAGAGGAGCTTTGGCATCGGAGCGGCGTCAGGCCTGCAGTTGGCCAGGACCCCGTGGGCAGGGCCTTCCGGAGGACAAGACTCCCAGGGACACAGAACTGCAGGACAAGGCTGCAGTGCAGTGGGCAGCTGGGCAAGGGGGGCAGCGTCTTCCTTTAGCCCAGCAGCGGTCCTCCCTGGTGGGACAGCGGCGTCACCCCTTCTCCTCCTAGAAGCAGGAAGGTCCTCGGTGTGAGAGAGGAAGCCAGTGTCCTCAGAGTCCCCTGCGCTTGGCCGCCCAGCACCCGTGCCGTTGCCGTCCAGTTGCCGCTGCTCCTCCGGGCGGGCAGCGTGCTCCAGGGCCACACGGGCCTTGCGAGTCTGTGGGCTGGACCAAGGGGGCAGCTTCCCGCTGGCATCCCGCACCGGTGACCTGGAATATGGAAGCAGACGGAGCTGCAACATGACACAAAATTGCAGGGAAGGCAGACCTCCGTCCTCTGATTTAACCCCCAATACGCGGCGTACAGGGCTTTTGTAACGTAACAAAAATGGGAGAAATTGGAACCATTTTCATTTCACACTCTCCGCCTCTAAAACCTCTCTGGCAGAATACGTGGGCACTTGCCAGAAACACCTGTCACTACTAAAATCAAACTTCTGATAACTAGAAGTGTGATTAAAAAAACGATTTCAATTTACAAACCCTGAAATTCCACTTATCTGAGGTACATGTAGCACAGACTCAGAAAGACGTTACAAGCAAACACGTCAACACCCTAAAACACTTCCCAAGGGACAGTGAAGTGCCGTCAGAGAGGCGTTTGAATTCTGACACATAAGGATGACACAATTTTAAAAATTTAGTTATTCAAAATTGCGTCCATTCAGGTAGTAAGTGACTTTGACACTGAAGACAAATAGTCTCGCGTTGCGAGTTATCTCCCCGTGGCCGGCAAAGCTACGCTCGGGTTTCGGCTCCACTGCTCTGGGCAAACCGCCTGATCTGAGCCCCCGTTTTCTCTTTCTGTAAAACACCCTCTGCTTCCCAAAACTCCGTGAGGCCCATGGGCCAGCCTCCTGCGAACGGCCCAGGTAACGCCGGCCCCGAGTACTCAGACCCACTGCTCAGAGGGGCAGCGGTATTTCCGCCTTTCCGCTAAACGAAGAGGCCCCCATGAGGTGCATTGAGGAGGAGAAGAACGGCCCCGCCCATCCTCCATTACCCTTTCCCCAGAGGGTTTTTCATCTGCAGACGTGACTCTGGGTGGCCCTCCTGAGACTGGTGACAGTCCACCGCCAGGCTCTTGAACTCTTTTCTAAAGCCTACAGGAGGAAGTGAGAAAGACAAAATTATTTACATTCTTCCAATTAACAAACAAAAATGAATTCTGCAAGACTCAGCTCAATAAAACCTCTTTTATAAAACCTGTTTCCCCAACTAATCATCACTTTGGAAGTGTCAGCAGTGTGCGAATAACGCCGTCCCCGCAGGCGGCAGGGACCTGGGTCCCTTCTGTGCAGGGCCCACTGAGAGGAGACAGAGGTGTGGGGGTGCGGGCCCTGCGCTGAGGACGGCTGGCTCGGCGAAGGTCTGGAGTCACTGCCGATGGGCGGGGAGCTCGGAGGAAGCCCCCCCACCTTTCCCCTCCAACATCCCCCTCCCACAGTGAGAACGAGATGGCCTTATCCATTTCACGGGCCTCCAGGGAGGCCAGGAGCATCGCCTGAATTAAAATGAGTGGGCATGTGTCACCACCTGATTAAGCATTGAACACCACTTTTACTCAAAAAGATGACAGCCCTGTTTATTCAGACTTGGTCGTTTGGCAGAAATTCTCCTTAAAACGAGAGCAGTGAACATCCGACCCCGAGAGAACAGCTGGCAGTGTTGACTGCCAGTGATGAGACTCCAGCCTTCAGGTGGAAGTAAGAATGTCGGAAAAGTGGTACCCACCACCACGAGTTTTGCAGCTTCCCAAGAACTGTAAAGACTTTGGCTAGTATCTGCGGTGACACTAACAAACATAAGATGGAAGTGCCCACGACTGACAGTACAGGGACGTCACGAAGTCAGGCATGACCGAGGTCAGTCGTTCTTCAAACGGACAAATAAATTGTTAGAAGGTTAGGTCTGAATGCTGAGCGCAGCACGTGTTGACAGACATGAGTGTGCAACGAAAGGTCTCCGAGGTCGTCACTTTCAACAGCACAGTGATCTGTGGTCAGGAGTTTGCAAACCCCCCGTCCTTGCCAATGGAAAACCAGCTGTCTCCCCAAAACCCGCCAGGGCGAGTCTGTGAGACCACCCCCTTTCCGTTCCCCAGAAAGGCAGATGGCTGAGCGCCGCACACACTGGGAGGTGACCGCAGTCTCGGGGAGCCAGGGCTGTGTCCCCACCTGGAGGCCCCTGCGCCAGAGCCGCTAACACACAAGGTCGCCGACAGCATTTCCGTCCGACGAGGCGAGACCCCGGTTCGACCATCAGGCACCTGGTGCACCGCCATGTGCCGATGCCCACAGAGAACCACGGCATCCACGCGTGCGCCTGCACTTTCGGGTGGCTGCCCCCACTCTGCCCAATGCCAACACGTCTCTCCGGGCCCCCCGATTCCAGGCGGCCTGGCTGTCGTGTGCTCATCTCGGTCCCCTCACCTTCTCACATGACCAGACCGAGGGACTGAAGACTGAAGAAAACACCACTGAAGGTTTTCAAGCAGCGACCTTATCTTTCAAACAACAGGGAACTCGATGGCAGATACCTTTTCATCCCTAAGTTGATCTTCTGGGGACGTTTTCAAAAACTGCCCCGTCACTCGAAATCCACGTGAAATCACAGGTGACCAAAACCCCTAAATATCCCCCAGCCAAAAAGGCCGAGGTCTGATTTTGCCCAGGCTCTGCAAATCGAATCTGGACGCAATCTCCAAGGCAGACCCGTGGGACGCGCAGACCGTGGGACGCTGTCTGTGCACTGTGGCTCGTACAGTGACGGCAGAAACTGCAGCGGCATCACGAGGGAGCCACAGGGCTCCTCACACGTGCTCTCACCGGGCTCGGCAGGCGAGCGCCGTGCTGCGCCGCAGCTTCCCGGGGGGCTGCCGCGGCTCCCAGCACACGGGGGACTCGGGGAAAGTCTGCAGAGTGAAAAAGCAGCCGCGGGAGAGACACGCCCACCCCGCCCGTCCACCCCGCCCCCAGCCCAGGCACCGGGACCAGGTGAGTGCAAGCAGAGGCCAGGTCTCCTCGACCTCCGCACCCGTCCCAGGTCTCTGCAGGGCCCTTCTAACCCGACCTTACAAACAAGAGGTGCAGAACGCATCCCAGAGTCTCCGTTGCTGGTAAGCTTAACACACTGCCTGAGGCTTGAAAACTAAGCCCCTTTCTTGACAGTTACTTTATGATTTAAAAAAAAAAAAAGTACTGTCAAAAAGAAGCTCGATGATGTTTCCATCTTTACTGAAAATTTGTAAGTTACATTATAATTTTCCACCCACTCTGATTTCACTTCAGAATGTTTTACTTTTTAACTTAGTCATTACTTTCAAGTTTCAAGTTTCCTATACTCACACACTTGATTAAAAAAAAATACTAATCCGCCCTGGCTGGTGTAGCTCAGTGGACTGAGTGCAGGCCTGTGAACCAGAGGATCACAGCTCGATTCCCATTCAGGGCACATGCCTGGGTCCCAGACCAGTTCCCAGCAGGGGAACTGCTGGGGACGCAGGGGACGCATGAGAAGCAACCACACATCGATATTTCTCTCCCTCTCTCCTTCCCTTCCCCTCTAAAGATAAATAAAAATCTTAAAAAAAAAATACTAATCCTTCCAGCTCTCACTCTTGTGAGAGCATCCACCCCGCGGGCAGCAGGGGGCAGCAGCGGCTCAGTAGCTGTGTCTGCAGTTTCAGTCTTGCTAAGGCAGGCATGCGACCAAATGGCCTGACTTCAGGATTCCAACTCACTTAAAAATAGACCTGTTATTTTCCTCTTCTGCTGACACAGACAGCCGTGTGTCTTTACTGGGAATTCTGGCTCCAGGCTCCTTGCAAATCTAAAATAGGCCGATTTTAACACCTGGCACAGAGCCGCCGCAATGTCAAACCAGAAGCTTTAATTAATAATCGTGCTAATTTTGATTCTGTACGAAAACACCTAAAGCCCAGGAGTCTAGAAATCAAACTTCCGCTGAACAGGCGGCCTGGGTTTGAAACAGACTCTGTGTGGCAATGACACGAAACAGCTGATGGGGGCCGAGCCACCGGGCGCAGGGGGACTGTGGGACACCCGGCCACAGTTAGGGAGCCCAGGGCAGGAATGTGACTGGTGGTCAGGTTAGGAAAGTCAGACACTCCAATAAGATCTGAATACTCCAGAAAAATCACAAAACTGTTATTGGATAAATACTTCTGGCTACATTCCCCCCCCCATGAAAAGGAGCAGGTACCTTACTAATGCTCCGAGGTCACTGAACTCTGGAGAGTACAGAGTAACGAGACAGGAATCAGCAACTTCTTTTCTCACTGGAACTGTAACTTGAAGAAACACAAATAATGCCATTTGCTACAAATGAAATTTCAGTGCTGGAAGTGCATGGTTTTGAAACATACATGGATAAACATCCAGGTGGTGTTGGACAGAGAAGAAACTGTGAGTAAACACACCACCTCCGAACAGTCCATGCCACTCGGAGAGCACATTACGTGTGCAAAGGAACAAACCCACCATTAAAAGTACTTCTTTCTCTAGACACACTTTATAATGTATTTGTTTTAAATGAATACACTCTGCAGTTTCAAAAACCACCTTAGAGAAAATAATCACTTAGGCAGGTGCACAAACCCCTTCAATAACATTTTTTCACTCACTAACCCCGGGAGTTCACAACACTAATGGTGTCTCTCTCACGTCACAAAGTGGAGGCTTAGATGCAGACTTTTCTGTAGGAAGGATTCCAGGGCGTTAGCAGGTTTTTGAGCACCGATGAGGTTCCACCACTCTTGACATCTCCAAGGTCTGGAGATCCAAGGTCCTCAGCTGGCACTGACCTGCCCTCTCCCAGGACCTGAGACCAGGACGAGCAGAGGTGCCGAGGCCAAGGGCAGGGATTCTGAGAGCCCTGACAGCCCCTCTGTGCTGTGTTGTGTGTGATGTGCACTGAGGTGGGCAGGTGACCTCGGCTTCTAGGGGGAGGCCACCAGGGGTGGAGGTCTTCAAGTGCCCCCGGAGCTCCCACCAGGGCGGGGGCCTGCCGCCCTCCCTCTCCCCCGGAGACCTGCTCCTCAGTCAGCACCCGACCTCACCCTGGGGACGGACCTGCAGGTGAGACCCAGTTCCCGAGTCCTTTTTCTCTCCAGGCACCGCCCCCGGCTTGTTGCTTCAGGGGCCTGTGCAGACCCTGCTAAACCCACTTCTTCACTTCTCTTCTATTTCCTTTCTGCTCCGCTGCAAAGAACTTTTTACTTTTAAGTAACTTCGGAAAGTTCGGAGAAGCCGAAGACTGACGCTAACACAAAGAAACCCCGCGTGACCTTCACGGAGACTCACCCCCGTGAGCGTCTGCCCCGGGTCTCCGGGCAGTGAGTGTTTATCCGAGGGTCCGGCGCCGGCAACGCAGCCTCTGCTTCGAGGCACTGACTCGCCCCCCACTCCTGCTGTGGCTGCCAGCGGCCCCTCCTGGGGCTTCCGCTGCCTCGACCTGCCTCTGAACCCAACCGGCAAGGCCCGCTCCCGGCCCCGCCTTCCCAACCTGCACCTCAGTCCCGGAGGCCCCACCTCCTGCCTCTCCCCCGCCCCCGCCCCCGCCCCGAGGCACCCGTGTCCTCCCGGCTCCCCAGCCACTCCTCATGCCCCCAGCGTGGCTCCTCCTCTCCATCCCAGGCTCCCCTCTGTCCACACAAACCCCACGTTCCTTCCTGTCTAAACCGGGAACCCTCGGTTTCCTGAGTGACGTGCTGCGTGTCTTTGTCACTCAATCCCCACACTCAGGGATGACTTCTAAGCCACCCTCTCTCCCGAGTGCTAGACCTTCCCTCACGACTGTCCCTAAGCCCACCGACCAGGCTGGGGAGGGGAGCGTGCACACGCCACAGAGCGGGGCAGTCACAGAGCAGAGACCAGAGAACTGGGGGGGCTCTGGCGGTTACTGGCAGCAAATGGTCTGAGCAAATGGGGGTTTCGTAGTGAAGTGAAAGTGCTTCACAGGAAGCTCCAGGAAGACACCACGTCCCACCCACCAGGGCGGCGACAACCAAGAAGGACCAGGCAGACCGCGTGCAGGGGAAGTGGGGAGGCTGCCCCCCAACACCGGGCGCTACGGGACCCGGCTCGGCTGCTGGGGCAGCCGGCCGCTCAGGGAGTTCACTCGGAGGGAGCACAGGGCGCGGCCACTGCGCCCCAGGTCCGGTCTCTGAAGAACTGACGCAGGGCTCTCAGACAGCTGTCTGCCGAGTCCCCAAGGGCCAAGGGTGGACGTGCCCCGCTGTCCAGCAACAGATGGACAGGTGGGCGAGGCACACGGCGTCACGTGATGGAGGCCTGGCAGCCTGGACCAGGAGGAGTGGGAACACGGGCTGCCATGCGGGAGGACTTTGGAGATGCTGTGCTCAGTGAAGTGAGCTGGCCGTACAAACACTGTCCTTCCTTGCCACTTACCTGAGGTCCCGGGGCCGCAGCGTCCAGAGACCAGCAGGGCGGGGGCAGTGAGTGTCTAACGGGACAGAGCTCCGAGAGAGAAGGGGGAGGAGCCTGGAGACAGCAGTGGTGACGGCGCCAGGTCACTCACAGACTATCGGCACGGCCGGTGCGCGTGCCTGTCACCACAATCAGGTCGCTCAGGAGGCCTCGACCCCGCTCTCCCTCAGTAGGAGCCCTCCCCACCACGCTCCCCTGCCACACACTCTGGCCACCAAACCCAGGGGCCGGGTGTCCCCTCTCGGGAAGCCAGACCTGATTTGTGCACAGCCGTGGACCTGCGGTCATTGCCCAGCTGGCCGCTGACAGGACACTGCCGGCCTAGGCCGCCACCCCCTGCCGCTTCCGGTAGTGCGGGCAGACCGGACCCCGCCAGATTCCCAAACAGGCGGGACTTTTCACGGGGAGGAAGGCTATTTCCTTAATAACAATGTTCCCTTCTGATACCAAGCCCACACAGAAGACAAAGTAACAACACTGAACTGCGTTCAGCGTCTGCAACCTGTTCAGCGTCTGCAACCTGAACAACAGTCTCCACGAAAGACTGAGAAACAAACTGTAAAACTTTTCACGGCATTTTTATTTTGAAAAGTTAAATCCCCTCTAATCCTCTGAACTTTGAAATCTCAGCACCGCCCACTACTCCAGCCTTGGTGACCCCTCTCCCCAGGGCCCCCACAGCCCTGCCGAGCTCTGCACACACTCAGACGCCCACCGTCCTTCCCTTCTGCCTGCTTCCCTTGCTGACTTGTCACCAGTGACAAGGCCGCACCATGAGCTACTATCTCCACACTGAACGCCCTGCAGGCCACTCGCCAGGGCTCCCCCTCGTCCTTAACCTTGGGGCAGCCTTAGGACCTCCCGCTCACCCTCCAAAGCTGTCCCAGCCCGGAGGTCGGCCTCAGCCACCCGCAGGCTGCGGTGTGAAGAGCTGAGGCTGCTGGCCTCTCCCCAGCCTCCCCGCCCGCTCCACACAGTCGAAGAGGCGTCTGTGCCCACGGAGCCCCCCAGCTGGGGCCCGCACGGGAACCAGGAGGAGACAGCACGCTGACCCCCACCAGATGCACATCGAGAACGAGAAGCATCGTGAATGAGAAGCATCGTGAACGAGGAACAGGCCCGGACACTGAGGTTCTGGGGTCGTCACCACCCGTGACACCCCCGTCCCTACCTGAAAGGACCACCCTCCCCTCCCCGAGGCTCCAGGCACGAGCTCACCCTGCTTCTGCCCCCGGCACTCCCAGACCTTCGGTCCCAGGGCCGCCCGTAGCGTCTCTACCCACACCCACACCTTCCTCTTTACAGCCTTCAGGACGACGTATTCACTAGGACTTTACCTTCGAGGGGGCTTTTACTCTGGCGGGGGGACGAGTTCGCATGCTCTGCACCTTGGTCGTCTCTCTTGCTCTGGTCACTAAAAAACAGCAAAACACACGGCAGACGCGTCACTACCAGGAATTACCACTGCCGTTCGCTCCGAGGCAAAGCAAGGAAACGACGTTTGTTCACAATCACGATAAGCCACGTGCTGCTCCGGGGCTTCACGCACATTGCTCTACATCGCAGGACGGCACTCGGACATGCGGCTGTCCTCCCTTCACGGCGGGTTAAGGCCTGGAAGTCACGCCACCTGCCCGGTAATTAAAGTCCAAACCTGCCTGGTTACAGAGCCCCAACCTCCTCCCCCTGGGCCAGGCCGTCCCAGAGTGTTATGAACCTGCCCTGCCCAGGAAAAGGCTCCCTGACCATTTCGATGAAACACCAGCAGCTGGTTTTAGTAAATCTGGCTTTTTAGTGATGGAGGTGGGAGAACAGCTGATATGCAATCAAGACATTTCAGACACACTGAGAGCAGAAAGAGTAGCCAGAGCTCCCTGAGGGGCTGGCCTCTTCCGAGGCTGTCCGGGGTCACGTGTCCAGGTCACACATGGAGCATGGTGCGCTGCAGGAGTGACTGAACACCAAGCCCATCGTGGACTGCATGCTCATACATCCATGGGACAGAAAGCGTGTCTTCCCAGACCTGGACGGGGACCGTGTGAAGCCCCCGACCCCGGGCTGCCAAGTCGGGGGTGGGGTAGCTGACCCACTAGTCTGGTGACGGGAGGCAGCCGGGGGCATCGACGCTTCGAACCCTGGCGCACACACCCATTGCTTCCAGCGCTAACTCGGTGATGGGCTGCCATACTTCAAAGGCCCTAACGCGACACAGTTGGGGTTTGTGGAATCAGGAAAGAACTATTAAGAATGGAAACGTGAAATGTCAAGCAACCTGCACTATCCCAGGTTTCGTGCCTCTGAACTCAAGCTCTTTCCTACAACACCCGACCACAAACTTTGAAAATCACGCCAGATAATTAACGAGAGACCCGCCTGTTACCTGGGGGGGGCCGCACCCGCCGGGGGGCCGCTCCCGCTGCTCTCGGCGCCCGGGGAGTCCGGGTGAGTGGACCCGTTGCTGACGTGGTCGCTGCTCTCGTACCCGGACTCGGCCCTTTGCCCCTGCCACGTGTCGCCGGCGGCTCCGGTCTCTCCGAGGCCTCTGCCGCACTTGGCGCCGCTGCCCCCCGGGGAGCTCCTCCTTCCCACCTCCGGCTTCGGGTCGTCCTCGTAGATGGTCACCAAACACTTCTGCTTCGGGTCCTCGTTGGGCCACCGGTGGGGACTCTGATCTCTGCTGCATGGAGGTTTGTTGCCGACACCTGATTTACGTCTCGGACTGTGCTGCCTCCTGTCACTGTCACTAAAAACACTGTCCACATTCAGCGTTTCTCTCAGCGGTCTCCAGCCTCGGCTCCGGCTTCTGCTGCTGCTGTGACAGCCGCTCCCTCCACCCCGAGAGTCCTGGCTGCTGTCTGTGTCGTATCCGGTGACGCCCTCACCCCTGGCTCTGCCGGTCACCTTCTGTCCTGCGGCTGGAGCCTGGGGTTTACCTGAACCCGGTGTCTGCGCAGCAGTGCGACCCTGCGGGGCCGCCTGGCCTTGCCCGTGGGGTAGGCGTGGGCTGCCCCATGGCCTGACGCCATTCAGGGCAGGAGGTGACCCAGACTTGAACGGCGGGAGCTCCTCGTCCAGCAGACCTTCAAAGAGCAGCAAGTCAACAGAGACACACGTGAGCCCCAGCCAACCACCCGGCTTGGGAAGGTCGAGCAGTAAGAGGTAAGTGGTGACTGTAAGCGTTTAAATGACATCACAGCGCTTTGAGATTGAAAAGTGCTTTTTGAATCTTATGCTCAATGAGCAGCATTTATACAATGAATGCTTATAGATTGATTTTTTAAAAAATGATCTGTAAAGTAGATCACAAGACAGTTTAAAAAAACAGTATTTCATTGCACTCACTAATTATAGTCATAAAAACATTTTCTATCTCTTATGCTGGTAGAATTTCAAAGGTTTGCTGAAGCAAATCCCTGTTGAGAGTGTGAGGAAAAACTACCCGGTCACTGTGTGGGGGGCAGATGGGTCTGGGTGTCAGGAGGGCGATGGAGCCTCGGAGTTCAAGTTCAAAGCAGACCTGCCCTAACCCTGCAGCTCCCCTGAAAGAGTCTACACTATGGCCACATACACACTAAGTGCACCACGTCCACGGTGGAAGGGGCCGCTGCAGCAGAAATCTTACATCGGTACCTCCAGCCACAGCCCCAGTTAAATTCTGCCCAAAAGGAGAAGTGTGGGCACCCGCAGGGGAGATGGGCTCGCAGTGGCCAGGAAGCCAGGGGAGGTCAGGGGACCCCAGGGAGACCAGCTCCTGCCCTTCGCGCACATCACCTTCCTCACATCACCTTCCTCACTAGTTACATGCGCCAATCAAGTGAATTGGAGTTCATATTAATTACAAATTAAATAAAGCAACTTTTACTAGCTTTTAGTTAAAAAGTTAAAACACCAAAACAAAGACAAGTATTCCAGGCTAGAATTAAATGAGAATGAAGAAAAATTTACATTTATAGATTTAATAAGGGTATTAGTGAAATCATATTAAAATGTATAATACATAAACGAATACATGTAATAAGTACATTTTTAAAATGTTAAGTCGAATTAAAGTCATAAAACTTAGTTTCAAAGCCGGACTTTCGCAGCCCCTCCCCAACGGAGGCTGCAAGCCCCACCAAGCCCCCGCTCACCTGCAGGCCGACCGGGCCCGGCCCTCCGCGGGGACAGCAGGCTTCTCTGCTGCAGGGCCTTCAGGGCGCATTCTCTAGAAATGCCTTTTATTCTTTCCCTCTGATCGTCATGACCTAACTTAACTGCAAAAGAAAAACCATTCTCACAATCATAAAGCAGGTCATTTTCCTAATTGCTCAATAAAAATACAAACTGAACTGCATGAAATATTTAAGATGCTACACATTAAAAACAAAATATATACAAAAGTATACAGCAAACTCATTCTCATGTTTAATTTAAAAAGGCAACGTGGTTCATCCTGACACTGCAGATGCCCATCTTCTAAAACTGCCTGTGAGGCATCGGAGCGAGTGTCAAAGGGAAAACGAGACCTGCCACAGGAGTGCGAAGAGCCAGAGCCGTGGGGACGCGTGGCCCCGTCCCGTGTCTCCCCGGCTCCACCTCCCGGGCGAGCACGGTCACTCACCATTTCGGATCAGGAGACATGAGTCAAAAACTCGCCCGTGTTCCCATAACCTGAAATGTAGATTTCAAGAGGTCCGGTTCCAAAGTTTGTGTTCTTTAAAGTTTCTGGGCTTAAAACAAGGCATCTCTGGAAAAGCAGAGGGTGGCTTAATCCAGCGGTTTTCAACCGAGGTGCCACAAGAATGTTTAAAACACGCAACCCCTGACCACTCGGTCAGGGGCCCTGCCTCTTTCCCTGGCTGACCAACGAAAAGTGACAGCGGCCAACAACACAGCGGTGGCCTCCCGGGGCGAGCGCCCTGCCTGACCCATAGATCCACAGGCCCCGCAGCGCAGCTGTACCTTACTGGTCACGTCACATCGTAAGACTGTGTCCGGTCAGCTAATTCTTGGAACCAGAAATCCCTACATACAAATGGAGGAACCTGGCTTTTAAGAAGTCAATTTGGAGCAAAAAGGGTTGGTAATTACTATTATCATTATTTTTTTATAAATGAAAATTATATCTATTTTTTGTCAGATCGGCAAGAAATGGAACATTTTTTGTTGGGCCATGGAGTTTTAGTGGTTAGTTTATGTGTGCCACAAGATGAAAGAGGTCGAAAAGGCGCAGTCCCGCTAAAAGTTCTAAAGCATTTACTGCACTCCTCTGTTGATAACCATTAATTCCGAACCTTACCACCCTGGAAATGTGATCTCATTAACATATTTAAAAAGTCGCTTACCAAATCACCCCGGACACCCACCCAAGTGGACTGTGGGGCCCGCCTCAGGCCCGCCCTGGACTCGGCTGGCGAGAACCCCAGTGGTGGCAGGGCAGTAACAGGGGAGCTGGGTAAGAAGGAGGCCAAGGGCAAACTACCACGGCAACTCTGAACTGCTAGGGCACTCACTGACGGCCCATTTCATTTTGGCACAGCAGACAAGCCACTGAGCCCTGCTTGTCCTCTGCCGGTTGGTAAGGACACCCTGAAGGGGAGGCCACAGCATTCTGTTCTCACTGACAGTGTGGGGAACGGTCCCGACAGCCTCCACCTGCGAGGCTCAGAGAGCACGGTGCACCTCCAACCCTGGGCGAGTCACACTGCTCCGAGGACACCATAGTCTCAGGCACGCAAGGACCGAAAGACACGGTTCTGTCACCTGCCTGTCCAGTCTCCCCGCGGCCCCGCCGGGCAGCAGGTCCAGCGAGGGAGGAAGGGCTCCCAGGGACACTGTGAGAACTCATGCACGTACCTGGTCCTCTGCCACCACTGGTCTGAACGTGGCTCCGGGTGCACCAGGAGGTTCCGTCTGTTTGAAATTTCTGATTCTCTCTCTGTTTGGCCTGGTCCCCAAGTCCATTTTCTTCCCAATGTTCTGACTTATAAACTGAGGGTTTCTCACATCCTGAAAAAGAAAAACAAAAATGCATTGTCCCTTTCCTTCTCCTGGAGAAGGGATGTTTGAATCCTCTTTTCAGACATTTTTAAAGCTGAAGACAAAACTACTTAAAAACTTAGAGGACAGACACCTTCCAAGGACTTCTGCGCGCTCCGCATGCCCCCCAGCGGCCTGGCTGCTGGGGCTCCCCCTGAACTAACTCCCTGTAACTCTCCACGTTTACAGCTGGAAAAGCTGGCAGCCCGTGGTCCCCTCTGTGCTTCTGTGGCCACGGTCGGGGGTGGCTCCTGAAGGTCCTTCTGACGCCACAAATAGGGAAAAATCACAAGGATTAACTCCAGCACTGGAATCTTCCTGAAAGCCATCTTAAACGAAATTTTGAAATTACTCTCGACATTAACTTTACCCTCGGTATACTAGCATTCTTAGTGTGACTGTGACAATAGAAAAATACCGAAGTAACACAAAAGGATTACCCGTGTTTCCTGTGACGGGCCCGTGGGGGGGCCAGCTGACCACCTGCCGGAGCGCGTCCTCGGTGGACACGGCTGTGCCCTCAGGGTTGGCGTAGAACAGCAGCAGGGGTTGGAAGTGGCAACGCAGGCACTTGGACACCACGTCTTTCCACCTCGCGCCGACCTGCCCAAAGCCGTGGCGGGAAGAAAGCCCGTCACCGAGGCGTCACGCCAGGCGGACACCGTGAACCCGCACGTTGAAACTCCCACAGACGTTCCCACAGCAGCAGTCCAACGGTTTGTGGTGCTGCACGACTAACTATCTCACTTAGTAACTAAACAAGACACCTCGGAACGTTAACATCTTAAAAACCGATGGGCAGGATTATATCCTCTCTATAATCGAGACTTAGGTTGGTGAACTTTAAAAAGCTTTTCACATAGTGTTCTCGCAGACTTCCGACAAAGACTTTAAGGCAATTTAATGGGAAAATACGAACGTTGATTCCACAAATGACATTGGAGCAAAAGAATGAAAAACAAAAAGCAAGACGACCACACAGGAAGCCCAAGAACTAACTCGGAAGGGGCCGCGCGGGGGGGCCCTGGTGCTCACGGAGGGAGACAAGGGAGAGCCCGACAACTGGGGTAGGGGGGGGCGGGGGGGGGATGTAACTGTCTGACGCAGGACACCACGAAAACCAAGAAAAACACTGTGAAATGGGGTTCCTCAGAATGAATTGATACTTTGCTGCTCTATGAAAACACCACTGAGACAATGAAAAAGTGAAGCCACACACATCTAATAAAGGACCGGTGTGCAGAACACAGAATTCCTACAGCCCCTTAAGAAGACAATCCGGTCTGAAAAGCGGGCAAAACAGGAGAACAGACTTCACCAACAGAATGTTGAGAGTGGCCGGTAAGCACGGGAAAGCTACCCTGACCTCCACTAATTGCGAGGGGAATGCGGGTGAGACCCCAGAGACACTGTGCTGAGCCCCTGGGGCTGAAGAGCGCCACTCGGGGCGCCGGGGCAGGCCAGCTGCCCGGAAGGATGGAGAAAGTCCGGAAGGACGGAGAAAGTGGTAAGCCACTTTCAGGGGTTACCAAAGAGCAGCGGGGAATCACGTTTACCCCGAGACTCCTCGCACTCAGCAGTGAGTAGGCACATGGCTCTGCCCAGCTGGACGGCAGGACACAGAGGAAAAGCGAGGAGAGACACACACAGTGAGCGTGACTTTTCACACCGACTGTGCCTGGTGAAGGAAGCGGCCCCGGGAGGCCATTCTCTTAACGCCGAAGGAGGGGCAGAGACGGTCACAGGGGCCTCGGTGAGTCCTGGGGACCGGGGTGTGGAGGGGGACCGGCAGGGACATGGCACAACTCTGGGGAGATGGAAATTTTCTGTATGATTGTGGAGGTAACACAGGAGTGTACACAGCTGTCAAAACTTAAACTATATACTCAAAATGGGTGCATTTTAATGTTTATAAATCATGCCTCTATAAAGTCCACTTAAAAACAAAATAAGATCAATCGAACAAAACAAAGCATTCTAGAATGCTGGCTTTTGCAGAGAAGGAAGGGGCCTTAAAAGGTGTCTGAGGAGTTTTTCAAACTGCACATATTTAGCTGTTTACCCTCCTTCCCTGGGAGGCTGAGACACTTGCAGAACTAGAATCATTTGAAAGCAAAACAAACATAAAACTCACAAAGGTGAGCCCTGGCTGGTGTGGCTCAGTGGATTGAACACGGGCCTGTGAACCAAAGGGTCGCAGGTTCGATTCCCAGTCAGGGCACAGGCCTGGGTTAAGGGCCAGGTCCCCAGTAGGGGGCGTGAGAGAGGCAGCCACACTGTATCTCTCACACATCAATGTTCCCTCCTTTTCCTTCTCCCTCCCTTCCCCTCTCTAAAAATAGATGAATAAAATCTTTAAAAAAACCCTCACAGGGTGAGTATACCCCAGTTCCTCCTCCCAGTTTCGACAACTTAAACTGTAAACTATGTGGACGCGAGGAGGATGGCCAAGGTGTCGCCACACGCGGGCGGCAGATGGCACGTCTTGGTGAACTGCTGTAACCGCGCCCCGAGGAAGCGGAGCAGAGGGCTGGCACCACGTACACCGTGCACACACCCCCTGGCCGTGCCCGGCACAGTCTACACGGAACTACCACCGGCACACTGGGGGAGAGGCACACGGCCACACGGTCCTGGCGCGGGCCCCGGGCCCCAGCAGCGTGGGCAACCCGCCGCCCTCCTCCTGTCGCCTCCCATTTCCCCTTGTCAGAGTCCTGTGTAAGTGGAGTCACCGTGCTGGGCTGCTGACGCCTCATTCCTTCATCGGCACCATCACTGCCTTTGAGACCATCCACACGGTGGCACTGCCTGCAGCTCACTGTACGGTGAGACCACAGCGTGGCCGTCCACTCCCCTGCAGGTGGACACTCGAGGTGTCGCCAGGTGGGGCTGCCAGGATAAGCCAACACGAACGTCCGGCACGAGCTGTGTGTGCGCGTCCACGGGAGGGGAAGTGCCAGGCTGTGCGCTAAGCATCCGCCCCAGTTCAGAGGGAGCCGGCGCACTTTTCCGAAGTGACGGCTCCGTGCGGCTCCTCAGGACGCCTGTGCCCAGGGTCTGGCCGCTTCGCACCCTGCCAGGCTCTGGGAGGCCAGGCTCCCGAATTTTGGCTCTCCTGACAGGTGCGTCCCCAAGCTCACGGTGACGTGGACTAGCATTTCTCCCGGGCTCCGTCACGCCCACTGCCATCCCGAGGGCCGCTCACACCTCTTCTTCGGAGAACTGTCCAAATCTTCTGCCTATTTTTAAGTGGGTTTGTCCTTGTCCTGCTGAGCTACGTGCATATGGCCTCCGTTTGGTGTTCGCCTGGCGAACACTTCCTCCCAGTCCATGACGCACCTATCCCCGAACAGTGTCACACTGAAGGGTGGAGGTTTGGGTGACGTCCCGCTAATGAGTGACTTTGTGGTCCACGCCCCGTGACTGTTTCCTAATGAAGCTTCTACTTAAATAGGAGCTGGAACATTCTCGTCTGGTACGTCCATCTCTATCATTTTTTGTCTTTTTTGTCTGTTTGTTTTTGAGTGACTTAATGTCACAGCTGGCCCAGAACTGCTGTGCAGGCCGTCAGGCTTGTCCGGAGCATCACTGGGACAACTCGGTCACTCTGCTCGGGCGACGCCCTGGGTGTCCGCACACCTCTCAGCATGTGCGGGTGGGAGGCGCGCTCCTGTGCGAGCCCTGGGCCAGCCTGACCTCCTGCTGCACGGTGGCCTGTCCGCACCCTAGCAGGACGCCCCCAGGCAGCAGGTCACCATTCAATCAAGATGAAAGGGGACCCCTGCCAGCCTCCAGAACTCGCCCCTTGTGGGACTGACTTTCTGGTGGTCTGTCTAGCAGTCAGCCACCTGGGCCTCGCTGATTTTAGGTTCCTTCACCCATTTTATATAACTGTATATTTATCATTAATCACTATTATATTATTCCAGTTATTCCAGTCTGTGAAATGCCACTCACCTCCTTCACGTTCGCGTCATCAAAAAAAACCCACTTGGAGCTCTTGGTGTGAAAGGTGAAGGCACAGTAGTGTCGGCTGGTGTAGCAGATCATGCCAACCAGGTCAAGTTCACTGTTTTTGGCATTTTCATCAGTGACCCTATAAAAAAGCTGTTTAAAAAATTAACAATGTACCTTTGATACAGTATTTTCCAAAAATGAAGTAACGATCACTTAATGCCACTGTGTTGCATCACTGTGTTGCTAGCGGGGTCACGACTTTGAATCGTCCACGAGAAACACATGTGAACACACTGAACTTAGCTCAGCCATTCGGTGTCTCCAGCCATGCAACGCTCACACGTTACACACGTGAACTCACAATGTGGGATAAATCACACATTTTCTGGTAACTCCCGACTGAGTCACGTATATGAGTTACAATTATCATATCACCTACATGACAATTCTCTAAAAGTTTAACCGTAACACAGACCGATCCGAAATACGTTAACGAGCACAGAAGAGGTGGAGACGGACTTCCATCTTCAACCCTGCCGGTCGCTGTCTGCATTTACGACCACGTCACCACCACGCTGGCGTGACGGGGACGCAGCACGAGCTCGGGTCAAACTGGCCGCCGGCCCCAGCCGGGCCAGAGAGGCCTTCCGGTTAGTCTGGCTGGGCCAGCCTTACCAGAGTCGCACCTGAACTCTGTCTCCTCTAGAGAGAAAGTGCAGTTCTGAGGAACCGAGCCCCGCGTCGCACACCAAGACGCGCCGGGGACGTGTAACAGCGAAAGGGCAGAGAGTGAGAAGGGCTGGGCTACCCCGGGGAGGTAGAGGCGCGTCGCTAGGCTCCGCACGACGTCCTCCGTCAGGTCCGACTGCTCGGAGTCCCAGACCAGGCCGATCGTGACGATCTCGGGGCAGTTCATCAGGACGCGGCGGATTTTTATCCTTTGGCCACAGTTACTCTAAAGAAAAACACAGAAGGCGAGTCTTGAAATTACTGAAGCAGACATTCCACAGGTAGTGCCTCGTACGGTTGGCGATGTGCAGTAACAGTCTTAACGTATGTGGGGAATTCATTTCTTCAGCACATTAAAACGAACATCTAACAGACAATTTCTCTTACTGATTACACTGGAAGTTTATTTTAAATTACAGTGCTTTTCCTTGGCATTTTTGTAAATCTGTTAAAACAAGAATTCAGCCTAAAAAAATCAGAAATAGAACCCTTGAAATCATTAATAATGTTACATCAGAAAAGGATGAAACCATTTGTAAAGTTTAAAGAAAAAAAAACAGAGTTAATTTTGTCTTTGGCCGAACGGCAAACTTGCAGAAATAAAACATTAACACACTGCCTTAAACCCCCAGGGCGTTCGGAGCCTTTGGAGAAACAGTGCTGAGGTGCATGGCCCACGTGGCACAGTCCATGACGCAGCCCCCTAAGGGACGCTGCAAAACCGACCCTTCAAGTCGGTCCCACGGGTCACTGGCGCTCAGGGAACCGTCTCCGAGGGGCGTTCCCAACGCCGGCAGGGAGCCCGGGGCTCCGCGCGGGACTTACGGGGCACCGCCTGTCGTCATCGGCCGTGTGCGCGGCCTGCAGCAGGTCTGCGAACAGCTCGGGCTTGCAGCGCTCGTGCCGGGCCAGCATCCTCTCCACCTCGTTGCTGCGGAAGAAAACACGGCCCCAGGTCCGACCGAGGCACGTGGGCCGGTCTGGGGATCGTGCAGGGAAAACACTACGTAGTCAGCAGATGTGCCGTCACTTGTTTCCAGCTTAAAACATGACTTTGTGCAAAAAAGTCAAATGTCGACATTAACCACTTCCGCCAAGATGGAGGCATAGGTGGATGTACCGTGCCTTCTCACACAACCAAATTTAGAGACAACTAAATATTAGCAACAGAAAACACTGCCAGAACACAGAAAATTGAACTTTTTGGAAGTCTGTTAACAACAAATTCTTCAGTCTGACCAGTAAGGGGCAAAACCAGCAGCTGGTGGAGCGGGGTTGCACAGGAAAACTCGGTCAGACGGACTCAGGCACCTGGAACCCAGGAGCGCGGAATCCAGGCCCAGGGTTGGACCTAGTGAGCGACCGCGGGGGGGAAACAGCGAGGGAGCAGGGCTGCGTGTTGACTGTGGTCGCGCATTTGTGCGCGGATAGACAAGCCAGGGAGTGGGCGATTGGACCGGGACCCAGCGGGTCCCCGCAGCAAGCGGCAGTGGAGGGCACCGCCATTTCCCTGCTCTGACCCCACCTCCACATACAGCGTCATAACCCAGCGACTCTGAGTGGCCCGGTACAGGTGAACCACCTAAGGCACTGATCCTCACCCAGCTGTGATAAACAGCAGAGGGGGCCGTCATTTCCCAGCTCTGACCACGCCCCCACATACAGCGTCACAACCCAGCGACCTGGGAGTCCAAGGCTCCGCTCCTCACACTTAACGGGGCGAACAGACCAAAAATGGCTCAAGAAGAGCTCAAAGCCCCAGAGCCTATAAATCTAAGCAATGAAGAAATAGCAAAACTCTCAGATGCACAGTTTAAAACACTGCTGATCAGGATCCTCACAGAACTGGTTGATTATAGGCACAAATTAGACAAATATATGAAGGCGAAACTAACTGAAATGAATGGAATTGCACAGGACACCAATAGCAATGAAATGGAAACTGGGACTCAAATCAATGGAGTGGACCAGAAGAAAGCAAATAATGGCCAAACAGAAAAGAGTCAAGAAGCAAGAATTCAAAGAAATGAGGAGAGTCTTAGGAACCTCCAGGACATCTTTAAACGCTCCAACATCCGAATTATAGGGGTACCAGAAGGGGGGAAAGGCACAGCCACCAGTGGAAAACTTATTTGAACAAATAATAAAGGAGAAATTCCCCTATCTGGCAAAGGAAATAGACTTCCAGGAAATCCAGGAAGCTCAGAGAATCCCAAAGAAGTTGGATCCAAGAAGGAACACACCAACGCACATCATCGTTACATTAGCCAAAATTAAAATGAAAGAGAGAATCCTAGAAGCAGCAAGAACTAAGGGGACAGTCACCTACAAAGGAGTCCCCATCAGACTGTCAGCAGGTTTCTCAAAAGAGACCTTACAGGCAAGAAGGGGCTGGAAAGAGGTATTCCAAGTCATGAAATCCAAAGACCTACAACCAAGATTGCTCTATCCAGCAAAACTTTCATTTAGAATGGAAGGACAGATAAAGTGCTTCTCAGATAAGATCAAATTCAAGGAGTTCATCATTGCCAAGCCCTTATTATATGAAATGTTAAAGGGACTTATCGAAGAAAAAGAAGTTAAAGAAACATGAACAGCGAAAGGACAACAAACTCACAGTTATTAACAACCACACCTAAAACAAAAGCAAACTAAAAGGACAGCTTTTCTAGATCAGGAGTGGAAACATAGAAATGAAGATCTCAAGGAGGGTTAGCAACAGGGGAGTGGGAGGAGGAGATGGGGGGAGAAGGTACAGAAAATAAGTAGCATAGACAGTAGATAGAAAATAGACAGGGGGGAGGGTAAGAATAGTATGGGAAATATAGAATCTAAAGAACTTGTGACACATGGACATGAACTAAAGGGGAGGGATGGTGGGGACGGGGGAGTAGGGTGGAGGGGAATGAAGGGAGGGAATAGAACAACTGTAACAGCATAATCAATAAAAAAATTAAAAAAAAAAAGTTAAATGTCCATCAAGTGGAAAACCATGAAATCTGGCAGACGTATGATAAAAAATCAGGCCAGAACAAAGTAACAGGAAAGTTACACCACTGTTTGGAACTATGTGATGAGGTGCATGATGCTCTGTCCAAAGGTCTTTCCAAGTCAAATCACTCTTTTACATTGTTACTTAAATCACTACATAACTCACCAAGGGACCTGAGTATAAACTTGGGCCCAACCAGAACAGCAGACGGCAGGGAAGGCGCCCTCTCTAGCCCGCTGCTCCCAGGAACAGTCGCCCTGCTCAGGGGGGGAAGGGCCCCTCGCTGGTGAACAGGAGCCCGGCCGCGCCTTCAGCCCCGTCAGGCTCGCCGACCACTTCACCGGGGCCTCCAGGGTGTGTGCCGCGTTTTACCCAACACCCCCCGACTGGAGGCCACTTTTTACTTACATATCGGGGTGCTGAGTATCTTTTGACTTTATTTATTAATTTAAGAGTGGGGAACGGAGGGAGAAAGAGAAATATCATTGTGAGAAATAAATATCCATTGCCTGCCTCTCGTATGCACCCTGACTGGGGACAAAACCCGCAACCTAGGAACATTCCCGGACCAGGGATCAAACTGGTGACGTTCTGCTTTGCCGACAACACTCCGCTGAGCCACACCGGTCGGGGTCGGTATTGCACATCTTTAATCCAACAAACACTCAGACATTTCCAAAAAGAAACGTGATGTGAGCTCTACCGCCCGCACCGGGTTCCGTTCCAGAGGCCCAGCCCTCCGTCCGTCAGTGCCCAGAGCGGGCCACACGCGGGTTCGCAGTTCCGACAGTGTACAGCACGCGACCTCGACGGGAGTGCCCTGGCACTGGCGCGCTCCGCCGAGCACGAGAGAAAGCACCGAGGCTGGTGGGCTCCTTCTCCCAGCCACTGGAGAGGTGGGTGACCAGGAAGATGCCGGAGTTAAAGGAAGCCAGACCTGGGTTTCCATGGTGACGACTCTAGTTACCAGAGGGCCCTCACTGACCCCATTTCTTCATCAACGAAAGAGCGTTTTCATTAGGGTTAAAGTGACAGTTGATGCCAAGCCTGGAACACAGTAAGCATTCAGTACCTGACATGCGGTACCTACGAGTGCAAACAGACAGGAGTCCTGACTCACGCTCCGTGCGTCTCACCGTGTGTATCTGCCTAACTCACCAACACCGACTGACGCAGACGCTGCCTGTACTGCTGAGGGCGGCCGTCGGCCAGCCCCACAGACGGCAGACACTCGCGCAGGTCAGGGCTTACAAAATAAACGCTCGTGGGCTGAGAGGCACTATTCGGTCTGGTAATGGTGACTTTCAGGGGCTTACCACAGGGCTGTTGTCGAAATGTAGCGCACGAACTCCGTGAAGGGCAGAGGGTCCGAGGAGGCCCCACAGCTGCGGCACACGCACTGCGGCGAAAACAGGTGCTTAATTCACCCATCTCGGCACAGACGGGCACCTGGGCGGGAGGGGCCCGCTGCTCACCTGCTCGTACAGGGTCATGGCGAACTTCTGGTGGGTGACGCAGCACTTGGAGGTGCACATGTCAGCGTCCTGGCCGGGCACGATGTGGAAGTGGATCCTCTCCAAGATGTTCTCCTGATTCAGAAACCGGGTGGCCAGTGAGTCGAGAACCTGGCAGAGGGCACTTCAAAACACAGCTCTGCAAACTCCACAAACTTAAAAACCTTCTGAAGGCTTCCTGACGTCTCAGATTAGAAGCGCCCTCCGTATCGTCAGCTTTTCTACTTAACCAACACTTCAAATCGTGTTCCATTGTCCACTATTTGTAGCATTAGCTTTTTAAAAGCAATAACAAAAGAAACATTATAATGTAATGTATGGTTGTAATAAAGATTTTTTTAATCCTTTTAAAAACCAGCACGTGGTGGCTGACATCTGGAACTTAACATTAGAAAGCACAGTCCCCCTGTTTTCAGCACTCTCCCAATGCTAAAAGCTGTTAATTTAAAGAAAAAGGCCCCCCCGTTGGACCGTGTGGATCATCTGTACAATGTGCACCGGCACATTGATCAGTGATCAATGATCAATACCAGTGACAACACCTGCTCTAACAGCCTCATGCAAGGAACGAAATCTGGAACAGATTTCAAGTGAAAGTTCGGATTTGTAGTGCAAATCAACAAGGGCATTTATTTCTTCAAAAGACAACTCTCCTTTCTACCAGAGCTGAAATAACGGCTCCTTCTGGCCAGCCACTTCCTCCTCCTCTGCCCCGGTGGTTTGAGAAGGCGCAGTGGTTTAAGCCAGGACGGTCTTGAACTACCGTGTCCTGCACCACTGCGTTTCATTCGAGAGAAGTGAACTGTTCACTTCAGTGTCGTGCCCAACATGCTTGATACTTGACGCACTGGGTCAGTTCTAAAGTGGAGAAGGGTGAGAAGCGGCTTCCCGACTGTGGGTGCTGTTCCGGACGCTTTACCCAGCACCGGGAGGGTGGCCCTGGTCTGGCAGCCTCGCGCCTGCCGCAGGGATGGTCGGGTGCTCACGAGGACACACCACGACGCACACGCCAGGTAGACTCTGCGGGACTCAGAGGCCCGCGAGGCTGTCCTTGTGCACCTCCCCGCCGGCACCCACTGGCCGAGCCTGCGCCCCTGACCAGGTCTGAAAGGCTGTGCGTGGTTCCGCAGGGAGCAAAGACTGTACCCCCTGCATGGAGCTGTCGCCCCAGGAGGGAGGGCGCCGCCCCGAAGGTCAGACGGGGTCTGGACGCGCATCACAGAGCCCCCTCCCTGAGGAGCAAGCACCATGTGAAGGTGAAAACACGGGGGCGGGGTGCAGGTGAAGGGACTCTGGGCAGGAGGCCTGACCTGGGGGCGTGGGGACAAGACAACAGTCGGACGAGGAAACCCGCCCAGGGTTCTGAGGGGAGAACTGGCAGGATTTGCTGGCTACGTGCAAGACTACGGCAGAGTCTGCTGCACCTTAAACACCTGCGGCACCGAAACATTTTGAGTTCTGCCCAGTGTGAGAACATGCCAGCCCAGTAAAGGTGGGGGGCGGGGCAGGATCCCAGCCTAAATGATACTATTTAACTGAATAAAGCTCTTCGCGCCCATAAATACATTTTAAAACATTCTAACACTCAATAAAACTTGGCACACAGCACAGAGGTCCGCCAGCACAAGGGCCAGGCCCCGTCCAGCGGTCCAGCGCTCCTCCCTGCGCACTGTAGGTTCAGGATGGGGCTCAGGACCTCGCCCCGCACCCCGCACCCCCAGACGCCGGCGGAGGGCTGCCCATGTCCCTGCTTACAAAGCACTCAGCGGCATCGTCCATGAGGCCCAGCTGGAACCTGTGCTCGTCCCTGAAGCTCTCGGCCAGGGCGCGCCGCACGTTGTCCGAGGGCAGCGCCTTCTCCCGGCTGTGCCGGAACTGCGCAAACATCACCTGTGAAGCCACAAGCGCGGCCATGAGCATCATGTCCACAGTTTCACTGCCACACTCGCCATCGAACACCAGTCCTGCTGGCCTAAAATTCCACCCACAGGCCAAGTGCCGGAATGACAGGCCTAGCCTCATGCAGCACAGGCCGGGCCCCCGAGTGCTGTCCCGCTGGGCAGACTTGAGAGAGGCCTGCTTTTAACCATCCCCAGCTGATTCTGATGCAGGTCTCGGGAAGTTCTGAGATAAGCTGCTTTAAATCTGAAAGTGCCATAGGAACTAAAATTAGGTTAACCCAAAACGAACACCTAATTACAGGACAACCAGTAGGAACTCGGCAGCCCCAAAATGCGTGGACGACATCTCAGTTCAACCATGTCAACGAGCGTTACCTTCAGCCAGCACAGACCGACTCCGGCTCCGCCTGCCCGCCTGCCCGCCTGCCCCTCTATTCTCAGCCCGGGAGGCACGGCCAGGCCCCAGAGCCTGCCTGGGCCAACAGACAGGCCTGGTTTCCCAGACAGCATCACCCCATGCCCACCTGGGGCCTCTGCCTGCCCGAACGCTCCGCCCACTCGGCCACCCCGCCCATTCATCATGTCTACGTCACCCTCAGTGAGGCGTTCCCCCCCCTCAGCTCTGTCCCCTTCCCCACTGCTGCTTCTCTTGCAGTCACTAGCACCTGATATACTTTCCAGTTTGCCTAGTTATCCCCGTCTCCTCCCTGGAAGAATATAAGCACCATGAAACAAGTTTTTTATCAGTGTTGTTCACGGCTGTTTCCTTGGTAACCAGAATTCAGTAGTAGCTCAAAAAATGTGTTAAAATACTTTCAAAATAATACAAAAGGTACTGTTGCTAACGAAGGTGAAAAATGACATGAACCCGAATAAGCCATACTTGACGAATTCATCTTCAAAACTATAAGTTACTGGACGGTGAACTTTCATTGCAAACAAGATGATCGAATATGTCACATACATCAAACAGGCCACCAGGCAGAATTAAATCCCTGGAGGAACGGCATTAGCCTTCCAGAGCCGGGACGGGGTTACCTTCAGCGCACAGAATATGCAGGCCTCCCCCTGGCAGGCATGTCCCGTCAGCGCCCGCAGGCTCCTTCGGAAGATGTCCAGCTGCCACAGCACCTGGAACACAGTGGGTGTGGGAGAGGCGGACAGTGAGGCTCTGCTCACGGAGACGGGAGACTGGCACGGCCTTCCGGCCGCAGGAGGCTAACGACTGGTCCACCCCGGGGACGTGAGCAGACACGCACGGCCCAGAGAGCGGCAGCTGGGCCCACGCAGCCGCACGCAGCCAGGGCGCCTCCAGCGGATGATGCGGCATGACCCCTACCGATGCACACGTGAACACGGGACAGACGAGCCTTTCGGACCTGACCAGGTTCCGCAAGGGACCACAAGCGACACACGCACTCCACAGGGAAGGACGCCCTAGGAGTGGGGACCTGGGGTGCTGACTGGAGGGCTTGGCGGGGGCGCGGGAGAGGCAGCGACTATGACCCTGGGGAGGAACTGGAATTGGGAGAGCCAGGGCGCGGCCAACAGGGGTTAGTCAGCACAGGGCGAGCGAGAAGCAAGTGTGAGCAGAGGCTGGTGGCCCCCGAAGGAGAGGGGGCTGGGCCGGGGCTGCAGCAGGAGAGGGGGCAGCAGTTCCAGCCCCAGGGCCAGACGACGGTAACAGCAGGAACCACAAAATACTGCAAGGAAGGAATAACCCAAGTACTTTTGCTGCACTTGCACATGCGTCATTTTCTACTACAAGACAAAAGCAAGATAAACAAGCAAGCCTGTCGCGGTTTAAATAAGTCGGCCTGGTACTCGAAGTCGTTGTGAGAAGTCTGCTGCCTCTGCCACGGGGACCCCTGGCTGCCTCGCAGGCTCCTGCCCGGATGGAGCGCCGTGTGATGGCCCGGAGGGCCCAGAGCAGCGCCCAGCACAGCCGGCGGGCATGGACCCTGGCTGCCCTCTGCTGCTGGAGCTGCCCTCCCGGCCACCGCCCCAGGGAACAGGGGAGTCTGAGAGGAGAATGGCCCAGGTTTCCCAGTGCGGCTGTAACTATAAACCGGCTCTCACCAAGCCCGACACAGAAACCTGGGAAACGCAGTGCGCAAGCGCACCCTCGTCGAGCTGCTGACGCCAGTGAGGGAGGAGGGACGGGCTGTAGGGCACGGAGACCGGACGGCAGGGTCTCTCCCGGGAGACCCCCGAGCTAGAAGGAAGAGGGGCGGAACCTTTCAAACACTGAAAGAGGAACACCGTCAACACAGGCACCTTTGGCGGAAGAAAGCATCATTCGAACACAAAATGAGCCCTGGCCCTGTGGCTCTCTTGCTCGGAGTGGCCTCCTGCGCACCAAAAGGTTGCGGGTTCGATCCCAGGTCAGGGCACATATACAGGAGGCAACCCGTCAATGTCTCTCTCTCTCTCTCTCTCAGCATACTCTCGGGTGAGGATTAAAAATAAATAAACAAGCAAACACGACAAAATCGATTTTTGTCCGGACCCCCATAAGCTGAAAGAACTCATCGTCGACAGCCGCGCAACGAGAACGGTCGTGCAGGGGCCCCCCTGCAGGAGCAGCGGGCGGGAGGAGGCAGCGGGGCCCAGGCAGAGGGGCGCTGGGCACCTGCGAGGCAATGCCACGGACCAGGGCGAGTCACCTGCCTGGCGGTGGTCAGCGCAACGGCCATTTAACAAAGTACCTTCCCGTGGGAACAGGACCCCGCGTCCTTCCCCACGATCGCGTCCTGACGCAGACCCCGCCCCCGTGGCGCTGCGCTTTGCAATCCCGGCTCCCTAGGTGACCCTCACCGCTCCAGCGTGCAGCCCACGCCTGTCTGCAGCAGAGGCTCCTGGGCTCCAGGGGGACGAGGGTCCCCGTGTCCCGTGTCACTCAGCGAGCATCTTCCTGCACGTCTGGCAGCACCCGATGCAGTGAGGCCGGGCCGGCGTCCAGACGTGAACGTGAACGAGAGTCCACACCTCCCCAGCCCACGGGGGTCCGCGTTCCGGGATGTACCCGACAGGGGGCGACAGAGAGCGCACGTCCGAGCCGGCAGTCTGCGCATGCGCTGCGCTCCCTTTCCCCCCCCGGGAGTCCGCCAACCAGCCCCGTCTCCCCCTCTCAGGTCTCGGGAGCGAAGACGCGTCGGACACGCGAGCAGGCTGATGTGTCAGAAACGCACTCTTCCAGGGTATATTCTAGGGCCCACGGAATACTCCCCAACACTCTAAGTCTGCCGCGTGGTTAGCAGTGGTGGAAGGACACGGGGTCCAGCAAACCTGGCACCGGTGAGTTAGGCTGGGCCGGACGCAGAGGGGACTCGCAGCCCGGACAGAAGGCAGGGCTGGTGCTTGTTAGTCGCAGGGGCTCAGCAGGGGCTGCAGCAGGGTGGGTGGGCCTTCCGCGTAAGGAAGCCGGGCCCGGGCCCAGTTCCCCGGGGCGGAGGGAGAGCGGGAGTGCCGAGGCCGGAGGCCCGCAGTCTCCTGCACCCCGAGAGCTTGCTCCTTCTCACACCGTCTGTGGGGCGCCCCCGGATTTCCTTTGTTAAAAAGTATGTGCGGGGGGGGGGGCGGACTAGCTGATTCAAAACAAGATTACATAGTGCACTAAGTAATCATTATAAATCGAAAGATATTTTTATATCACTTATTGGCAAAAAAAAAAAACCCAGTTCCATTTGCTATAACCAAAATGCCCAGCCAAAATATTTCCCCACCATTAAAAGTGACCATAAAAACTCATTCCAGTCAATATAACTTCATTCTTAACTTACGAGTTAAAGGAACACTGACAAAGAACTTCCTGAAAAGCACCCGCTAAGCCTGCGAAAGACCCGGGCCTCACCTGCACGGCGCTGTTGAGGAAGCAGCTGTTCTGCCCCGGCTCGTTCAGCAGTCCCTTGGTGGGCGCCAGGGACAGCAGGCTGCCCGGCTGGTAGGCCCGCGCCAGGCCGCCGCCCGGCTTCCGCAGGAACCTCACCCAGGCCATGCCCGCGCGCGGTGTCCGCGTGGAAGCCCGCGGCTCTACACCGCCGCGGCGCCTCGGCCCACGCGGCCCGGGTCTCCACCTGCCCGGGGGAACGCGCCGCAGGGCACCATGGCGACGGAAGCCGCCGAGTCCGTACTGTCCCCGACGCCGTCAGTTTTGAGGACTTTGTCGTGTGAGAACAGGGTGCGGGAACGTGGGGTTTGGAAAACTAAAAAGGAAGGCCATTTGAAACACGGCCTTAGAGATTTTTATGTGTTAAATTTTAAGAGAGATTTGTATAGATTAAAAAGAAAAAGATTTTTCCAAACTGTTACAAGTAATGTCGATGAATAAATCATTTTCTTTCAAGCACAAGCCATTGTCTTGTCTGGCCTGACCCTCTGGCCCCTTGTTCTCCTCACGGACTTTTCACAAGAAGGAAGGTTGTCTCTCCGGTGACGTCGTCAAAGGTGACTCCGTGTTTCACACCCGTGTGGCCTCGAAGCAACTCTACAACGAAGAAACACATTTAAATAAAGGGAAAGGCTAATCGAGAAAACCCCTACTTTACTCTTGGAACACAAATACTGAATAGATATTTAAAATGTTGCCTATGTAATCATAAAAAGATTAGAGTTAATGTTCCAAAATATGAAAATGAAAACACGGTTTGTCATTAAAAACATGTAAATGTCACGGTAACATCAAACGCTGCAGAAAGCAAGCCGATGGCTGTCGGCACCTGGCACAGAAAAGGTGAAGGGACGAAGAGGTGCCGGCTTGCAGGAGTAAAAGAGGTCGCGAGGCGGCAACAGCACAGGGCATGTGATCGATAGCAGCGTAACGACAACATCCCCATAATATTGCAACAACACAGGACCGCAGGGCTGGTCACTGCAGCTAAATCAGGCAAACGAAGCAGCCTCTCCCAGACGCTGCTGCCCTTCCGCAGGTCCGGGGTTTTGACCCGTCCAGACGGAGGGTGCCCATGTGGCCACCGATAAAAGCCCGGGTCCCTGCGAAGCCTCCTGGTGGACGCATTTCCATGTCACCACAATGCGATGCTGGAGCAGTGGCCTGTCCCAAACGAATCCACTGGGAGAAGCCACTAGAACTTTGTGCCTGGTTTCCACCAAACCTCCCCCACGACCCTTCTCCGTCCGCTGACGGCTCCGTGGCCTTTCTCCGTCATTCAGCAGGGCAGTGAGCCCAACGACACTCCCAGACAAGGCAGGCTAGGGGAGGGGTCTGGGAGACACCACCGGCACAGGGACCCAGAGCTACTTTGTTTCTGTCAGGCCGGCAACACTTACCAGTGACCCCCTCCGGGGAGAGATGGAGCCCGCACTTTCCTTTCTCCTTGACTGACACTTGACTGCCAGGAAATGTAATCATACCCCCCTACCCTGTGGCTATACTGTAGCAACCTGGCAACAACTATTAAAATTAAAAGCAAACACACTTCAATCTAAACACAAAAACAAACAAAAAACACAAAAGCCAATACTGACGATCTATGCCCCTAAAATAAGAGCACCTTCCTGAGATGTATGGGCAGGTGCAGTGAGACTGGAAGGAAACGAAACCAGTGTCCACAAACAGGAACGTAACAGTGGGACACTTTTCAGAGACAAAGGCAAAAGGCAGAAACGTAGTAAGATCCCGTTTTGGTGAAATAGCAGGTGTGGAAATACAGATCTCTCTATGAGCACCTGAGCAAGGAAGGGGCAGAGAGTGTGTGTGTGTGTGTAATTGAAATGGAGTCGGACAGTGAAGCTAGAAGGGACGCACAGGGAAAAATCCCTACGAACTGGGGTTCCCACAACTCCCCACAGGTCCTCTGAACGTGCCAGCACGACTCACCGGCGGACTTTGGGTCTATTAGGAAAGGACAGCACCTGGGCACAGCCTGCTGCGAGGGAGGCGAGGGGCGTGGGGAGGGCAGGGAGTTGGGTCCTCTGCAGACACACGCCCTCACGCACCCCAACCCCCACGTGTTCCCCACCCCAGACCCACAGGCCCTTAGTGACTGACTCAGTGCCCTCCACCCGCCCCTCCCTGGAGGAGGAGGAGGCTGAAGTCCGCTCCTCTAACTCACACGCCAGTTCCCCTGGCAACCAGCCCCACACGAGGCTGCACGGGAGCCTGGCACAGGCCACCTCGTCCCCACGCTAGAAACACACACCCTTCCCCAAGACTCCAAGGGGTTCGGAAGCTGTGGGGTGGGAAACGGGGCCAGAGGCCACATGGCTACTTCTTTGGGCCACACCTGCCCATAACCCCACCCGAGCCGGTCTCCCAGCACCTTCTCCACTTTGGCACCTGCTCTCACTGAACACACCGCGAGAAACCCTGCTCCGAGGCCACTGCCTGGCACTCCTCTGCCTGGAGTGCGCTTGTCCTGGACACCCACACAGCTTCTCCCCGGGTCCCTGCGTGTTGCTTTGCTCAAGAATCAGCCTCTGAAAGAGGCCCACACTTACCTAGACTGCAGCTCAGCGCCGTCTCCACCCCCCACTCCCCTTGCTGCCCCGCCCTCAATTCTCCCTGGCGTCCATTCTGCACCGGCTACACACGTACACCTGACTGTGCCCACTATCCTGTCCTCTCCCATCCTTGGGGAATGTGAGCTGAGTCCCGGCGTCTGGAATGGGGCGCAGTCCATGGTAGGCTCTGGCTGAACGCTTCCTGAACAGAAGCTCTGGCAATGAAGCAAAACCTCATGAACACGCCCTCTGAAGTCAGCGTTCCTACCAGAGATGACCCCGGCGCTCAGGGCCCAGGTCTGCCCTGCCCATCTGGTGGCGAGGTCAGGATCGGTGTGGACCGGCACAGAGGCTGGGCGGCCTTGGCCCACGTAGCAGTCCAACAGAGGAGGAGGACCGTTCCAGGACCCAAACAGCCGGCTCCTCTGAAAACGGCATTTGGTGGGGGCCGAGAGGGGCCGGGTTTAGTGTGCAGCCAATGGGGTGCAGGGGAGCCGAAGTAAAGGGTGCCTGCTGGGTCCCTGCGGCCCCCGACACAGGCGGAGCCCCCGACACAGGCGGAGCCCACGCACCAGCTGCCTCGGGACTCGCCTGTCGTTTCTTCCGCCTTGGTCAGGTGCTGGAGCACACTCGGGACTCAGCTCCTGAACCCCTAACGCAGGTCCGTCCCTCATCCACAGTCGCCGCTATGCAAAAGGGAACCCTGGAGTTATGGTAAGAGTCCCAAACCATGAGTGGGTAAGACACCTAACACACACCTGACACCTCGCAGGCACTCGGTACAAGCAAGTGGCTGTAATGACAGCAGCAGTGCTATCTTTGGCGTCAGAGCATTTTGAACAACATAAGCAAACATTTGAGTCAAGTGAGCAAGCGTGTGACGTGACATTGTGTGTCCCACTTGCCATCCTTCTGCGGTCCGGTCCCTCAAGCCTGCATCTCAGTCTCCACTTCAGCCTTTCTCCAGACTCAGTGGAATCGGATAAACTGCACACCAAAGCATCAATGTCTAAACTTTTAAATTCGTTAGTAAGTCATTCTCAGTAGAAAATGAGCAATTGCCTGTAGAGTTACATATACTCTAAGAAAACGTGACATGTGAAAAATTCTCATTCACTGAACACTGTTTGGGAGCACTTCCCTTCACAACTGCATTTAAACATTCACGTGCGAACTGGACCACAGGGAGAATGGAGCTAAAGCCCCAGAGGCAAAGCATCAGAAACACAGGGCGGCGACTCTGAGACGGGCGGGCAAGCAACAGGAAGATTCACTCCAGAGAAAGTCGACCTGCGACAGCCCTTCCCCCGTCACAGGGGTGGGTGTCTGAAACTGCGGCCAGTGCTGAACCCCACATCTACTGAGACTTTTCCTACACATGCTCACCTCGGATAAAGCTTAACTGGTCAACTAGCCACTGTGAAAGACGACAACTAGCAACAGAGACGTTATAAAGTGCAAGAAACATTGCATGAATGTGCCCGGCTCTCTCCCTTGGCAAACTGGCACGAATGTGTTCCTCCTTCAGGATTTCACGGGAACGAGACTCCGTGTCACTCCAGATCTTGGCGACCTCAGCACACGAAGGCGAGGAAATGCGCCTCTCACTGGAGGAAGCACCTGCGGCACTCCCGGCCTCGGCGCATCCAGGCCGCCCAGGCCGCCGCTCTCCTGCGTCGGGGGTGCTGAGCAAACTGAGGCGCCTCGCACCCAGCACTGCGGTCCCAGGACAGTGGGCGCGACACCCCAAGCAGCGCCTAAGTGACCCACGGGCAGGGGACACCCGCAGGGCGGGGATGCTGAGCAAGGGGCGGAGTCACTCTGGGACAGTGACAGACATCATCACATCGTGTGATGCCGGGCTGCTCAGCACCAGGCACGACAAAAAACTCATGAACTGTTCACTTCTGGAATTTCCCATCTAGTGTTTTCGAGCTGAGGCTGACCGTGGTAACTGAAAGGGGGAAAGCAAAAGCTGCAGATAAGGGGGCACTAGTAAAGCTTTTCAGAAACATCAGTACAAACATCCTTAATGAGGATTTAAAGTCATAAGTAAATGAAGATTCATCTGGCCACAAAAAAAATGAGAGCACCCAAATGCCCACTTGACATCGCTGTCACCACGTCTGCGTCCCTGAGAACCCTCCCGCTGCTGCATCACTGTCCTGGGGGAGGTGGGGGGTGGTGCACCCACCACCCAGTGCTCTTCGGACACTTCAGACATCAGGTGCATGCCACCATCTCTGGGTGCCCTTAGCTAGTCAGTCCTCCTGTGACCCAACCCAGTACGAACCCTCACAGAGGAATGTGCGAAGTTTGGGGGTTCCCAGCGTTCCTGGGTGTGCCCTCGGGGACTTCCGGCAGCCTGATGCCGCGCCTTTGTCAACTACATTGCTATTCCTTCGACTCCTGACCACAGGCCAGGGTTCTAATCCTGGAGCCCAGTTTAAGAAACTCCTGAGGGAAGATATGGGTTAACTTGGAAAAAGCAAAGAACAGATACTTTTTGCCTAAATGTTCTATATATGTCAAATTCCTCCTGTTAAAAATAAAGTGTGTAATAACTCGCCAAGTTGAGGATTTTATACGGCTATTTAAAGTGACCTGGGAAGCTCTGCTCTGTGGCTGCACAGGCTGCGTCTGCTCCTTGCCCCCACTACATGGGTAATAGTGGGATGCAGAACCTTCTCAGACCATCGCCTCTGTGCAAAACTAATAATACCACACTAACCCCACATGTGTGTCACTGCTGACTCCCAGCCGGCTCTGCAAAGGTGACGAAAATTGGCACCCCCCCTTCATCCACGGCTGCACCGGCAGCCCACCCCCCCTTCATCCACAGCTGCACTGGCAGCCCACCCCCCCCTTCATCCACGGCTGTACTGGCAGCCCCTGGGCCCGGCGCGCCCAGCACACACCGTCCAAACTACGTCCGGACGCCGCACGCGAGGTGCCACGCTGCAGGCCGTCTCTGGGGTCTATAATTAAGAACACCTTGTAGTTAAAGCTGTCAAATAACAACGT